TACACTAACCCTTTAGAAAAGTTTGGAACAAGACCGGAATTCAGAGCCAGGTGGCGTAGAAAAAAGTAGTGATTGATTTGATTGACAATTTTATGTGAAAATAACTCATTCAGGCCGCCAGGTTACAAAATCTGACAAAGGAGATCTAACACAAATGACTATGTATAAAATAATAGAAAATTTTAAGGGGTTAGAGATAAAAAAAAAAGCGCAAACCACCTCCCTGATTTTCATGCTTTAAAATTGCGTAGGATAAAGTTAACAAACCTTTTTTTAATTTGGCTCAATCAAAACAAAAAAATAAAATAAAATATATAGTACTAGTAAGCAATACTAACAGAAGAAGCGACAAATAGATAATTCAAATGCTGAGAGTGTCTCTTTTTTAATTAAAAAATAAATCGGATCTAAATCGTAGGAGACTGACTCCCCGAAGGCCCGAACCCACATCTCACCGACACATCGCCACGATGGGTTTGTGTGTCCTCTTCGCTATTTAAGTATTGTTAGTGATTAAGTTACACGTAAATGTCTTCAATTTACGATGCTCACGTATTTTTCGTCTTAAAATACTCTCTCTGTTTTAAAATTATTGTACAATTTGAGATTTTACTTTTTAGTATTCCCTCTGTCCCAAAATTATTGTCCAGTTTGAGATTTCACTTTTAGTACAATTTGAACTATAAATGAAAATCAAAACTAGACAATAATTATGAGACGAAGGAGTAAAATTTTAACTAAAAATAAAAATTCAAACTGGACAATCGTTATGGGACGGAGAGAATAATTATTATTCTATTCGTTATATCTGAAAATATTATGTTAGAATTACAACACTTGTCGAGGAAGCGTTGAGATTGCACTGAACGCTGTCACAAGGTTTTTGTGGTCTACGATCTCTATGTTAGCTGACATTTATAATTCAAGACTATATATACTTGATGTAGAATGGCAAATAAAATTAAGGGTTTTTTTTAGACGGAGGTAATATATATATATATATATATATATATTTTTAAAGCTACGTGGTTATATATGTGGCCTTTGTGTTAGACGCTTTTTGTTCATTGTCGACTGTATTGGCCATCACTTCCATAAAATAATGAATGAGTAATACGTACTAACTTTGTCCTATAAAATACTTTACATTAAAATACGTACTACCTTTGTCCTATAAATATAAATTTAAAAATTAAATTATTATTTTAAAATAAAGAGAGTAAGATTATTGCTTTGACTCCAAACGATTTAATCATTCTTCTAGTAGAAGGGATAAAAGTTATTAAAGAAGCACCTTCAATTTTCTTTTTATCTAGAGACTAGACACTAGGAGCTCCTTTGTGAAGATGTTCCAAAGACATTTTTATTAGTACCACCTCCGTGGGAGTTCATTGTTCCATATGTGTTTCACTTATTAGTACCACCATCCGGTCACAACAAATGAGATAGGTTCTTGTTCGGCCAACTTTTATTTTACTTTTTTTTTCCCATTTTACTTCTTAAATACAAAACCCAATACATTATTCAAACATCATTTTAATTTACTTTTTAAAAAATATTTTAAAAATTATTTTTGCACAATTTTCGTCCATCACCACCGGACCACCTTCGCCACCGCCGAACCGCCCCTTGCCGCCGCCGGTCATCGATGGTCCGGCAGCGAAGAAGGGTGGTCTGGCGGTAGAGATAAGTAGTGGAGGTGGCCTGTGGTGATAAAAAAATAATATTATTTTAATTAACAATCTTTTCAAATAATTTTTAAAATTCTCTCTCAAAAAACATTTTAAATCACATCTCAATAACTCAAATCAAAAACTAAATGAAAACACGAAATGAGAGGTTGGCCATACGAGCCTACTGTTTACTTATTGACAACAATTTCTCCCAGCATTCGGTTGTGTAAATTGCCTTGTAGATAGATAAAATCAAAGCAGCCAAATGTTCACTGCTAATTTTTTTGGAAAATGTAAAATGATGTATCAATATATTAAAAAAAATTTTACTCTTAGAAATTAATTTTTTATCCACTCAAAAAAAAATAAATAAATAAATAAGACCTTGCTTGTATAATATAGTTGTGATCGTGAAACGGTGGAAGCATGTTTGTTTTAGAGACTATTTTTGTTGGGCCAAATGTAACTCACAAGTGCGGTCCACTACTCAAAAGATGAATTTCAGGGAACCCCCATTAAGCTTAGTGCCGAGGTAACAAAACATGTATAAGGTCTTTAAAATACCCAAACAAAAGAATTCTACATGGTCCAGCCAACATTTCCTGAAGATATCTCCAGTTTTATCTTCCTCGATCTCCTTTTATGCCTCAAGGATCAGGTGTTTGCAACTTTCATGGAGCAATCTTTAATTCTTTGGTCAGTTTCATATCCATCAAAATATCTACCATAAACGAGGGATATTAGTCACTGTTGCCGATGGTGACACCCTGTAATATGAAAAAAAAAATAAAAAAAAGTATCAGGTAACTATTTTAATTTGAAATTTAAATTGCACAAAGAACAATTTTCATGTAACCATTCTCTCTCTCTCTCAAAAACTATACAATCATTTTTGGAACAAAAATAAGTAATTTTGTTTTGTATACCACTAACCAAGAGGTTTTTTTGCAGCTTCTTCTAAACGGTCAACTGTCAAATATGTCCAGGATGGAAAAGATGCTATCAACTTGAAAAGATGGTCACATCTATAACAGGCAAACTATACTTGGTGGAGGAACAAACCATAAATACTTAAGTAGGACAACTTTACAGGCCTTCCTAGAAAATAACATCTCATTCAATATTTGTGCATAGCGTAATAACACGAATCAGTTTTATTCAGATGAAAATTGTTAATTCAACTATCATTGTAGATTAGCCGTCCAAACCTCCCTTTCATGACATTTACACGTCGAGTGATGTCTTTTTTTTAATCTCATATATTAAGCGTAACTAATTAATTGGCATTTCTTCCGTTCTTATGTCATATGTTACCACTACTACATACATAGAATTCATCTTAATTTACTTCGCATTTCGAATTATTATTCATAATACAGTCTCATTCCTCAATTCAAAAAGAATATTCATTACGATCATATCTGAGACCACATATAAATAATACGTGCGCGAATAGAGATATAAAAAGAAAAAATGGATATGTAACGATACATACATACATACTGTATCATTATTTTTGTGATCGTGCGCTGCCCTATAAACAAGAAAAGAACTAAATCGACCGGGCAGCCAATAAATCTTGTTCGTTTCATGCCGTCGAGATTTTATTTTTTTTTAATCAAGTCTAGATCTCCCTAGTCCACAAAAATTATGAACTAATTATTCGTCACGTTACATCACCCCCCGTAATTCAACCTAACTTCAAAGCCACTCCTGAACAATTTTTTTTTCCCACCACATTAATTAAGTCGTCTTTTTATGTTATAATTAATCGTTAAAGACCAAAATGTTTGGGCTCCCCTTTTATAATTTTTGGTTCTTATTAAGATTAAGACAAGATTTCTGTAATAATACATACTAGATATTTTGCCAACTTCATCTGTTTTGGCAGAATCTTGCCGAATTATGGAGCAAGATGTCATCCTCACCAGTAAACTAACCCGGACTCCTGCTGCTTAGACTTCTCTATCTTTCTTGGACTTATTGGTTGTTTTGGTCCATGCAAGTCATTATTTGCCGAGCCTATCATTTACTCCCTCCGTCTCATAAAAATAATCCAGTTTAATAAATAATTTTGTCCTAAAAAAATAATTCAATTTTAAAAAAGTCAAAATTAAAACACACGAAATGACTTAACTGCCCTCTCAATCAGTCACCCAAACTTTCACCATTCTCTCTCCGTTCACGAAATCAAGCCTCCATTCTCTCTGGCCAGGCCACGATCAACAAGACCAAAATAGAACCCATCACGTTTTATTGGATCTTTGACAACTCGGACGGCAACGCGTTTGTAAAGGGAGATCCATCAGATCTACCTCCTTCAACACGAGCAAAACAAGAAATTCCTCAAACGGAAATTAAAAGATCGATTCAATCGACACGGTGTTAAGGGATTTTTGATCGCCACTGTTGCAGTGTTTAAAGAAACCAGAGAATTGGAAAAATCCGATTCAGAATGGGAGGCGAAGACCGGCGAACAGAGGGATTTAGTTTTGCCACCGTTGCGGTATTTAAAGAAACCGGAGAATTGGATAAATCCGATTCAGAATGGGAGGTGACGGCCGGCGAACAGAGGGATTTAGTTTTGCTTGTTGTTTTGTCGGCGTTCAGACTTGAGGGAGAGAGAGGAATAAGTAACCGGATTATTGTTTTTTAATTTGAGGTTAGATAAACTTTTCATCAGGGGTAAAAACGGAAGTTCAATAGATAAAATGAGTTGTTCATTACTAGAGTTGACCAAATTAAAAAAGTTATACATTTTAAAACTGGACTATATTTGTGGGACTAAGAGGATATTAATTGGATTTTTAATCCCTATTTGTATCTTCAGAATCCCTTCATCTTTTGGGATATTAATTTAATCATAAGCAGCTACATTCTCTTCGTGACAACCCCGAACATTTTTACAATTTTAAAATTTAAAGGACATAAAAAACGAATCACATCATTAGGAGACTTTCCTTTTTGTTAAATTTTGTGATGATGGCCTAACAAGCTACTAGCTACTTTAATTACAACTGGCCAGCTATATTCATATTCATATAATAATATTTTTGAGTTAGCCAAAAGATTATAGCTATTATAAGGTTTAATACATATTCTCCAACACTTTTATCTATAACTTTTAAAGTTTTATCGTAACTGTTGAGGTCATGAGTAGGTTATTTGTCACATATCAGTATTTGAGAACAATCGTGAGCCGTTAATAAGTAAGTTGGTCATAAATCTTATTACCTTAAGGTTTTAAGTTGAGGTGGGTTTCCTACTTATTTATTGGACTTGATATACTCTTAGTGTCTTATCTGCTGGATTTCTGACAGTAACTGTGATAAATTAAGTCAAAATAATTGGGCATTGTAATCTACTCACTAATTGTCCCATTGACCTTTGGAATAAAAATGCTACCTTGGAGAAGCAAAAAATGAATTCGACACTTGGGGGATATAGCTCTTCCCCCAAGTCACACGCACAACACAAAGCCTTCTTCGTTCATCATCAAACCCATATGGATTTTACTAGCCCGGTTGATTCTTTTTGGAGCAAGTTTACATGTAAGGACTCTATACTAGCTTTTTAGTGATAATATTGTTTTTCTCCAAGTAAACCTTCCTGAATTCTTTCTTCCTTGTCGAATCAATTTTATCTTAATTTGTGATCATCAATAATTATGTACGTAAACGTTGTGTGCCTAACTTAAACTCCTTAAAAGTCTTTCCCAAATTAATTCTTGTTCTCAAAGCTATTACCTTTTTCTTTTCCAAACTTAAAAATTAAATAAAATGAGTAGCTCTGAGAACAATCATCATGGATTCCGGGAAGACGCCATTAACGATGTAGCTTACAGCATAGGTTTTTCCGTCGTGGTTCTCGTCGTGCTTATGATCATCTCCTATATTTCTTACAAGTGTAATCGATCCTGGTCTTCCGATGATCATCATCATACGGCCTCAAGTTCCTCTCTTTCCCTCCCGCCGGTTCACTCAATCATCATAGCCCCACAAGACGGCGGCGGCCGCGGAGGTTTAGATGATTCGGCACTTGTAAACTACCCGAAGTTTTTGTATTCTCAAGTGAAACAGGTGAAAGGGTATGATCAGGTGGAAGAAGGAGAAGAAGAAGACGCGAAAAATGGTGTGGGGACATCGGGGTGCTCGATTTGCTTGGGAGATTACAAAGATTCCGACATGCTGAGGTTGTTGCCGGAATGCGGACATCTATTTCACCTGGGATGTATTGATCCTTGGTTGAAGCTTCGCCCCACTTGCCCTATTTGCCGCTGTTCATCCCCGGTGGTTACTCCTCTCGCCGACGTCGTTCCCTTGTATCTACAACATCCTAACTCCTGAAGACGATTTTCTCTCTTAGATATTCCTTACATTCTTTTTATTACTGATTTTGCTTTACAAATTGTTGTATAAAAAAACCAAAGAAAAAGTTTTTAAGGTATACTATCTTTCAAGATATTTTCATTATTTTTAGATATCGTGACAAAGTCAGTAAACGTGACTAATTCTCTAGTTGATTTGTATTTTTCGTATTATTAGATCACCTTAGGAAGGTCACAATACTTCAATTCATAATGTTATAGGTGTACAATTTAGTCAATCAGATTTCGTAGGTACGTAATTGCCCTGCAATTGGGATGCTGGATTCTAAGGGGTGTGTTTTTTTTTTTTTCTTTCTTTCTTTGTTCTTTCGTGGGAGAGTTGCATTGATTCATATAATATATGAGAGTATATTATTTTGTTGTATACATTTGACTTTTGGTGTGTGGATTTCCCAATTGATCCAGATTTTGGTGGAGTGATTTTGACAATTCTTGACAATGTATATGTATGCATGTATGTGCTAGCTAGGACCACGAGATATTTAACCGATCACTCAAGGCACAAAAGGGGAGGAGTAATACATATGATCTACATTGGTGATGAGCTATATATCAATCTAACTAATTGAAATCAGACTGAGACGTACTTGAGACGGATGAAGGATCAATTATTCAAGTTATCTAGTTTAAAAATTATTATTATTATTATTATTATTATTATTATTATTATTATTATTATTATTATTATAACTAAATTGTTTTAGTTATTATAAGGAAAGTTCGTAGTATTCCCCCTATCTCAAAATTATTGTCCAATTTGATATTTCACTTTTAGTACAATTTGAACTAGAAATGAAAACTCGAACTGGATAATAATTATGGGACGGAGGAAGTATTAATCTTAAAATTAAGATATGCCTATTATGATTTTACATCGAAAACCCTTAACAAAATAATATAACATTCTTTTGTGTTTGAATTTTGAATCATAAAGAGAAGGAATTCACGCGAAGGGTCAAGATTACGTTCCAAATGAGATTGTTATTTTTGGTCCTCTATATATTTAGAGAAGATGGCCTTACAGAATAAGGTTGGATGACCCTTAAGGAGGCAATAGGCCAAATGCAAGTCTAACAACCGGCAGGCAGGCGATGTCTTTTTTTTTTTTTTTCTTTCTCTTTGAATTCGATAAAACTAGTCCAATTGGGAGGGCAGAATGCCTTGGTTTTTGACCCAAAATGAAAACCACTTAGACTCCCAAATCCTCCTTAATTACTACTACTAACTACGTGCGCCTACTACTGTACAACTGGATTACTTAATTCCACAATGCTATCTCACAAAATTCAGCGCATCTAATATAACACCAGTTTACTCTCTTTTTTTATTATTGAGATGATCATTAGGGATAGTGTCAACTCCAACCTAAAAGTACCATAGTTTGTCGACAGTTCTGATTTTGTGCTATTTGGTTTAATTATTTTGGTGTCCTTCAACCTTCAACTATAGATCATACTTCCCTAGCTCATTATTGACATCGCCATAGTTGATATTTTTGTCCATTGTTTTTTGTAATTAATTGGATGTAATGGCGTTGTTAATTTGATACTGTTATTTCAGCTTCATATTTAACATTATGTATTTGGATTATCCATACATATGGCGATAGTCCAACTTGGCAGGGTATGCTAACCAAGCGATCATGAGCTGCTTTAAATTTGATTAGTACTGTAATCCTAAGGAAGAACGAACCTTTAGTGTATAATCTTAAAAGTAATGGTTTTTTTTTTTCAACTAAGAACGTCTTTGTGAAAAAATTAAAGACAAAATTGTGTACTCTATAGGATTTGGTGCACATTCTCTCAAATTAGATGTTAGCATGTCTAGTTTTGACTTCTTGTATCAATATCAATAAATTGCATTCCAAAATATGGGGACCCCGAATAAAACCTAGCAGAGGGACCAAAAATTTAAGATTTAAGTTGAAAGGTGACTTACATGAAAGGAAAACATACTTTGGTTGAGTGATTCAGCACAGAGAGAGAGAGAGAGAGAGAGAGAGAGAGAGAGAGATTAGATGGTACCGTTGACCAAATGCAGATGAGACCAAAAAGCCTCAGGAGCAACTGGCCGCAGCAAAAAAAGCTTGTCTTTTGTCCCGTCGAGACAGACTCATCCGGCTCCCCAATCCGAATTAACGTAATACAGTGATTTCATTTCAAGCATGGAATTTTTCTAATTTTGTATCGGTCATCTAAGATTTCGTAAATAAATATTGCGTCCACCATTCCCAAACAAACAGCTAAGAATGTGTTTAACCGTGAAGCAAACCTTCCCCTGATTTCACCCTGTTAATTTCGATTAAATAAACTAACATCAACTTGTCATATAATTGATCTTCTGCATTTGTCAACTCTTATTCCAACCTTCCATATCAACCTCTCTCTCCTAAGCATCAAAGATAATTCTTCATCCTCATTGGCCTTTAATAAATTATTAAACCTGCAATGAATTCCGACCCCTCCCCTACAAATTAACCTCATCAATTCGTTAATCACACTCTGATAAACTCTTCCTTCCAAAAAAAAGAAAAAAAAAGAAGCATCCCATTCTGAAAGTTTCCGAAATGAGTAGTAGTAGTAGTAGTAGTAGTAGTAGTGGTAATATTACATTACAGGCGGCACCAAGCGACGGCCCATATGAAGAAACCAGTCCTCCGGGACCCTACGGCTACAGCCTCGGAATATCTTTCGGCATCATTTTATTGCTCATAATCATCACCTACTGTTATTACATCCACAGCCGGTACCGGAGAAACGCTGAGGCTAACAACAACACCATCTATTACCAGCGAAGGAACTCCACCGCCGACACAACCACGGATGACGATTCCATACTGGGCTCCCCGGAATTAGGCGGCCTTGATGACAAAACCCTCCAAGCATACCCAAAGCTCCTTTATTCTCAGGCCAAGAATCACGATCAAGGCCAAGGCGGCGGTCCTGATGATAAAGATGATGATGATGATGATGATGATGATGGCCGGTCTTCTTGTACGGCTTCCGGGTGTTCAATTTGCTTGCAGGATTACAAGGATACTGATGTACTTCGTTTGTTGCCGGAATGTGGGCACTTTTTTCACGTCAAGTGTGTGGATCCATGGTTGAAGCTTCATCCAACTTGTCCAATCTGCAGAAAATCACCGGCTCCTTCTCCCGTAGAAGCTACTGTCCTAGAATTAGAAATGCCCCGCCCCCAGTACACTCCATAGAAAAATAGCCATAGACAGATTAGATGTATTTTTGTTGGATAAGATCAAGTGGTAGGCTGGTACCTCATTAGCCTCCATTTTTACATAGTTGTCAATTCATCGTGTGTATTCAATACTAATTGAACATATTTTTAGTTCCAACCTTTTTACTTTGTGGTATTATCTTCCAATTTCTTCCTCTGTTTTGACCCCTTCCTCGTTTGGCTCTGTTCCCATTATGTGCTATCAAAGCGAATCGAATTAGCATTGCCAATTTGCAATTTTGCATTGGTGCCAGCTGTTCTGTGGCATGTTTCGGAAAAATCAGAGTAATTAACAACATTTGATGGTGGGTTTACTGTTCTGTGCTTATCCCCTCTTTATATTCAAAGCCGTTATTTGTCGTGTTACGCTTTGTTAACGTATAAAACAGAGAGACAAACAGAGAGACAAGAAACAAGAAGACGGGAAACTTAAACAACTTGGCTTCCTGTTATTGCAAGTAAAAACAAGTAGTACTAACACTAAATTAACAATAAAGCGGCGCGGCTGCAACTAATCGGAGTATGTATATAAGGGGGACAAGAAACTATCCTAATAAAATACTATAATACAAAGGCAATGCAACAAATAAACTCAAATAGACTAAATTTAAATGATAACATTGATTACCCCCACTGTTGGTTTTGGAATTGGAACCACCAACCGCGGATGAGTTAGTAGACCAGTCAATCTCACCACCAGTAGGTGACTGCTGAGACGAATATGGGAAATTATTTTCAGAAGAAGATGAAGAAAGAGGATGTTGAGATGCTGGAGAAGGTCCCGGAGGAGATGGAATTGGGCCGGAAATTTTGCCACGGTGGACTACCGCACTGAACTTCTGTCCTAACCCACAATGATTTGAGATGCTGCATATGAAATAAAACACGCCTTCTTCCATTAGAACAATCTTCGCTGGACCATCCTCAAATGCCTCGAAAGGATTGTCCGCTGTGCAACTCTGGTACTGTCTTGATGATACTTGCATCACGTTATGGAGCCCCGAATCAAAATCAAAATCTGCAACAACAAAAAAGACATCAATAGAGTTGCAAAAGGGTATGTTAATTTGTGTTTAAGGCAAATGAAAAAAAGGAGAAATCTGGTCATCAATTTACAAAAGGTATCTCCAATCTCGAAAAATTGGGAAGATGACCAGTTGGTGTAGAAATCATTGGTTGTAGGAATGGACCAAAATGTGTCTCCCACAATATATTCCTTGCCAAAAGATTGAGTCAAGGATGAAATCAGAATTACAAGTAACACTGGGGAGTTCATCATCATCACCATCGTGCCCAGACTGAAAATTACTTTGGTTGTTTAAGGTAAGAGATTCCCGTCTACATCAATGTTTTAGATAGTTTTACAGAATCATGGATAACGGTTAAAGCAGTTTGTGAGTTCATTGATATTTGAGATGAGAAGGAAAACCAAAAGGTGGCAAAAATTTAGCGGTTTTTTTTTCTTAGTGGTTACATATTAAGTTCGAATCACTAATCTGGGTTAGTTTTCTATCGAGAAAATGAAAATGAGAAGGTTGTAAAATGGGCTTGTACCTGAACTCACAACCTAGTTATAGCCCAAAAATGTAAGCATGTTTGTCCATGAACGAATTGGGCCAAAAGAAAAGATCCGTAGTCCACACTGTAGCTTCTGGTAGCCACCCACAACGATTCCCACCCAATTTATCATTATTATTATTTTTTTAATAATTATAAAATGACAAATAACTTTATAGCCGTTAAACAACAGAGCATCTCTCATTTCGCTTTTCTCTGCAACGCCTGATCAAAGCATTCAACCAAAGTCGCAACATTTAGTCAAATTTCACCATAAAAATTCGAGTTCCTTTTTCTAATCTTTCTCCTTCTTCACTCTCAATTTTTCAATCGTCTTTCCAATTGTCTTTCTGATCTACAGAAACCCTAACCAAAGTTTGTTCTTTTACAATCGAATTTTGTTGGGAGCGGATAGAAGAAGATGAAGAGCATGAAAGGGAAGCTACTGAAGAAATTGAAGACAATTAAAACAATTGGGTATCTGAAGCCTGAGAGGATTCTTCTCGCCAATGCTGCAGATGGGTTCGTTCCTAGTTCTCCGCCCAATTCTAATGTCAGAGCTAACAACCACTCTGTTTCCATTTCAGAAGAGCCCAAGAAGATTGTTCTTCATTGTGTTCAACCTCAAGAACCTGAGATTATTGATGTTTCTGAGCTAATGAAAGATCTTGAAGATCAAGAACTGGTGCTCTCCGGCGATTTCAACGACAAGGAGAACATTAGGCCAAAAACAGTGGCTAAAGATTCAGTCTTTCCGAAGGGGGATTTGGAGAAGTCAAGCCCATTGATGCGGAGAGGTGAATTTAACGACAAGGAGAATATTAGTGTAAATGCAATGGGTAAAGATTCGGCCTTTCTGAAAGGGAGTTTGGAGAACTCGAGTCCATTAATGAAGAAGAAAGAGGTTTCCCAGGGGAAAGAAAGGAAGGACAGCAGTACTGAAAAGAAAGTTTCCCCTTTGGGAGAGATTAAGTTATTGAAGTTCAGGAAGCCAGATTTGGAATCTGGGACCCTTTTTGATCCCAGTCTTCTTGAAGCATTTGAGCAGGCCGTATTGGAAGTCAAAGCCCAAGAAGCAGAGAGAAGAGCTGAAATTGCAGAGAGGAACTACCAAGATAGTAGTGAAAAAGAACAGCCTTTAGAAGTTCAGAACAATGAGGAATTCTCGAATCCATTGTTAGAGTTTGAAGAGAAGTGTCCCCCGGGAGGCAGTGATTCAGTGATTCTGTACACCACAGGGCTTAGAGGGATTCGGAAAACCTTCGAAGACTGTTACAGTATTCGATCCCTATTGAAAAACTTGCGGATTTCGTTCTTCGAAAGGGATATTTCAATGCATTCAGGATTTAAGGAAGAGTTATGGGCAACTTTAGGAGGAAAACTGTTGCCTCCGAGGCTGTTCATCAAGGGAAGATATATTGGTGGAGCAGATGAGGTTCTGACATTGCACGAGCAAGGGAAATTTAAGCCATTGTTGGAAGGAATTCCTTTAGATTCATCTGATTTCCAGTGTGAAGCTTGTGATGGAATAAGATTTATCGTTTGTTTTAACTGCAATGGGAGCCGGAAAATCATTCCTCATGATGGCAATGGAAATGGTGAGTCTGACGAATGTCCACATTGTAATGAAAACGGCATTCTCATCTGCCCCATGTGTTCTTAAATTGTACATCTTGTATTTTTCTTTTTTTTCTGAGTCATATTCTTTGATTTGTTTAGTAATCTGTATGAAAGTTGAGACATAAACTTGGGTTGTTTTGTTGGTTTTGTAATAGCTTTACTGTGAATGAATAAGTTCATTCACTTCCAATTGTGTGCAGGGAGCAGAAATAAAAAGGAACCATCCTTTCTTTTGAGCATTTACAGGTTTCTAGTCCAAAAAAATGAATCTTTGGGCACTACTTGTGAAAAATTTTCTGTGATTCCGTGATGTTTTGTTAGCCTTGGGAGATAATGAGTCCAAACATTTGCATCCAGCTTGCTGCTTTTTATTCCTTTTTACTCATTTACATGGTGAATGATTAGGTCAATAGCAAAAGAGAAGCAAGGAGATATACTGATTTGATAATCTCGCTTTTTGCCTAGTACTCTATGATTTGAATGGCAAATTTTGAAGAGAATCCAAATTTGAGTTTTGAAAAGCAATTTTCACAACTGGGAAAAGGATGGGACAAAATGTTGTCTTGAAAGAGCCAATAATGTCCTTATCATTCACCAAATCAACTTTATCATTATGCATGGGTATCAGACTAAAACACTGGTTGGTCTCTCGAAAGACAAGAAAGGAAAAGGTGCAAGAGCAACCAAAGTTTTCAACTTTATTGAGTTGAAATTTGAATTTGACAAAGAGGGAAATTCGATGAATGAAAACACTGGCAAAAGTCTAAGAACTGCCACGCTCCATTGACACAGTCATCCTCGATCGAAAATGAAAGGGAAAATGGTCCATTCGGAACTTATCTACAGAGGAGGAGGAGGTATTAGAACTTAATTAAATTTAATAATCTCTATCGCTTAACTCATAATAAAAGGAAATTCAAAAAGGAAAAAAAAAAAGAAAAGAAAATCGAATCAGAATCAATACCAGCTAAAATGGACCATTCAAAGTTTGGGCCTTTCCCGATGAATAGGCATCCTCTGTTCCTTAAACCGGAACCGCCGGCCCATGAACCGGTGGCCGTCCGTGCAGTTCAGATGGGATGAGTAGTGGAACAAAATACAAAGTAGTAGAATAATACTAATATCTTGCGCTTTAATGGGAACTTTTTGCCATTCCTACTACGCACTATTCTACAGCATTCACATTCGTAGGTGCAGAAGTTTTAGCGGCACTTGGAAATCCCTTTCCCGCTTCAGCAATTCCCCCAGGTCAGTGACTGGTAACAACGCCTCTATCTTCAAGATTCTCGCGTTCGGCTTTCAATTGGTTTTTTTTTTCTTTTTTAATCCTCAGAAATGGAATTCAATTTAGGAAAGGCGTCGATTGCAGAACCCGGTTGAGTGGCGGTGCTAAATCGGGTTTGGGTTCGGGCGGTGTCATCACTGGTGAGGTAATGGAGCATGTAACAATTAACGGTTCTGAGGTTGTTGTCGGAGACCCTCAATCGCTTCAGAGCAAAATCTCCTCAATTCGAATTGCGGGTCCCCAGAAACTCCAGGTAGATGGTGCAGTGCTATAATTTGATAGCCTGCCCTTAGGACTAGTTAATCTGATCTGAGGCTCTGTGTTTTTTTTCTCGGAATGTTCCTTTTTGATTATCAATTTGTAGGTGATTGCGGATTTTGATGCCACCTTAACCAAGTACTGGATAGACGGACGTAGAGGGCAAAGTGAGTAGTTTAAACCATTTTCTGATATTTTGTTTCATCCACTTTCTGGGTTCCCATTTAGCAAATTCGAGCTGTTGTCTGTTGGTGGAGGAGGCATCATTGCTTCCATTGCTTTCTCAGCTTTTTTCACGTTCTACGGTCAAAGCTTTTCGGCTATAACATGCGTTGATAAAAATACTTAAACGCAGGCAGTCATGGCTTGTTGCAGCAGGGGAATCCAGAATTTGATGAGAAGAGACAGAAGTTATACGAGTATTATCATCCCTTGGAATTTGACCCAACGATTCCGCTTGATAGAAAAGCAGTACTTATGGAAGAGTGGTACATTTTCCTGTTTTTGACTATTGATGGAGCATTCAGCATGCATGTTTAACTTCCATTTAAATTGTGCGCATTAGGAATAGATTATGATGTTCCGTGAATATATGCAGGTGGGGAAAAACTCATGCACTTCTCATTGAAGGTGGCCTTACATATGATGCAATTAAAACATCTGTGGCTAATGCTAATATTGCATTTAGGGAAGGCGTCATTGAACTCTTCGAGTTCTTGGAGGTAGATTTTGTTTGATATTTAATCCAAGTATTATTTATTTTTCCTTTTTCTGGCAGACCTTACTTGGCATTGTGGTCCGAAGGTCAAATGAGTTAAATATGCCGTGTCTTCCTTTCCCATTCTTGGTAGTATTTAGCTTTATATCATAAGTATCATAAGAATAATATCATATGTGGTTTGCTTCATGGGAAGAGGTTTTGATTCTATATTGTTGAAGAAAATGCAGTCCGAGATACGCTTGTTTAAGTCATCAAGTCCCCCTGCTCAGGAAAGAAACTTTGTGCAACTAAATTATTGAATTGCTTCTAACTGGGCAAATTCACTTTCCTATCTGTTCTTGTTTATTACCTCTTTGAGCTAGATTCAAGGAAAAAGAAATCTGAGCTCGAATTTTACCAACTGAACTCTAGCTTTGATCGGAGAGTTGCCTTACTGCTTCTTTTTCTTATGCTATGCAGGGAAAAGATATTCCGATTCTTGTATTTTCTGCGGGTCTGGCAGACATAATAGAGGAGGTTAGGTTTGGGACCTTGTTTGGTTAGTGACCAGTAAATCAGCATCTATTACAGGACAGCGTAATTCCTGTGCTTCCTCTTGTCATCACCAGGTGTTTAGGCAGAAACTTCATAGATCCTTCAAAAATGTCAGGATTGTATCCAACAGAATGGAATTTGACAAGAATGGCCAGCTAGTGGCCTTCAGAGGTAGCATTCTATCCAACTGATAAAATTGTCTCTCATCTGCATAGGACTTGGTTACATCATTTTCAAAATCATTTCTCACTTCTAAAGATTCAGTAACTACATTCCTGCTTTAAAGCACTTTGGATTTCTGAGGAAAAAAGCAATGTCGTTTGATTGTTTTGAATGTCCTATGTGCATATTAGCATCAAGATATAGTTTCCTTCGGTAATTCAGTCCTAAAAGAAATCATTTGACCCTAAATTTTACAGGGAAGACAATTCATGTTCTGAATAAAAATGAGCATGCACTTGACATGGCTGGTCCTGTTCATGACCGAATTGATAATACCAATGGAGAAATCGAGGACAATTCATCTGTGAAAAAGAGAACTAATGTGTTGCTTCTGGGTGATCACATTGGAGACCTGGGAATGTCTGACGGTCTAGACTATGAAACACGGATTTCACTCGGTTTTCTGTAAGTAAAACACGACTGAAGTTTTTTCTTAGCATATCAAGGAAATGAATCTTTGGATATTTTTAGCTGTATGGACCTTTTGTATGGAATATAGCACTTTTCTAGACCAAAAAGTTGCAAGAGAGATGAAACAATCTTAGTTGGGTATCATGGAGGGGATGTAACATTAAATGGCAACTTTTTGGCAGTAGATGGATAACAAGTGAAACTTAGGAGAAGAATAGAAGCATTCAGATTGAAAACTTCATGTTATCAAAAACACCTTCATGCTGAACACAACAATCAAAGGATACCTGAATTTTTCCTTATAGTTTAAAGAGTATTTTTGTTTAATCACTTAGTTCATTTGGTTGGCTGTTGCAGGAATGACAACATTGAAAATTCTCTTGAGAGCTATCAGAAAGCCTTTGATGTAGTGTATCTGGTAATAAAACTGATGATGGAACTACTCAAGCTTGTTTGCATGTCATCATACTTGGTCTCCAGTACTTCTTTTGTCTATTTGATCACTCTCCTTAGCTTGGAAAAAAGCTTTTCTTTCATGATTAATTCCATTCATTCAGAACTATGCCTTTCTTATTGTCCCTCGGCCTCCTTGCCAACATAACTATGCCTTCCTTGGGTTCTGGTTTTATTTCTTATGCGCTTATTTTTTGTCTGGCAGAATGATGCTTCCATGCGAGGAGTTTTGAAGCTTACTTCTCAGCTTTGTCCCGACTGAACATGCTCTAGCTGCTGGCAATGTGTTGGCTTTAATGGTCTTCTCCAAACACTAAGGTCTCCAAAATAGACCAAGGAAACTGTGGAACTACTTGAGTTATGGAGCAGGATTGTTATCTCAAATATCATAGTTTTAGTTAGTGGATATTATATGTGTTTGTTTAAAACTTCTTGCTTGAAGAGGCCAATTCTTTGAACTATCTCTTAGCCCCTTGAGTACCTATCTTGCTGTTTATAGCAGTGGCAACGGACAACTATGCAAACATTTTGGAGGTACATTATGGTTTTGTGCTACTGGTGAGGAGAAATTCAGGCTAGTTGTTTAATTTGGTAACAATGCCTTGCTTAAATTTAATTAATTGTTTCAAGCAAGAAGTATTTTAGTACCCTGTAATATTATGATCATGTACACAAACATTCTTGAAGATCAAGAAAGATTGTTCATTCTTGTACTCTTCAGTTGTCATGAAACAGGGAAATGCACATCAAAAAGATAGGGTTAGAACTCGAATAAAGTTTTATGATGATCTCTATACAGCCACAGGCAAACTCTCCGTCGTATAAACAACTGCCTCCATGGGATTAGAAATCACAGCTTCCACGGGATCAGAAACCACCAATGGCTGTGAGAACTTGGTATAGTGGAATTCAATTTGTAACCGATGATGAAGAGGGACCGATGCCAGCAAACCCTTTTTAAGATCAACTTGAAGTTCCCTCAATGGGATAGCAGCCAAAAAGCTCTTGATATACTCTTTGCATGTGTCTTTGCCTTGGAAAAGAATTGTTGGTTCTTCTTTGTTCACAAGAACAATTTGATCTTCAGAAACAACCACTTCTTTCAAATCCTTTCCCTCCACTTTCTCACCACCATCTTTAGGAGCTTTATCATCTGACTTTTGAGTCTCGCTGGGTACTTCTTGAATTGTTGTATCTCTGTCGAATTTGAGGATAAAGGCCTGATTGCATCCTTCAAACAGCCTCTCCCCCAAGGTGTCAACAATGTAGAAGGCATCTTGCTCAACCTTGAGGATGAAGAAGTGATCATTCCAGCTTACAATGTAGACTAAAGGGTCCGTAGCAGCACTGCAGTCGCTTGGTATGGCTTGAGATATCTCATCCCATATGTTATCGAAAGACATGGCACCTTGAAGGAAGTCCAATTCCCCATCCTCTATTCCTTCCGGATGGAAGAATCCTACGAAAGACTTCTCTGGAACTACTGAGAGGGAATGGACTTTAGCCTGAAGGACTGTCTCAAGGTCAAAATGTTTGTCAGGGAATTGCTCTCGGTAGCTCTCATTTTCACACAGGTTTCTCCAATCCAGTGAACCTTCTCGGATCAGGCTGTCAAATTGAGACTTGATTGGCATTTCACCACGATTATTTTGAAACCAATCTGCAATTACAGCAACCAGAGATGTGCATGCTCCTTCACCTGCTGCTCGTTCGCTCCTTTGATCAATTGAAGCAAAGAAAACACTGGTTTTCAACTTCAGATGGCCATCACGACTAAGTATCTCCCTCTGCTCCCAACTTCCAACGGCAAAATTGTCATCCCCAAACTCAGAAACTGAAGATCTACTTGTAATGGCATCCTCCTCCGATTTAAGTACCTGTCAGATCATAAATTATTAGTTAGAACTCGAGCAATTACTTACAAAGATGATGAGTGGAAATTTGAGGACTGAGATTCTGTTAACTTTTCCACAACAATTGGAAATGCATGAATTTGGAAAGGTATTGTCTGTACCCCAAAACTGGATTCAGAAGAACATAGCTGTCGTCGATCAAAATCAATGTCATCGCCACCTTCATCTCCATAATGTCTTTTAAGCAGTGGCTCTCCTTTGGCCTTCGATGATTTGAAGCTCACTTTCCTTTTCCTCCAGGGGAGAATCTTGTCAATGGGGCTATTCAATGTGGTTTGATTAGTTTTAGGAACTGATGTATCTGAATTATCATAACACGAATTCCCTGTGTCCATTTTGTGATGGTTATAATAGATCCAGTCCTCATCTTCACTGCCACTTGTGCTGCAGTAAAACAATCCTCCAGCATGGTTTGCTTGTGCTAGGGTTTCATAACCGACTGACTTCCGACTCTTAGATGCTTTTCCATCTGTTGCTTCATCTTCTTTATCTGTATCATCATCAACCGAGTCTGTATCAAAAGGATACACATATTCGGCATCATCACTTTTGGTTGAGCTCTTTCCATCACTTCCATCCTCTTCTCGTCCGTCTTTCTTAACTCTCCTAGCAGATAAACCCTTGAAAATGTTCACTTTGCCCGAACCTGTCTTTGCTGGAGAACGATCGCCTTTTTCTGGAGATGAAAATTCCCGAAGGGGTGAAAGAGGTAGACATGGGATTGGCCTGTGGGATACTTCTGAAGTATCCTGTGCAGATTTCATTTCCAGAAGTCTCAGAGATAACTGTCACATTAACACAAAGTGAACAGTTTTAGCATACACCTCATTTCAAGAAGAGAAAAGGGCACAGAACAATATCTTTTTATCTACTCACAAGGAGTGTAGCATTGCAGGCAACTTTAGAATTGGAATTTTCCATTGGAATGCTAACTTCGACATCTTTGTCAGCTGTAGAACCAAAACCAGCAAGGTTCAAGGATGATTTGGCAACAAGAAGGATCTTGTCATTTTCTCCTGCGTTCGAACCCTGTTTCATTGGAAGATCAATGACAAAGATGTAAGACAAAACTCATTAAAGTATCAGCTTCAAGTTGTCACTATAGCACAAGAACTTCTTAGATTACAAGAACAATAAAGTTGCAGCATAAGTAGCTGTCTTTTGTTCTTTTGTGGTTCACATTAAAAATCACCCAATGAGTTTGACTCTTTGCATTAAAACAAAATTAGGTTCTTCAATCATTGTTTGTTTATTTCATTCTTTGCTGAATTCTTGACAAGGAAAACGCGTCAGTCCCGACCACAAATTTGCCAGTAGTATAGAAAGGCAACAGAATATGCCTGGAATAATATATACTCCTCTTTGCCAGAAAAGGAGCCATGTTATAGAGAGTTTCTAGAGGTCCAAGAGTACATTATCATTCTTAAACAAAAATTAAAATGGAAAAAATCAGCAAAATGATATGAACCCTTGATCAGATTTACATCAGCACCAATAGACAACTCAAATTGGTGGGACCAGTAAAGCAAAAACATCATTTCAATATTAGAAAGTTGAAAATCTCCCCCATTTTCTAGTGTTCATATGGAGTAGAGTGTCTTTCCATTAAGGCAAATTACAAGGTCAACATTTAAGGCTTTAAAGAATTTCAACATATTTGTGGCTGAATACTAAAGTGTCTCTTTAGATATTTATGTACCACAAAAATAAGTTTGATAAATGTCTCTCCATTTCCTCCTTTTTTTTTTCCTCCTTTAATATTTAAAATATTCAATATCAAGATATTTAGTTATTTTCCTTCTTAATAAATAATGAATATATACAGTAAGGAAACCGTGTGACTAACAGACTTTTTCTTCAAATAATAATAAAATGAAAGTTGGCTGGAGATTTATTACTTAAAAAATTCAGAACACAAAAAAGGTATAGAACTTATGCCCTTGGAGATGGATAAACTAGAAATACGTGATTTATTAGCTCATCATATTAAGCCTTGACTGCAGAAAAGGCTTAAACAGATTCATTAAAATAATAATATTCCACACGAGAAAGTCCAACATCAATACTGTAAATGCAAAGCAAATTGAATGATGATCACCATCATCATCATCATCAGCAGCAGCATAATAATTTTCTTTAGAGTCGGTCAACCAAGAAAAGAGTAATTCACTGGAAAACAAACTGATCGAATCTTTGAGAAATACCACGAAACAACTAGGGATCAAACTAGAAAGGTCAAACGTTTGTGCTTGCAGGAAAAAATTTGAAGTTCATTCCCGGAACATTTAAGAAAGTTTGCATCTTTTCATCAAAACTAATCAAATTTGATCACAATCTGCCAACTGAAGCCACAAAAAAAAAAAAAAAAAAATTGCTAAATCAGATAAAACAAAGATCAAAGCAACCATCAAACCATTTCTAATGTTAGCTCCAATACTCAGATGAAAATATCAAAGTATTCCCAATTTTAACAAATTTTCGATGTGGGTTTGAAGAAAATTGTTAGGAATCAAAGAAATGGAGTAAATCAAGAACTCACATTGAAGACAGTGAAGACCACTTCCCAAGGATGATACACCGCATCTTTAACAACACCAAAACTGCAAACACTTTGAAACTCCTCATTCCATTCCACAACTCCATCTTCTCTCAAAGATTCTTCCTTTGTGAAATTCCTCTTGACACTTCTTCTCAGAGAGGTCAAAGCAATCCCCTTTGATCCTTTCCACTTAATCTCAACCGCCAACCGAGAACAATCCGGACCAACCATTGACTTCCCAGCCACCCTTTCAGCTAAAACCTTAAGCCCTTGTAATTCTTTCACCGTGATCTTCACCTCAAACTTCTTAGAAGACAACGGAGGCCACGGCCTCCATTTAGTCATCCTCACAACCATCTTTTTTGCAGAAAAAAAACTCTACCAAATACTTCTGTACCAAAAGGGTCTGTCTATCTGTACTCCAAGTATTGTTTAGTACTATAAATAGAAAAAAAAAGTGGGGGGGAGTTGTGGCAGAGATTTTAGGAGTGTCTAGTCAAGAACAGGGTAGTTGTTCCTGTTCAAGTTGGGGATGGGAAAGATAAAAAAGGGGCAGATTGTGTGTTTTTTTTCAAAAAAGAAGAAATTTTGAAAGTTAGTTTAGAAATTTGGTGAGGAAATGATACTTAAATCAGAGAGAAATTTTGGTGTTTATGTGGGATGGTGATTATGATTTATGAAGAAAGAACAGAGCATATATGATTTGAGGAGATGGAGAGAAAATGAGAAAGGACGAGGGGCCGGCTGTGGAAATAGACACCTAAGAACTAACGTCTCTATTTCCCATCCTTTGCACAAAAGGTCCCTTATATGGTGACCTGATTGGGTATTCCTTTGGGCCCCTGTTTGATTATGTGGAAAATTGTTACTTGCTACTTATTTTATATCCAATAATATTTGTTTAAAAAAAAGATCTAAATTAAGGTACAAGTACAAAACAATGACACCAAGTCTGTACCTTTGTAAACATTCTTTGTGTTGTATTCATTTTTTTGCAAATCAAAGAAATAAATAATGACTAAACTAATGATGGTTTCAAACAACGTGTAGTAGAGACTAGAGATGGTGTCGGATGAGTTGAGGCCTTCTAGTCTCCATTTTGTATTAAGAGATTGGCAAAGAATTCAATTTGTCTTAGTTCATTCATATTTTAGAATGGTCCCTTAGGAAGTTTTTATTGGTTACCACATTGATCTTGATGGAGCAAGTTATTCTACATTGCAGTATTGTCACGTTTAAAAGATCCGATTCTTTTTTCTTTTTTCTTTTTTTTTAATAAACAGAAAATAATGAACAAAATAAGGATATATACACTAAAAGAGGGACTGTGACTTTCTTTATATAATTCATATTTTCCTTTTCGCATCAATTTGTGATAAGTTTAAAGCCAGAGCTAGCCATGTCTCGCACGAAAAAGGAAGAAGAAAAAGAGCCAGCTTTGAAATGGTTGCAATTAAGTTCAAAGAGATAAAGGAGCTGATGAAAAATACTATAGAGGGGGTCTTCCGTTAATTTTTCTGTTTTGGATTAACTCAGAATTTATTTAATTTGTAATATAATAGGTGGAACCTAAATTTTTAAAGACAGATCATCATATTGAGAATTCATTTAGAGATAAAATAATATTAGTATTTGGGGACACAAATGGGAGATTCTCAATTAATTCGGTGCATGTAACTGTTAATACTGAATCAGATTTGGTGGAATAGATAAGGTTGAAACAGATTTTGGCAGATGATTAATCATCTTACCAAATTATTCACAGATTAAGAATTTTAGTTCAGATGATTGGATGAGTGAAGAGCTATTACTATTTCAGGAATATTATTATGTTAATAATGGTTTGGCCTGTATAGAAATTAGAATGCATAACTTCTTCACACTAACCATTTTTAACAGCAAACATGCCATACCAAATTATTCGTTAATTATTGTCCAGATTCTAACCACGACTATCTGCTTCTTCCTTTTATTTTTTTACTTTTTCCCCCAAAAAAAAAAAATTGTTAGAAGAAAGAGGCATAGCATCTGAAGCTGTTAAATTACTACATAGCGAGGATATAAACAACGTCGTGCACACAATTTTTGTAAAAAAAAATAAATATAAAGGGTGAAATGGTAAGGCAGATGGTATACAAATTAGAAATGAGAAAGTACGTACTTGGATTTTCTTAATTCAATGGAATAGTTGTGCACGTATTTCCTGTAAAATGGTCAACGATTTATGACTATTAGCCAGTTGATTCTTTTCCAGATTGAAGAATAAAACTCACGCCTAATTTTATATGCTTGTAATTTTGTGTACATAATCGATAGCCTAACAGGTGCAGCTAGCTTCTGATGAGATAAGAAGTGAGAAATATTTATATAGTTCTAGCTCTGAGGTAGACTAAAACCGAACAATCTTGAAGAAAAGAAAAAGAGAGTATTAAAAAAAAACATATTTATTGAATTAAAATAATAAGATAAATAACGATGTTTTTTTTTTTTTAGAAGGAAAGAGTATATAGCACCCAAATGTAATACTAATAATACTGTAAGCTCTTAAAGCTGACTTCGTAGTAGTAAGCAAAAGATATATGGTGGTTTAGGTAAGAATGACATTCTTGTCTGCGTGATGTATGGCTTAGTTTTGGATTAATTAATCAAACTCTGTGTTTTATTTCTAATCTTTTAAAATTTATTAATGTCGTAAATTCTGGGGGTCGATTTGTAAACATAGACCAGCTGGCTAGTGTTTGTTTCACAAGGAAACGAATTATTATGAAATTAAAGGAAAATGTTTCATCACATTGGAACGGCGTAGAATAGATTGGCGGGTGACTCATTCATTGGTCATTAGTGGTGTGCATAATTAATTATGTGCTTACGGGATACTACTACTACTTTTTTTATAAAAAAAAAATATTTACCCATCTTATAAAATATACTATAAGAGTTCTCATTTATTGTATTAAGGAAGATTTTTCGTCCATGGCGATATCGGAAATGAAAAATCTTGTGATACTTTAAAGCAGTAATAGTGATGTATGCTTGTTACTACCCTTTCTAGGACTTCAAACAATATTTATGACACTAAATAAACCATTTTCAGTAAACTCAAATTCTAATATTATACTCACTCCGTTCCACAAAAATAGTCCACATTGAATTTTGACTTTTAAGTTTTGTAATGTTTTTTAGTACAAATTTGGAAATTCAGTGTCGACTATTTTCTTTTTTTTTAAGACGGAAGGAGTATGAAATAAACCAGCCCTTAGCTAGAATTTCAGGTTCTTTTATGTGCTTGTTATTTTGGATTCTGTCACATACATACACACCGGGATATTATACTCAAAGTCGATTCTCTTTTTTTTTAAGAAAATTATTTTTTTTGTTGAGATGGTCAGCTCTTTTCTAAAGCTTTTCCATTTGGATTCTGTTAGAGTCGATCGTTCTCGCAAATTGTACCGGCTTTTTCCAGTTAGGAAATTAACCCCTCCTTCTCATAATTATTGTTTAGTTTGAATTTTTATTTTTAGTTTAAACTGTATTAAAAATAAAATTTCAAACTAGATAATAATTTTAGAATATAAAAAATATATTTTATTAGATGACATTTATATTATTGTTGTTAATAAAGAAATGCTTCGTCTCTCCTCGAGAATCCTCTAACAATATTCTTACCTTGATCAATTTAAAAATCAGATGTGCAGTATGACAACTATTTTCTCGATATCCTCTTAATTAATAACGATACCCTTGGTAACCCAAGAAGAGGAAGGGGAAAAAAAACTATAGCCTTTTCTCCCAACTTTATCAATAGAAAAAAAAACAGTTAGTTAGGCCATTTTTCGTAATACTTTTGCGTTACATTTTGACACTAGTTTTTTTGAGAGTAAATTTTATGAAAAAAATAGTTAAATATTTGACTTGTATCCTTGTAAATAATACTCATACCTTAATATTGATCCTTCATACAGAGTGGATTTTGATACAAAATACCAATAGATTTTTTACTTTCATCAACTTTCCAGTCAGTTCTGTTAAGAGAGCAAAAAATTGGAATGCTAACAGTTTCAGTACAAAATAAATATTTTGCGACCTAGAAATTAAAATTGCATTTAGTTTTCTTCTTCAGATAATGAAAATGGATAACCTAAAAGAGAAGTGCACTGTATATTAAGTTTGGCTTGTCTGAACGTCAGCCTTGGGAATAGGACTGATTTTGGTAAATCGCTGCACGTATTTTGGTTATAAATGGTCAAAGTAGTTCGAGTCACTTTTCTTCGCCGTGGGACAAGAACTTTTTGCCGAATGAACTTGGATCAGGACAAGAATAGAAAGAACAGAATAGCCCACGAGTGAACACTTAAGTGGGATAAAACTAATTATACTCTAGATCGGTTCACAACAAACCCACGAGTCAATATTCTAGTAGGAGAAAATCAGTTATACCGCTGGATCGTTCCACAACAAGTCTACGGGTCAATACTCTAGTGGGAGAAAATCAGTTATACCGTTAGATCGTTCCACAACAAGCCCACGAGTCAACACTTAAGTGGAAAAATATAAAATTACTACAGACCACATCCGGCCCAGAACTCCACTACAGGCCCAGACAGCTTTGATACCGTACCAAAATACTTTGGGCTCCCATCTCAAAACCAATTGATAACGAGTAGGGTGACCTTTGAAATTTATATACTGAACCATTTCTTTTCAAGGTAGAGATTTAGGACAAGATAATACACTTTTAACATAAATTTTCCCGTTGGTTACATTGTATGATTGCCGTCAATAGTAGTAGTTTGTTTCTGAAAAACTCTTGTCCTCCCAATCTGCCAGAGAACTAAAATTAATTAAGGAAGAAACCTAAACAACAATCATCCACTTTTCCTGTTACCTGAAATGTTTGTTGGCGAGAGTCCCCTGCAGAATCACTGTGGTGCGTTTCAAAATTATTGCCAATGTTAAATGGACAAAACGAAAAGTTCATAAATTTGCATTTGATCCACGCGTTAACTAATTATAGGCACCAGAGAGACGCATATTATTCACTAGTAGAAAAATTTTAAAGGCTCCTGGCTAATTTATCAATTTGATGACAAATTTATTAGTACTCTTTTTTTTTTGGTATTAAAATAATCGTTTAATTTAAAATTTAAAATATACAGATCATATAATCAATTTTTATCTTCTGGCCTCTTTTACAAACGTGGATATTGTAATCTTCTCGGGGAAATCAAACACACGAAATGGTTAGAATTAAATGCTTCCGCCATGGACTCTTTTTTTTTTTAATAAAAAAAAGGATGAAAATTGGGAGATTTCTATAGCATTTAACTTGTGAACCACGTGCATCTCATCTCAAATTAATATGTCAAAAGATAGTAAATTTTATGGGACAATATATAGGTATGCTTTGATTTGTATATAATGAAGCGCCACAAAGTTTGCTCCGTGTTTTTCCATGATTGTTTGTAGAATACTTACTATTTTCTTGAGTATCTTGTCATTTGTTAATTTCTGAAAGCTTCAATTGGCTGTAGGGTACGCGATCAGGATCCAACTTGTAGAATACTTAGTATTTCCCGTTTAAGTCCATCTGAATTCTCAAGTTTCACAATTATTGGCGCGTAGAATTGAGTCAAATAGTTGAGTCTAGTGGAGTGAAGGGGGTGCATGATGGATGCAAGGATTGTAAAAACATTTTTCACCCTCCAAAATGTATAGGATGATGATATAATTAATTAGACCTACTAAAGCTAGGACATTAATGAAACCAATATATAATGAAGTTAATTCATTCCAACCCTCCAAAATGGTCATTATCCCTCCTTCAACTTCTCTCCGTCACATATCCATCCAACCTTTTTTCATTAGTACTTAATTTGGATCCAACTTTACCTACTCCTAATGTAACTACTGCATTGTGGAATGTGAAATCATTCCAAAATGAGCCATAACACACATAAGAGATAAAAAGTTTTAAATATACCAGAACCAAAAAAAATTGTCAAGTAAAATTATGAGGCAATTATGATTTATAACCAAGAATTGGAAATTTTATTGTTTAATTCCTGTGCCGTTTTGATTCGGCTGTCTTTGGAGATGTCGTTGTTAAATGTTTGGTGCTAAGTAAAAGACGAAGGTGTGACATCCATAGACACACAGTCTAATCTTGGTCTCTTCTCGGATGATTAAACTTTACAAGTCACTGAAAATTAATTAGGAGTTTAAGTGAAGACCATAAGGACCGAATTCATTGTCCTTTTCGTTTGGTCGGAAATTACAAAATTACAAGTTTACAAATATATTTTTTATTAAACATATGAGCAAAATTACAAGTTTCTTTAAACTTTAAACTGAAAACTCAAACTCTCTTTTAGGCCTTATTCTCCATAAAAATACCTTATTTTTATAAGGAAAATGATATATCTAAAAAAATAGTGAAAAAAAAATAGTGAGTAATGTGACTTATTTTTGGCCCCTAGTTTTTTGTCACTTTCCCTTTCAAATTTTGTCATTCCCTGAAAAATTATATTTTTACCCTTCATTAATAAATACACATATTTAGTGAGGATGGCGTATTTGTATTTTCATTAGTCACTATACTTTTTCATTATAATTAGTCAATATCTCTAACATTACTCTTTTTTTTATAATATGTAGTACTTCCGTCCCAAAACAAAAGTAAACAGCATGGTGATGATCTGAACAAGTCTGTCTTGAAGCCACAAAATATTATCATTATCATATGACACCCAAAAATCGATGACATTACCATTGTTTTTGTTGTTGTTCTAACGAAGGGAAAAGCCATTTACAACTTAAAAATTCCAACGCGCCCCCCAAACACCATAATATTTGTAGCCTCCAAAGTTGGCAGGTCTCGCCACATGTCCGTCTTGATCATAGCAAAATGCATTGCTCTCCATTATTGAACGCAGAAACAATTAAACCCTAGCCATATTTTGAGTTAGCCTGAAACTACACGTGATCAGAGATATTCAGAGATAACTAGTTTTTTAATTAAGCAATGAAATAAATAGGGCAACCCCCACGTTTTTGTGTTTTTTTTTTCTCCTTCGAAAAAGCACATCCGGAAAACCTTCAATTTTTTTTAATATATTATAAAAGAAACCAACAATATGGGACCATTTCTAGATATAGAATCACCAGTGATCAACATCAATAAATCTTTAAGGAAAAAAGAAACATGTGTGAAGAGTTGTGGGTCTTCAACCCGAACCCTTTTTGGATGATCCATGATGGATATTCTCATAACATATTTATGCAACTGGGGGAGTGAGTACTCTAGCTAGCTTAGCCTTTATCTTCTCTTTTTAAATATATATATATATATATATTTTTATAATAATCAATAATTTCGCAGTCGAAAAATCGATCTCCAAAATCTGACTTTTTCCATTCTGTAGCCTACAAATATGTATATTGATTAAAAAGATACCATCAAAACCTTCCACACGTCCAGTATTCAAAATCATTGATCCGTAAATCTAAATTTTTTTTACAAGAGAAATTTCTCCGAACAAATATTTAGTGTTTATTTGAATGTCAACTTACATTTCATTTTGTCACTTAAAAGTAGAAAGTGTTTCAAATTGAAAACTATATGAGAAATAAAAATGTTCTTTGGATGTTGGACATTGAAAAAAAAGTATTTTGAACTATATTTTAAAATATCAATTACAAGTCATCACTAAACAATTAAATATTGTCAATTATAGTCACTGCAAAAAAAAACTTTTCCAAAAACAATCACTCAACAACGGAATCCTGACAAATTTGTCACGGAACTATTTGTAGTTCTAAAATGGTCATTACACTAACAAAAAGTATTTCAAGTTGGAATTAAAAATATAAATAAGAAAGTTGTTTGGATGATGTTTTCTTTTCCATTGAGTTTTGTGTTTAAGAGTTAAAATGATTGAAAGTATAAAGTGAGTTGATGTGCAAACAAGACCTTAATCATGTTCATTCATAATATGAACCTGGGAATGGCCGGACCCAACGGCCTCGCATTAGTGGGTTGATATCAGTCAACAGTTTCAATCAAGAAAATAACAGGCTTCCCTAGACAGAGAATGGTGATGCAGAATTGACTAATCAATCTATATCCAATGCCCCATTTCAGTATTTCTTTACAGCAAAAACCACAATTGAAATGCCGGGGAAGATGGGTTGAAAACTTGAAATGAACAATCATCACAGCTATTGAAAAATACCTGCTAAAATGGACCATATCCTCTTTTTCCCCACTTTCTCTTCCGATTGGCATTTGCATCCATTGAATTTCTCAATAAGATGGGCAAAAGGGAGGCGAGGAATGGAGTATATATATAGTTGACTATATGCTTATTTTTTTAATTTGATTTATTACTAGTATTATTATTTTGGTTACTTGTAGCATCATCTTTTCTAACTTACCTGTCAATGATTATTTGGTACCAAAAAGTGATTGACAACTTTTTAAAAAGTCTAAAAGGGTAATGCAAAAGTCATTGACTTCAAAAGTCAACCATAAAGAATGGGTCGTTTTCTTTTCGTTCTAAATGAGTGAACACAATCTGAATCCAGGAACAAAATACCGCCATCAAAGTGTTTCATGGACTTCACCAAATTCAAAGCAGACAGAAAAGAGCAAAACTCGTAGACGTATTTTTACCATTAATGTAAACTCGAACTTTTAACTTCTAAAAAATGGGGTAAAAACGTTACTAACTGTAGGCCTAATAATGCCAGTGCATAAGGTAAAAGGGCTCAAGCCCGAATTCTTTTCTCTTAAAAAAAAAACAAAAAAAAATTCAAGAAAATCAAGGCCAGCCTCAAAACTTTTTTGTTCTTTGGAAAAGTCAGTCACACTCTCTTTCAATTGTTTCTACAGTCAACTACAAATCAAGAAGAAGATATGACTGGAGAAATAAGACAGGACACAAAGAAAAGCAGATCCTCTGGAAAAGAGAGTAAACAAGGAGGCAAAGGATTACAATCAAAAGTATCCTAAAAGAAGTGTCGTCTATCAAATTTATACCACCTATGCATCTTCATTGAACAAAATCCAACACAACCATCACCTATACTTCACCTGGTCGAGCTGACCTCCACCGGGACCAGAATCAACCACTTGAAGGAATTACTGAGCCTGAGTAGTTACTTCCTTACCTTGGTGAACAAACGTACCGATAGTTTTGAACCATTGCATAAGATTTCGGTGGTCCTTCACATATTGCCAAGCTTGTAAAAATGGGAAAAGGCTCTCATCGATCCCACGCTCTTGAATGTAACCATGCAGTGAATCTCTCACCCTTTCATCAAGTGCCCTGATAAATATCGTAAAAGAGAAGTGCCATGTCACAAAAATTTTCCATCACATAATATCCCGGGTAAATTTGGACTTTGCATTCTAATAGATGATTCTGGTTGCCACAAACATAAACAATCATTAAATCACTAATCCGGAATTTTATCAAAGTCATGATGCTTCTAAATGAAAGCAAATTACATAAGCAACAAAGGCAACAGATACAGTACTACTCATCTCCATATGATGATGAGCATGGATATTCGACTTCAAGAGTAATCTAGCAACAACAGCACAAAGAAGTTGATCTCATGAATTCCTTTTAGTGAAGTTTAAGTTGTCAATGTAACTTCATCAACCAAAACTGAAACAATTGAAATTATTGAATGATTGCAACACGGACTGCCCACATTGAGGAATAAGGATGAGCAAACAACAACAACAATAATAATAAAATAAATAAAAACCGTTTAAACACCAGGAAAAGTCAAAACAAACCCAATCGACAGACAAATCTACACTTATTAAATATACATACTGGAATACCTAAGAAACACAGCAGCAAACAATATCCCGATACTCCCAAGAAAAATGTACTTCGAAACTCATCCGGCACCGGATTTCGATTGGCCCCAACCAGAGTAACATAAAATCACACACAGGTTTCTCAAAACATATAAAAGCCTAGTAGGGGATTTTGTACCAGCACAACGATAGAAGATGAAAGACAGGATGAGAAAAACATGACTACTTCATGCATCATGTATCCATCAGAATAGGAAACCTACAATATGAAGAGCACAGTCACTCAGAAGCAGTTTAATGTAACTTACTCAAATGTGGGACCATTGTACTTATTTATAAGCCCTTCTAGTGTTGAAGCCTCAGAATTCTCAACTTTGGGCCTCAAAGAAACCGAGTGAATGCCTAAAGCATCAGGATATAGTCCACAAAGGAAATGTAAAGAATCCGCCTGCCCTGGTTTTGAGATATTAACATGAACAAACAATTGATTGATGCTGTCATCGTCATCGTCGTCGTCATCGTCACCTCCTTCAGGAATTATGTTGGCCAAGCGCATCACGGAAACACTGACTTCTTCATCCTTATATGACCGCTTAAGAACAGGACCGCCACTATCAAGAGATCCTTTCACTACTGTGAAAGGAGCAGGAGGGTTAACTTTCTGCAAAGAATGGAATTTTTGTCACATAACTAAGCTACATAAATGTTACAGGCCATATTGTCGCTACTGTGAAAACAAACATCTAGTTGAACCAACTTTTGGGTATACTTGTATAGATCTCTAAGTGAACCTCATTGAACAAGGAACCTCGTGTTTTTCATTCCACACGCCATCCACCCGAGAGGGATTACATCAGCACTCAAACACAAGCAATTTATGCCATTGTTTAAAGCAGGACACGTCTTAAGGTGAAAAGTTCTGATCACAAGAGATAAAGTACAGCACAATAAAAACTCAGCTTTAGGCATATTGCACCAAGTAAAGGCTTCACCCATTAACACGAATATTTTACATAAGTTCCATCCTAGTGCGAGAAGGTTTGTACTGATTCATTTAACAAAAAAAAAATCCGCATGTCAATGTATACATAAATCACAAGTATGCAGCCAAAGTGAAGAATTAAAAATAAAAAAAGTTGAACAATTAGTGTCATGTAATCCCACAATAACCCACATACACGTGGAAACCAAAAACTAAAACTTGAAAGCAACCTACATGAAATAAAACAATCCATTCGAGGTTCATATCATAGAGTACAACAGAAACAATACGCCTCTGAATTATTACAAATAAATATATTAAGAAAAAGAAAATAATTCTAATAAACAAGAATGAACGCCAGAGCAACCCAGCAAAAAGAGAAGAAAATCAGAGAAACATGTCATACTGTATAAAGAAAGGAAGCAGTAGAGGATTACCGGAGGAGGGGTCATTTTGGAGACTTCCATATAATGATCTTTGAGAGAACGGAGAAGAATGGAGTTGACAGCGGCGGAGACATCCGGCGACGGCCGTGTAGCCATGGACCGGCAACGCAGGAGAACGCTGTTGGCATAAGTAATCAGAGTTTTTCGCCACATTTCTTTCAGATGTTTAGATCCAAACAATGAATCTTTCCAGTTTGGTTCCGAGAGTAAGCCCTCTGCGATCTCCAATTTGATGATGTTTGGTTGAGATGTTATTCCTCGGCTCTTGCTTTTCTGGGGTTTTGGGTTTTAGGCTTTTTTAGCTCGGAGTTTCGAGCTTTTGGGGGTAATATAGGTTTATTACCATGGAAGCCCCTTATAAATTTGGAAATTAGCTTGACGCCAGATCTTTTTCTTTCTTTGTCTCCCTCTAATTTCTTTTTCTCCCTTTCTTTGAGTTTATCATGTAGTAATCTTCTGTGGAGTGATAATTACTAGTATCTCCATTCCTATTAAACATGATTTTCTTTTTCTATATAAAATATTTTACCTTTTCTAGAAAAAAAAATAAATAAGATTTTTTCATTATTTACCCTCCCAACTTACAAATTTACAATTTACTTCAGTCATTGTTATCAATATTTTACATGTTTAAGATAGGAACTCTGTAGCATATTTAAGGTTAAAAAAAATAGTTTTATACTTTTAGTATTTGCGGTGAGATAATTCTATCTTAGATATAGGAATGAAGATAGTAGGGTTTTTTTTTTTTTTTTCCCTTTGAAAACAAAGTAGGTTTTAGTTGTGAAAAGAATTGGCAGTTAACCTTTTTCTTTTTCCTTGCATTTTGTTATGTTACTTCAATGGAGTAAATCTCGTTCTTACCCAAGGTTATCGACCCACATGAATCCTTCAGTATAGTATTTACCCAGGTTGTTTTGCATAATTTGGAACCCCAACGGTCGAAATCAGGTAAAAAAGATGGCATCCTCTAAACAAAGTTAACGTTCAATTTTACGTGACAGTTTGCATCTCTTCTCTGAAAAAAACCGCAAATCTAAAACTCACCATACAAAGTGATACCCAGATGGGGTTATCCCAGAAGCAGAAAGGCATATAAACCATCAGGATCTCTAAATTGCCCATCTCTCATTATGCTTTTACAGAATCTAACACTACATTACATGGATGGTGAACAACGCCATTACAGGCTAAGAAACAGGTATAGTTTCTGTATGCATGCATTACACTTTTCTTGGACTCAAATACAACACGCAAAATTGCGACATTAACTAATGCCTTCAAGAAAATCTAACTAGAAAGAAGAAAATAATCCCAGACAACAAATCCTGAGTTCTACTACTTCCTTCTGGTCCTACTGTTTTTGTTAACTTTAACATACCTCCTATTGCTCTTGTCTCCACCACCATGACCACTGCCCAGTGAGAAACTTCCACCACCAAACTCCTGACTTCCTGATCCCTGAAATAAAGATTGATTTTGCGAGGCCGGTTGATTTTGCTGGCCTCCAAATTGGAAAGTATTTCCCAATGTTGGAGGTGGTGATGCAAACGTAAACGGACTAGGAGTAGGTGAGACAGGCGGTTGGCCAAAAACTGGACCTGCTGGCACAGATGAATGTACTGGATCCTCAGCCATGCTGTCTTCCGTGCTCATCTGATCATTATTTGTTGCTGGTGCAGCAAAGGCCTGAGCGCCACTGTTAAACACTGGCTGGGCAGCAAAGGGAGATGGTGAAGGTGTTGGAGCAGATGCAGCGTTGAACAAAGCTGGGGCCGAAGTGGGACCCCCAAACATTATAGGTGCAGTACTAGCGGCAGTACCACTAAAGTTGGAGGAATTTCCAAACTGAAAGCTAGTTGAAGGAGATGGGGCAAATGAGGAGCCATTGAAGATCGGAGAAGGCTTAGCAGCTGGCCAAGTGCCGACGAACGGATTACCAGCAGCAGGAGTGCTAGCAGGATTACTTTCCGTGGAGGGAGACAGAGACGAAGTCTTCGCCCCAAAATTAAAAATGCCAGTAGCAGGAGTACTGCTGGAGCTAGCATCTGTGGCCGGAGACAAAGACGAAGTCTTGGCCATAAAAACGCCAGGAGTGGCACTGGTACTTGGACCCAACGACTTGGTTTCAGAAAATGAACCTGACGAGTTATTAACCAAACTGGTGGTACCAGAACTAAAAGGGTTTACTGCTGTTTTCGTTGTCATAGAGTTAAAAGAAGTATTACTTGAGGTAAAGGATGGAGCATTAAAAATAGGGAAGACAGAAGATGCCGGATCACTAAGCTTAACTGGCGCAGATGTTGTTACAACTGAAGCTTCTGATCCAGCCACAAGAGACTGTGCATTAGGCAAAGAACCATTGCCTGAACTTGAAAGAGAATCCTGAGATTGGCTAATGGGTTGGGAAGATGTACTGAACCCAAAAGAGTTACTTCCAGTACCTATTGTGACAACTGGTGTACTGGTAGAAGGAAAATTACTTGAGTTGTCAGTATTCTCTTCCTTTCCGGTTTTCCCAGCGGTCAATTCTGGATTATGTGTCGTGGAAGGGTTACCAAAGGATACGAAATTAAAAACAGGCTTCTTTTGGAATGTAACTGGCTCAGCAGATAAAGAAAGGGCACTACTTGTAGCAGCAGGAGACAATGTTGGAGAAGCAAAAGAACTACTTGTACCAACAGAAGAAGCATTGCCAGTACCATTGGTAAGAAATGGATTTCCAAGCTCAATGTGAGTGGGAGAAGGTGCAGAGGCGATAATAGAAGGGCTTACAGCAGGCGGCCCGTTACTTGTACTAACACCAGGTGAGATGGTAGATACGCTTTCAGTTGTAGAAGAAGAACTCAAACCCTCAGTAAGTGAAGAACCCAGTGTCCCATTAGTTACAGCAGCATCATGCAGGGTATTGTCAATGCCTCTCTCGGACCCAGAACTTTTATAAAAACCAGTTGTCCCAGTTGTGAAAATACCATCAGTGCTGCATCAAAAGACAAGATTCAAATATCCTTCACAAACACCCAATAAAAAGCAGAAAGTAATAGTGGGAAAAGAAAAGCAGTAGAAATGATGAAAGTCCTAGATAGGGGACACCCCCAGGCCTGCATGGCCAATAATCCAAACAAACCCAAATTCACATGTTCATCACCACTCTCATAAAATTAATATCTTCATAACCTCAATACACACCTTACTTTCCCAATAGAGCTTAAATTTTTCAGAACTACTTATAATTTCCTTCTAAACAAAATCCAATCCAAATAAAAAAATTAAAAAAAAAACCATTTTCTAACAGGCCTTAACCCATTTTCTACCCAAAAAAAAAGGGTAACTAGCTGATGATAAGAACACAAAAGAAGAAAAAGAATGTGCTCCCTTCATTCTAAAACAAGTGTTCTTTTAGCAAATTGGATGAATTCTAAAATAAGAGTTGTTCTCACATTTTCAATTCATAACTTCTCAACTTTTTCCATAGTTACCCTCCATAAAAGTACACCATTAATAACATCTATTTGTTTGAATGGGTAGGATAGGGATGGTTTAGTAATTTACATCAAAATTAATTGTTTCTTGAACCGTGTGCAACGACACTTATTTTAGAATGGAGGAAGAATTAAATAGCTAATGATAGACAAGCAAATATCTTTGTAAATTTTCCTTATTAACTTTTTTTCTTTTTGAGTTTGGTATTCCGATCTCAATTTATAGGCCCACTACGAACTACTACCACACCTCGCCTCAACATACTATATAACTTTAAATTCCCCTTCACCACCACGTTGAAGCGGATGAACGGACTACGGATCATAATCATCTTCACAGAGACTGATTCAACTAATGTTCATGAGCACCAGTGCCTTGTTAATAACATCAAAGACTTCATTTTTCATAAAGGTATTTAGCTAATAATTAATTTTCATAAAAATATTTTGCAGGATATTTGCAGATCAAATAATAATGCTTAAAAGGTTCTTAGCTATATTGCAGATGGAAGTGTTTTACAGAGTATACGAAAAACTAACCGGTTTGTAATGTCTGGCTTTGCTTGCATAAGCACCAGTGGTTTTGGGTCTGCAGGTTCACCAACAGGTACAGTTGAAGGGCTTTCAGATCCTTGAACTTTATCAGATGCAGGCTTCGGATTGTCAGAACCCAAACTCGATGGAACTGTTGAAACCACCAAGGAGGCACTTTCTGGTACTGATGTCTCAGCAGAAGATGAATGTTTATTCTCAATAATCTCGGTGTTTGCATTGCCTTTGGGCAAAACTTCAGAAGCTGGTCCATTCAGATTTGTGTCATCATCCCAGTCCAGCAAATCCTGTCAAACGTATCACATTATCTCACAAGCAGAGAAAAACGATGAAAATATAAGGATAGGAAAGTTGCAACACCTTAGCAACCTTTAACAGTGAGAAAGATCATTTTCACGAAAATGAATGTTGTGAGATTAGCCACAAGCACAAGAAAAGCAATCACTTAACATAAATCAAATACTCTGACCAACCTCATGTGCACTCATCATGAAAGCTTGTTTCTTTTGCGGCCGTTGAGCATCAAATTTGGCGGCAGAATCTGAAGTTTCAACACTCTTAAAAGTGATCTTTCCAGAAGTCGTAGCATCACTGTTTTCTGCATGAACTGCCACATTACTTGGAGAACCCAACTTCTGCAAGTTTTTCCCCTCCATCGTATCATTTTCCTGAGTAGAACCACTAGTACTAACTTCCTTGCCACGAGAAACACAAACTTCCTTGCCACGAGAAACATTCTCCAACCTATTAACAGCTTGGTCACTGTACATCAGCTTTGAAGAATCTGCATCTTCAAGGCTTTTGAGTGCCTGCCCTCGAAGCATGTCTGTAGTTAATTTTGCCGGCGATTTTTCCTTGGCAGCAATGAGTTTTAATTCTGCAGACTTAGCTTTTGGTGTCATTCTTTCAAGATGCTCCAATATTTTTGAAGCCGTCTCAGTGGATTTAGGAGGAACATGAGCACAGCTGGGCCTTGGCGTTCGATTATCATCATTTTCTCCAGTAAATTTTGGACCTTTGTAAACCTTTTCATTGGTAAATGGATGTTTGCTTGCAGAAGAAACCCCACCAAACCCTTGGGAAAGAGAACCTCTATGGGACAGTATGCTAGGTTTTTGACGAGTTCTCCGCATTGGACCCACAGATCCATAATCATCATCTAGGGCAGAACTTCTACGCTTTAGACCCTACAAAAAGAACCAGAAGTTTGTTGCTTATGTAGCATAATACCAAAAGGAAGTTCAAAAGACAGGATCAACTGCAATAACTATTGACAGTACCATTCTGTTAGAAATCTCTCCAGGCAGGTCTTTTCCAGATGGTGCAAGCAACAAAGGCCCCCCATAACCATTCAACCTTGACCCGCTGCCCTGTAAATTGAAAAAGATGCAAGGGAAACTAAATTACTTGAACAAAAGTGGCTATCAAAACTCTCAGAAACCATGGATTATAAATAACCTTTTCAAAAGCAGTTTGATGAACTCTAGAATAAGGAGTACGCGCCATGTTGTATATCGCAGATCTGCCTCGAGACCTAGGAGTGGTGTAACCATTCTCTAGACCTGTCTTTGTCGCCAATGACAACATGGCTGATTTTGGAGTAAATGGAACATTACTCAGCAAGGTAGGATCTTCTCTAACAGCACGTACACGCGAACTCAACATCGAAGGTGATACTTTTGAAGCCTGATGGCCCATATAAGCTTTTGCAAGCTCAGCAGGAGAAGCAATGTCTTCTTCAAGAATCTGGTGGTACAACACTTAATAACATTAGTGATCACAAACAAAACCCATACTAACCAACGTAAGGCGGTCTTTTATTCCCTTATTTTGTTGCATAGGATTCATACCCCATCTAATCAAATCACCAGAAAAAATGAAGTACCAAAAGCTAGGGAGTATGTGTCTTACTTGTGTACTAATAGCAGGAGTTGAGATCATGCCATGAGATACATCACTTTGAATTCTTATTCCTTCTGATGGACTTGCTACACACTGTTGCTGCAGTTCAGAATTAGCAGCCAGTTTTCCATTACTTAATTCTGTTCTCCTAACATCACTTTGGTGAGGGAAATCTACTGCTCTTGAATGCAAAAGCTCTGTCAGACGATCAATTTCAGATCTGCAAAAGTGAAAATGCAATTCAAATCTTATGACAACCGAAAACAGGCCTGTAACAATAAGGAAATAGTAAAATAAAAGTGGATTCTAAATGTGCATGAACAGAAAACAAGTAGCTCAAACGGGTGAATATGGCATAATCAATTACAACAATACAATTCCAAGGAAAATCCAAGTTGCAAAATGATTATAAAAAAAAAGGCCCCCCTTATTTTGCCCTTTCTGCTGAAAAACTCACATCTTCCACAAAACGAAAAAGATAATGTTCATTGAGATCATATTAAAATGCTATCAAAAAGCTAACCTAGTGAAGGTCTTTTTCCTTAACAACTGCTCAAGGTCTGAAATAACACCATCGGGGGGACTCTGAGCAAGATGTGCACCATCACCAACAGCTGTTTCATGTGCTTCAGCCTGTTCAAACCAAATAAATCGAAGAATTAGATTCAAGTTATAGGTCCATCACAAATATAAGAACTAAAGCTGATACGAGACTGTTCCAACCGAAAGTTTCCTAGGGTATACATTCAAAACCCTCGAAGGAAATACGAAACACAAGTGAAACTAAAGTTGATAGCACTTGGAAACTCTTCCACTGAAACTTTCCTAGGGAATTGGAAACACAAGTGAATTAAACTTGTCACAATCAAATTTCTTTCAATCAAACATAAAAATGTTAACACATCCCCTTGAAATTGAAAAAGTGATACTTGGATAAATATAATTGAATACCACCTACAATAGTCCAGAGTTCTGATAAAATCAAAAAAGAAGAAGTAACAGAAAAATAAACGTTGAGGTGGACATAGCAAAAGTCACACAAACTTTTACTTTCTCGAGGCATCAACCTTTTACAAATGGAATTTTTTATTTTTATTTTATTTTTATTTTTTTTGCAGGTGTTGGCTACGTTCAGCAAGAAAGCATGTAAAAAAACAAAGATGTACCCGAGACACTTCCTGGACTCTCTCAGGCTGCTCACGACTCGTGTCTTTGTTCAATTCTGGCAACAAGAGAAAAAACATCAATTTATATGAAACTTCCAGATCACAATCCGGCCCAAGAAAGCTCCCACAACTATATCTTTACAGTAAAATATACAAAATTCAGATTGCCAAAAAAGGCGGCAGGTTTCATGAACAGCAATCCCCCCCCCCCAAAAAAAAACACACACACACACAGTTGAAATTAAATTACCTTCATATAAGTAGCAGAAATGGAAGAATTTACAAACCCAAAATCACTAGAAATATAAACTAAATTAGTCCTTCCAAATTTTAAGGCGAGTGCTTTCCAACAATAATGCACATGGAACTAAAGGCAGTTCTTATCTCAATACATGCAGCTCAACTGATTTAAAGCTTGTTAAGCAACTCATAAAATCTCTCAAAGAAAAGTCATTTCCGAGATCATTAAGTTTGTGGTGTGATATTTAGCTAAATCCACCACTAAAGGAACAATATCACTTCCATCAAGATATCATAGATACTAAATAACAAACTGGTACTTGGAGAAGATGTAACAAATATGGGTAACAAATTGCTGGAAATCTGTTTTTAAATTAACAGATTTCCAGCAATTACAACATATTAGCTTTCTAATTTATAGCCAAAGAATTCCAAACACAGGGTTTATTTTAACCTAAAACTGCATGCGGATCCAAAACTCACTAGCTATAATAAAAAAAGAACAATTTTTCAAAAAGATTAAATTAGGTTACTACAATGTCTGCCAACAATAAAAGCATAACTCTTCCAATCACACCTATTCAATCAACTAAAAGAACTGAAACAAAAAGCACAACAGAAACCTGATATGGAACAATAAAACGAGAAAACTAAAACAACAACCAAAATTGCAGAAAACAAGAAGAGTATCCCGGGCAAGAAGGGCTTACAAACCTGGCTGTGGCGGAGAGGGAGGAGGGGGAGCAGGAAGACGTTTCCGGAAGAGAGAGGAGAAGAAAAGCTGATAGCCAGAGGTAACAAGCTTGGAAGCTGGTTCCATGAGATGCTTGGATAGCCAGCTAGGGTTTCGGAAAGCGGTGGGAGGCCGATCGTACGGGGTCGTATTAGTCTTGCGGAAGGGTCGTTTCCTGAACTTTCCGCCAACTCCGCCATTACCGGCGTAGCCTAAAGACGGTGTCGCTGAGGGTCCTTCACCCGCCGTCGCCATCAATTTAAAATCAGCGCACAAGCACGAAGTTGCTGTGGAAGGGAGAGAGGGAAAATTGTAGAGAGAGAAACCCGCGTGCTTAGTACGAACTTTTGCAAGACAGGGCGAGTGAAGAGAGAGAAAGAGGCGAAAAAAGCTGGAGCGGAAATTAGGGTTTATTGATGCCACGCAAAAAAAGAAAATACTAATAATTTTGTAGAGAGCGAAAATTTATAGGCAAAAAATTAAAAGAAAATATATGGAAAATAAATGCGTGCCCGCTCTATATATACTGGACGTTTATAGTGATTTTGACCGTTGGCGACTGGATTTGGCGGTAATAGGTTTTCTTTGCTTTTTTTTCATTGCTTAATTTATTTCTTCTGGTCAGTGTATACATGGTTTGTTTATAATTGCGCGTTACGCGACCAGTTGTGTTTTAAGTGTATAATGTGAAAAAATTCAGTGCTAATTTTTATAGAGTAATGTATTTTGTATTAAATTTTGAGTTGAATAAACAATAAGGATATAAATTTATTATAGTTGGCTCGATTTTTTAGTTATATTTGTTGTAGTTCATTTGAGATAAACTATACACAATCTCTCTTTTGAATATTCTATAAACCTAAATAAGAAGGCATATACATATAAGAAAAATTGTATGAAAACAATCCTATAACCTTTTTGAGTGTCAACATTCTTAGACAAATCGTTAAACTGCCAAAGAATTAAGTATACAGGTGAAAATAAGGGACATCAACTGAGATACTAGTTGGCTAGAAAGACTTCTACTACCGTGATTTAATCCAAGTTTAATTGTTCAAGCATGTGCTCCAAAAACTATTCTCACTAAAAGCATCCTCAATCATAAACTAGTTCATACACATAAACTAAAAAAGTGGGCCGTTGATTGAATAAATATATTAGATATTAATATTTTATAAATTTTTCCTACAACATTTAATGTCCGACCCCATATCTCTCCTCTCATTCTTGATTTATATTCATAAACTTTTTCTTCATAAACTTTTGGCCACATTAAATTTTTACGAGTTTATGTATTAATGGTGGGCCACTCTTCAACATAAACTCTCTCATGGACAATTATTGAGGATGCCTAACAGCTTACAATGGAGAGCAAGTACTTGTCTTCAATTATACAGCCTGATAATGTCGATGAACTCTCTCTAGAATAGAGGAAAAAGAAGTATGCAATGCTTCCTCTACACATTCAAATTCACTTATTCTCCCTTCAATGTATAATAACTAGGGGAAACAAGCTATATCAAGAAGCATCTAAGCAACTCCCTAGCTAAAATATTACCCATAATAAAACTCCACATACAAGAATATTGTCTTTCATAAATTGCTGCCTCCTATCTCCAGTACCACTCGGTTTAAAATGAAGTTTCAAGAGAAAATGAATACATTAGAAAAGAAGTAACATTTGACAGTTGAATGATAACTAAGCAACTCGTATATGTGACATTCAAACTAGAGGATACTTCTTGATTTATTAAGAGCCAAACACTACAAAAAGAAAAACAAAAAACTTGTGATTAACCACGGAAATGGACGTTTATGGTAAAAGTTGTGGTTAATTAGGCACGAAATACCCACGCTTTAGCTACGAAACTTTGACCAAAACTCAATTCTCCTAAAATCATGAGTTAGCTACGACATTAACCACGAATTCACCATATATTAACCACAGCCAAACATAAACGTGGCTAATTCTCTTCCCGTCATTATATTTGCCACGGATTAGACACGAGTTTACATAAACGTGACTAATTCTCTTTCCGTCATTATATTTGCCACAGATTAGGCACGACTTTTTGTCCGTGGATTGTTAAATAGTAGTTAAAATAATTTTTAACTATGAATTAACCACGTCTAATACCGTGGTTAACATTGTTATGGTTAAAGTCGTGGCTAATATTAGGAATTAGCTACGCTCAATACCGTGGGTAGCGTTTACGTGGTTAAAGTCGTGGCTAATGTTAGAAATTAGCCACGCTTAATGCCGTGGGTAACGGTTGCGTGATTAAAGTTGTTGGTAATGTTTGATATAGACATGTATTTAACCACAGTGTAATTTATGCGTAATTAATTTCGAAAATAATGTTTAAGCAACCATTGAATTACCTGGGAAAAAAAATTTATTACGACACGTTTTGTAATTAAATTGTGAATAAGAAATTGACAAAGTAAAATGAAGATGAATAATAACAGTTTCCATTGGTGAGGTTAATTATGCTCATAAAATACATTGAAATTGACAAAGTAAAATATTTTATCTCTTGTAACATTTTTTTTTATTTATACTTTCTCATAAAATACATTAATTCTCCGTAATTAGGCATAAGAGACTCAAATGTAATATTTCACAAAAAAGGAGGATCTATTTGTGTTTTTACATATATGCTTATAATTATATTATAACACCCTAAAAATTGAAAATTGCCCCCATAAAATGCGTAGACTTTTAAACTAGTCTTTTAAACTTATAATAATTATAGTATGACACCCTAATAGTGACATTTTGTACTCAAGTAACATTTTTTTTGAGTAATTAGATTAAAGTTGATTGATAATATTTCTAATGTATTTTAGATCTATAAACATTAGACAATAATGAATGTATGTAAACTTCTAATTTATTAGACACAAACTTACACTTCTGAGTTTTGAATTAGTAGTCAACACATATACACAAAAGCAGTCTTACAACAATGCATCATTAAAACAGTACTATATTTTAAATTATAATATAATATTACATACATCTAGTAATTGTGATATAACCTTTGAAGAGCAACATAAAGTTTTTGACAACTATCCAGGTAAGAGAAAGGTAATATTTGCAACAAATGTTGCTGAGACCTCTTTAACCATTCCATGTGTCAAATATGTCGTGGATTCAGGCATGGTGAAGGAGAGAAAATTTGACCCTGTCACTGGAATGAATGTCCTCCGGATTTGCTGCACCAGTTAGAGTTCTGCTAACCAACGCGCTGGTCGTGCTGGAAGGACTGAACCTGGGAGGTGTTACAGAGTTCATTCTGAGAATGATTTTGAGCGGATGTCTGCTGATCAGGAGCCTGAAATTCGGAGGGTTCATCTAGGTGTGGCTGTTTTGAGGATTCTTGCTTTGGGTGTCAAGAATGTACAGGATTTTAATTATGTTGATGCCCCTAGTGCCGAAGCGATTGAGATGGCCCTTAGTAATCTTGTTCAACTTGGAGCTGTTGCACCACATAATGATGTGTTTGAATTGACTTCAGAAGGGAGAGAATTAGTTAAGCTAGGAATTGAGCCACGGCTTGGTAAAATTATTCTTGAATGCTTTAAACATCGCCTTGGTAGGGAAGGCCTTGTTCTTGCTGCTGTTATGGCAAATTCAAATAGCATATTTTGTAGAGATGGAACTCGAGAAAGCAAGTTAAAATCTGTCTTAAAAGAGTGGGAATCTGTCTTAATCTGTCTTAAAATTGGCGAATTCCAATTTTGTCATCATAGTGGTGACCTCTTCACTTTACTTCATGTTTACAAGGAGTGGGAAGCTGTCCCCTGTGAAAGAAGAAATATCTGGTGTTGGGAAAATGGCATCAATGCAAAATCGATGCCGAGATGCCAGGAGGCAGCACAAGAGTTGGATTTGCGCCTTAAAAATGAACTCAATATGCTCATACCAAGTTATTGGAAATGGGATCCCCAGATGCAGACGCCGCAGAATGCGACCCTAAAGAGTATCATACTTTCTGCTTTTGCAGAAAATGTGGCCATCTACTCTCGTCATGATGACCTTGGTTATGTAGTTGCACTTACAGGCAAACATATTCAACTACATCCTTCTTGTTCTTTACTTGTTTTTGATCAAAGACCTGGTTGGGTTGTTTTTGGTGAAATTCTTTCTGCATCTTACCAATATCTGGTATGCGTTACTTGTGTTGACTTCAAATCATTTTCTGCTCTTAGTCCCCCTCCATTGTTTGATTTTTGTAAGATGGATAAGGAGAGGCTTCAAAAGAGAATTTTGACAGGGTTTGGCAGTTCGATGTTGAAAAGGTTCTGCGGGAAAGGTAATGGTAACTTGAACAATCTTGTTTCACACAACTCAGGAAAGAATACTTGGATGAACGAATTGGAGTTGAAGTTTATGTCGATAAGAATGAGGTTCGTTTGTATGCTGCTCCTGAAGACATGGAGAAAGTTTGTGGCACTGCGAATGATGCACTGGAGTATGAACTCAGATTATTGCAGAATGAGTGCTCCGAAAGATGCCTCTTTAGTGGAGGATCCAAAGTCTCTTCAAGTGTTGCTCTTTTTGGAGCTGGTGCTGAGATCAAGCATCTGGAGCTGGAGAAGAAATGTTTAACTGTTGACGTTTTTCATTCCAAAGTGAACTGTGTTAATGACAAAGAGCTATTGATGTTTATGGAGAGAGAGACAGGTGGTGCTATTTGTTGTTTTCATAAGTTTTCATCCATTGGCCAAGAAAGCAAGGTGCCGGAAGAGTGTATTAGGATTACATTTCTCTCACCTGATGCTGCAAGGAGAGCTACTGAGCTCAATCAGGCTGAGTTCTGTGGTGGCTTACTAACGGTGATTCCTTCTCGGAACAGCTATGTCGGTGACCATAAACTGCTACCCTTTTCTGCTTTGAAAGCAAAAGTTTCTTGGCCGCGTAGGTATAGTATAGGTGTGGCAATTGTAAAGTGTCAGGAGGAGGATGTTGCTACCTTGGTGCATGAATTATCCAATGTAACTCATTTTGAACGAAGCACCAAGTATACAGACAGTGTGGTCCTTAGAAAACTTGATAGAGAAATATCTGAAGATGAAATTTTTGAAGTTTTAGCCTCGGTGACAAGTAGGAAGATATTGGATGTGTTCTTGTTGCGAAAAGAAGCTGTTGATCCTTTCTCCCCTGCTGCTTGTGAAGAAGCGCTTCTGAGAGAAATATCTTCTTTTATGCCTAAAGGCAACCCTCTTGGTACCTTTGTCTGTGTTGAGGTGCTTCAACCCGAACCAAAGGACACTTACATGAGAGCCCACGATTATGTTTGATGGCAGTCTGCATTTGGAGGCCGCGAAGGCTTTGGACCAAATAAATGGGAAAGCATTACCAGGATGTCTTGTTTGGCTGAAATGTCAGCATTTGTTTCATAGCTCTGTTTCATGTCCTGAACCTGTGTACAATGTGCTACGTAATCAGCTGAACACTTTAGTCGCAAGCTCCCGCAGAAGAAAAGGTCGAAATATTCTGTTATTCTTTCTCTGAGCATGATTTTTTAATTTTGTTTGGATCCATTTGTAGCTACACCGTAATCTATCTAGCTCGCAGAAGCATGGATGTTAGCATTAAGCTTATCTGTTAGCTTGTATGGCTTCATTTTTTGTCCTCTAGGACCCTGCATTAGGCTATTGATTGTTTGGTGCCAAAAAGTTTACAAATATAGTTGGTCTGCTGCTAATTTTTTCTAAAGAAAGAGAGAAAGATAAGGATTCCATCAAGATTGTTATGTTATTTAATCAATGTGGTATGTCATGGCCCTTTCAACTGAGCAAAGTTTTTTAGATTGCGACTTAATTTGGTTCGTAGTAGATAATTTGCTGTAGTTGAATCATAGATTTTTGTTTTATAATGATTTGCAGGTGTTGATTGCACAATGGTACAAAATGAAAATCGTTCATATCGAGTGAATATATCTGCACCTGCCACCAAAATTGTGGAAGAGATTAGAAGACCGCTTGAGGTGCTGATGAAAGGCATCATTGTTGACCAGGAAGCCATAACACCAACAGTTTTGCAGCAACTTTTTTTCTCGTGACGGTATCATACTTATGAAGACGCTTCGGAAGGAGACAGGGATCCTACATTCTTTTTTGACAAGCAGGCCCTCAGTGTTAGGGTCTTTGGTACAGAAGACAAGATTCAGGTGGCAAAAGACGAGGCTTATCAGATCTCTTCTGACGTTACATGAGAGCAAGCAACTGCAAGTCCATCTTCGCGGTGCCGGGCTGCCTTCAGATATGATGAAGAGGATTGTTCAGAAGTTAGGTCCCGAACTTCATGGGCTTAAAGAAATGTTTCCTGGTGTTGATTTTTCCTTGGATACCAAACGCCATTTCATCTCTCTAAGAGGTGCAAAAGACTTGAGCCCTAAAGTTCAAGCCATTATTCATGAGATTGCGCAGAAAAGTGATTCATCACCTGATAAAAGTTATGAAGAGGACTCGTGTGCCATTTGCTTTTGTGAAGTTGAGGACGGTTACAAGCTTGAACATTGTGGACATGAGTTCTGCAGGTCATGCCTAGTTGAACAGTGCGAGTCTGCAATTAGAAGTCAGGGCAGCTTTCCGATCCGTTGTGCAAAGATGGGTTGTGGGGCTCGTTTCCTGCATACAGATTTGAGGTCTCTGATGATAGGTGAGAAGTTTGAAGAACTGTTTCGGGCTTCTTTAGCTGCATTTGTTGCAGCTAGTGGGGGAAGTTTCAGATTTTGCCCTTCTCCCGATTGTCCTTCAGTGTATCAAGTCAGCGATTCGGCCGACGCCCCATTTTTATGCGGTGCATGTTATGTGGAGATGCCACCTTGAGTATCATCCATTTATGTCATGTGAACAGTACAAGGAGTTCAAAGATGATCCAGAGAAGGAATGGTGCGCCGGAAAAGAAAATGTCCACAAGTGGCCGGTCTGTACTTTCACGATCGAGAAAGTGGACGGTTGCAATCATGTTGCGTGTAGATGCGGCCGGCATATTTGTTGGGTCTGCCTGGAACACTTTGTAACTGGTGAGGATTGCTACGACCATTTAAGGTCTGTGCACAAAGCCATTATATGATGAAACGTGACACAACTATCTACTCTTTCCTCGATGAATGAAGCTGCCTGCTGTGAATATACATATTACTTGTTTTGTTTACCGCTCTGAACTTTCCTTTAGAGCTCGATAACAACATATAATTCACATAACCTACCTCGTGATTATGTTTATATAAACAATAAGCATTCATCTTGCAGATCAAGTAGTGGAAATTATTTTGTTTTTATTTTTTTAGAAAAAAAAAAGCCCCCGTCGAGATAATCGGGACGACCATAAATTACTAAGGTTCGCAATAAAATGAGCTCCGAGATTAATATGGTCCTCATCAGAGTTTATGAAAAGGATTGGTGTTAATTAATTGCTTTCCAGAGCCGCGAGCATCTACAAACAAGTGTAAAATTCTTGTCCAGTTGTTGATTCCTTCAAGTTGGGTGCGAGGTGTAAAAATGCTTATGGTGAAATGTATGTGCACGCTGACGCCGGTGGTTTCCTTTAATTTTGGGTGTGCATGAACGTCGAAGAGAAAAACTTGGCTGTAGTTTAATGCAAAAGGTATTCTTTAGATGAGTTAAAAGAACTCATTATACGGCGCCGGCGCCGGCGGACACATCAACAATCTCAACAGATATAGGGCTGGTCTGATCCCTCCATGATCGCGGATTTGGGATTCCCACCTCTCTTTATGCTGGCTTCTGTTTTTTTAATTTTGTTAGCCTAGCAGATTGCACAAGGATCCATGGATATGGTTAACAACGGATAATTATTTGTTTGATAGATAGTTCCCACAAAAAAAAAAGGAATATCCAGACGGCATTTCAAGGATTATGATCCATGTCACACAAACTTTGCCTTTTTCCCTCAAAAATGCAATTGCAAATTCAACCAATCTGCACTCTCTACAGCAAATTCAGTCTGGACTAAGTTAGTTCCTGTGACTGACCGATTATCGTCCATGCTTGAAAGCATTCTATTCCTAGTTTCCCTCTCATCTCAATCAACAACGGCTCCCAATACACAAGCGATAACAGATGAAGCAATATAACAATGCCAACCACATATCCACCTTCCAATAGTCAGATCGTATAATTTAGAAAAACATGTTTTTAGATTTTTTTTTTTTTAAGGGTGTTGTGGGCAGTATAAAAGAAAAGCTGTATACAGCACAACCAACAGAAGCTAAAACCTGGCAGCAACTAGAAAATTGCTCGGATTATATTTCCTACTGTACACTCTGTAATACATGGAGACCGTAATAATTGTTCATCTTAAAACATCCGTGGGAAAATTGATGAAAGAATTGAAGGATTAAACCTTTCTGCAGCCTGGTGTTCTATAGTTTAAAGGCTTCCCTGAAATTAATGCTGATGCTATCCTCTAGGCCTCTCCTACCACCTCCAGCAACGGGATTTCCTCGTTGCATCATGGCCACAAACTCTTTGTAATCAATGCGTCCATCCTGCACAACCAAAAATTGAAATTAGGCTAATCTTGAAAGTCTAAAACACAGAACAGCAAGATGGGGTGCCCTAGACCCTATCACACACATCAAAGAGACCCTCATTTTTGTTGCAGAACCAAGAAACTACTATGGACATGCTAGTAATAGGGAGGAAAAGAATACTGCTGAAGTTCTTATTGAATATGCAAAATTCAGTTGTATGAAATCTAAACCAACATTATCTTGGTCAACGTCTCTGATCATATCATCCAGGCTGGTATCATCCATGCCGAATTCCTTGCATGCTTGTTGAAGTTCATCTGCCGTAATATAACCACTTCCATCCCTGTCAAAGTAGTTGAAAGCAGCAAACAGGTGGTCCTCTCTTTCAACTCTGTTAAGATGTAATGTCGCTGCAATGAACTCCCCATAATCAATTGTTCCACTGTTATCCACATCAGCCTAGATGTTCAGAAAATACATCAGATAATGAACCGTTTCAAGGGTACAGATAACAGAAAATAGTTGAAAAACTTAATCTGATTCATGCCAAAAGGCCATCCAAGATAGCAGTTCATTTATCTAGATATGCACGAAGTAATGTTTTTCTAAGTGTGACAAGGAACTGCACTCATTTCAGACGTGATGATGGAGATAATAACCCAAAGGATATATATATTTTTTCCTCTCAAATTTAATAATTGTTAACAGAGCAACATCTGCTTGACTTAGAACTTACAGCTTGCATTAGATCATAAATCTCGGACTCATTAAGATTGGCACCAACACGTTGTAGTCCAGTTTTGAGCTCTTCAAAAGTGATTGACCCACTATTATCTGCATCTATCATCTTAAACATTTGCTTCAGTCCAGCTATTTCTTCTTCAGACAATGAATCTGCAATGACCTGAAAAGGTGGAACATGTCCATCTTAAGCAAATCTAGTTTCCGAATTTCACCATGCATTCTACTGAACTTCACTAGACAACTCATACGAGGTGGCACAGGTTTACTCCAAAACCATTTAGAAATTAGTTTTAACTCTGACATACTCTTAAAGCCATTTTCTTTAGCTTGTTCATGGCGGAGAATTGTTTCATGCGGCTTAGAACTGCAGAGTCCAGGGGTTTGTCAGGAGCAAGACCATCAATTTGAACCCAAGGGTGGCCTGCATCAGCAAAAAAAGATCATTAAATTTGTCCTCTCACTGAGGCTCTTAAGGTTGAAGCAGTATCCATTTTCTATATTCAGAAAACATGGTAATAGCAATAAACATCCAAACTATCCTTTTTTAAGTCTCCGAGTAAAAGACAAAAGAATAGAAACAAGTCAAACTTTTCATGCCAGTTTCCAGGAGAAAGATTGTGAGACTGAGCTGATAACTGCAAAAAAAGTGTTCTTTAACACCAACTCCCAAGGATTATTTCTTAAAACGTAAGTTCGGATCATTCAGAAACCACCACCAGCGACATACTGGAACAAAAGTAGCGAAAACATATGTACATCATATGCCTGCACCCCACATCAACAACAGAACACCTTCAAGTTAAAGTGGCGACACTACCAACTGCATGGACCAACAAAAGGGTTTACCAACTATATGGAGAACTTCATCAAAATGATGTTAATTGAATGGGCACTTCCCAAAGTCAGGAACTTCAAATCAGGAGTAAGAATATGTGGGCAAAACACATTTCCCATTACAAGCCGGTAAAGACAAGGCAAACATCAGAACACAGAATGGCTAAAAAGAAACAGTATTTGCTAGAAAACATTAAGGAAACTTCTTCATACGGTAAAAAATCCCCGGCCAAGTTCCAACGCACAAGTCACACAACTCTGGTAGTAAAGCCATTGACACTAGGACGTGATGAATTTGTGTGTGTGGGTGGGTGGGTAATGGATGTAACGTAATTTTGCAGAGATGGGAGTTAATACCTGCAGCATCTTATAAAACCTGAAGACACAAACTTTCAAAGGTAAATCTTGCAAATGCACTTACGCAGGACTTCATGTGCTGTTAGACGCCTCTTAGGGTCTCTAACAAGCATTTTCTTCACCAAATCCTTTGCACTTTCAGAAATACTGGGCCAGGGATCAGACGCGAAGTCAAGATCTCCATGCAAGACTTGTTCAAATATTCCTTGCTCAGATTCTGCAGCATTGACCATTTGGATTAGAAAAAGTAATATGTTTAAATGACCCCAAAGAAGTTTACTCCACTAAACGGCATCTCAAATCTCACCAGCCCAGAAAGGAGGTACACCACTTAGTAGAATGTAGACAATCACTCCAGCACTCCAGACATCCGCTTCAGGACCATAACGCTTTCGAAGGACTTCAGGAGCAACATAATATGGACTGCCAACAACGTCGGTAAATTTGTCCCCTGGGCAAGAATGCTACACCTTCAATAGCTAATGATGCGTATAAAAACTTCATAAAGTTTTGATTTAGAACTCTGACTTGCATTAGATGTGGTAAAATAGAAGTTCTAAACCACAGAATGCCTGTACAGTACCTCCGAAAGTATTTTCAATGAACATTTGGACTTAATATACTTCAGGAAGTACAAACAACACAAGAAGAAGTTTGAATGACGATGCATTTAAAGGCTAGTTAATCCCTTATCATAGCGAAGCACTGCTAATACGTGGAAAACTTGGTCAAATTGCTTCAAGTTGAGAGTCAGGTTAATAATAGGACAGAGGACAACTAAGGAATTGGTTAAGTTCAAAACGATGCCATGGCAAAAGGAAAAAGGAACACCTTGTTCTGAATAAAACAAAGAAGTAACAAAATACAACGCATCCTATTGTTCAATTGCTATTTCAAGTTACACACGCAATAAATTGCATGCAGACATCTTTTGCTGGTTTGTGACGATCAAACCTATTGGAGGTTGTTCAATTGTCATCTTAAGCTACGTATGCAAGGAATTGATTGCAGACATCTTTGCGTCATTTCAACCAACCCTACCCTGGACGGTTATTGAGTGTAAGCACAAGCATTCATTTTGTGAAACCATAAAGGGTCTTTTGGAAAAGGATTGTTTATGTAATTTAGAGACTTAATGACAATAAGTAACCCAGCATAGAACAGAAAGCAATTTGATAACACTGAGGATACCTGGCTTGAAAAATATGGATAAGCCAAAATCAATTGTCTTGAGAAGGGAATCTTCCCTCTGATTTACAAAAAGGAAATTCTCAGGCTTCAGATCACGATGCATCACCCCTAACGAGTGACAAGCTTCTACAACGCCAACAATTGTCCTTGTAAGCTCAGCTGCCTTTCTTTCAGTATAATGCCCACGCTGAATAATCCTATCGAAAAGTTCACCTCCTGCACAGAACTCCATCACAACATGAACCGCAATCGCATCCTCATAAGCTGCTTTAATTGAAATCACATTAGGATGGCCTGCCAAATGGTGCATTATCTGAATTTCCCGTCTAACATCTTCGACATCATCATCCGTCAACAACTTCCTTTTGGCAATAGATTTGCAAGCGTACTGCTTTCCTGTGGCCTTCTCCACACAAAGGAATGTAGTTCCAAACTGACCTTGTCCTAATTTCTTACCCAAACTATAAAATTCCTTCAAATTACCAGTTCTGGTTTGCAGAACTGATTCCTTCAACCCACTTGGAACCCTCTTCACAGGCCGGGGCACCTTAGCCTTGGCCGGTTTCTCTTCTTTCGGTTCTGGTTCAGGCTTTAATTCCACTTCTGGTCCAGGAATCTTGACTTGTTCTGGTGGCTTGCTTTGGACAGGCAGAGGGGATTCTGGTTCTTTGCCAGTAGCAGTAGGAGTCTCACTTTCAGTGTGGACACTTTCAATATTACCTACCATATCATCCGGGGATCGAGTTCGCCACATTGCAGCAGAAACAGACTGCAAGAAACCATTTTTGGAGAGGCTAGGTCCAACACAAGTATTCCCCATTTCTTATCTAACCCTCTTGAGATTATTGGTGCCTCAGCCAATCAAACATGTATAAGATCTAAAAAAATTTACAGAGGGCAAACTCTGTGCTCCCCAGGACCATAAGGATCTACCTAACAACTTTGACTGCACTCCAGAAAACAGGAAACCCCAACAAAGTCAAGGAAAATTAAAAAGACCCAATCAACTCCAAGTTGCTATCCAAAGTCTGTGTACTGGAAAGCCTTTTTATTTCATAAGAAATGACTTATGACAGCAACTCTTAGAATTCTACTAGTTATTATGGTATTAAAGTTTACTTTCCCATCTACATCCACTGGCAACGCACAAATTGAATACAAGAATAAGGAAGATATAAACTTGAAGGAATAGCATATGCAATCACAACCCAGAAATGTCAACCATTAAGCCAATAGAAGATGAAACTGATCAGATGAGCCAAGAAAGAAGTTACAACTTACTAGACTGGAAAGACTACAAAGAGAAATGGAAACGGCGCTTGGCCGGTAGGAAATTAAAGCGTAATACAACAACAACAACAACAACAACAACAAGTAAGATAAGAAAAAGTTGAGATCTTGATGAGATCAAGGTGATGACCAGATGAGAATAAGTCTAATGAGCAGCCCAAATGGAATTAAATTTTTTTTGTCCTTAAAGCTATTAAAAAAAAAATGCAGTAAAAAGGGCAGTGTTTTCTTGTCGCGCGTATCTCGCTACCACTGTCCTAAACTCCCAATCCAATTTAAGGCATTCACTCATGAAATGTGGATTTACATTTCAGTTTAGGACAAGACTTTCGATTAAGGCAAAAAGACGCGTCTGCCGCTTTGGAGGTTGGACTTGTGAAGGCCCCATATGATTTTTTTTTTTTGGTTTAATTAAATTGTTAGTGGGCTTGTTGGGTCGTTTCTCCACTCCATTTTGGTCCAAAGTGGTGCTGACATGAATTTTACTCCTTGCGGTCATAGTTATATTTTAATAAAACTAGTATTATGCCCGTAGTGATATAATACTCTACTGAAACTAAAAAGATTCGTGTTTTTAGTTAAAATTATAAATAAGATATGGGCTAACTCTTTAGGAGGTGAGAAATATTTTAGTTTAATAATTCAATGAATAAAATTGCCTTATGAAAAGATTTGTTTAGAAGTGAAAAAATTACTCACGATATTTGGAAACAAAACTAAGAAAACTTTCATTTTAGTTCGTTTAATTTATATTTTTTTGTTTTACAGTCGAACCCTAATTTCTGAAGAGTAATGATAGAAACAGTAACAAATAATAATGAAATGGGATAATGACTAATGAAAACATAAATACACTATTCTCACTAATAATGGAAGGGCCACCTTCTTATGGATTTTATTTATTTTTATTTTCATCTTTAATAGCATGTCAGTCTAAATCATTCTACTTAAAAGGTTCCAAATCGTTGATAGATTATAAACTTGTGATGTTTTTGCTGTTATTTTAGCAATTTTTGATAGCCTGTTGAATAAAAATAAAAGAAGAGAAAGCAACAAATATGACTCCGTCTTCATTTTCATCTTTCCAGCTTCATTTTCGAAAGCCCATTAAACACACACACATAAAAAGGAACCAAATGCTACTTGTTCAAAAAGAATTTTTTTCAAAAATGTAACCTAATTTAGAATAGGACGTCTTCTGGCGGATCTTATTCCATCTTTAACAATATATCATCATCTATCGTCTTGTTTAAAAAGTTCTGAATCCTTAGTAGGTTAAAATCCTACGATGGTTTTGGTTGCAATTATTATTATTATTATTGTTATTATTATTATTATTTTGACATCACGTTAAAAAAGAAAATGAAGAAGAACCAGCGAATCTCATTCCGTCTTCATTTTCAACTTTCAATCTTTATTTTGTTGATAGCCCGTTGAGCAAAAATAAAAATAAAAAACAAAAAACAAGCATTATTTGTCCAAAGAAAAATTCTTCAGAAGTTTTATCAAACTATAAAAGAGTCGTAGTTCATCGGGTCACATTCTATCTTCATTTTCATCTTTTACAGTATGTTAATGTGTATTGTTCTGTTTAAAAAAGTCTTAGTTTTTTTTAGGTTAAAAACCAACAACTGTTTTGGCTGTAATTTTAGAAATTTTGACAACCCGTTGAACAACACACACACACACACACAAAAGGTATATCTCATTACATCTTCATTTTCATCTTTTCATCTTTATTTTAAACATCCCGTTGAACCCCCAAAAAAAAAGAAATAAAGAAAAAACAAGAATTATTTACTTATCCAAAGAGAAATTTTTTAAAAGTGTTATCTAATTACTTGTCCAAAGATATTTTCAGGCCTTAGACACGGCGACATTGCACAATGGGCTTTTAAATATTAATTTTTGAATCTTATTTGTTTTCGTCACCATATCCAAAAGAAGATAAAATTGTACCCTTGCTCTAAATTTGTCAAACACCATCACTAATCACCCCAAAAATTTAAATATTATGAAGTAAACTCATACCACCTATATAAACTCATGCTGTGTTTATCAATCTATTTGTCTGTGATTTACAAAAAAAGAAAAAATAAAAAAAACTCAAATTTGATTGTGTAAAATAAATATATGATTTGTGACAGCTTGTTATTGGGATACTAAGAGTAAAAGAATTTTGGCTTCTATTTAGTTTAAGAGATTTGAATTTTAAAGATTTGAAAGATCAAATCAATTTCAAAACTAAGATTATTTTATTTTTAATGTGAATTATCCCACTTGAACATACTTATCTCATTTTAAATCATTTTATTCATCATGCCACATTTTTCTTACATCCTTTATTCCAACTAAAGATCCAAAATTGAAGGAAAAATAAAAAGTAACCCGCCTGTAGCATGAATAATGTTTTCAGATAGATGAGAGAGTAAAATCAATTTTTTTTTCCCGAGAGAGATTTGTGGCAAATTTTATGTGGAAAAGACATATATTTATAGTGTTATGTTTTTGGAGCATCAAATGACCGATCCTTTTAATTAAGGGATTCTTTTTAATTGATTATATTAACATATTTTAAGTTGTATTTATCCCTTATAATTGTGGGATAACTGATTTATCAATTTCAGTGAGAAGAACTGGATGAATGCATACGTGAATGTACCTTAATTTTATTTAATATTTAACTTATACAACTTAATTACGTTTGATCATAATTATATATTTTATAACATAGATTAAGTTTAAATTTTGAATTGATATTAATTTTAAAAATATGAGATTATCTTGATATTGTTATCTTATTTTTAAATAGAAAACCATTAATTAAAATTTAACTCAATACATATCTCAAAAAAAAAAAACATAACTCAATACATGGTAAAGTTATAAATTAATAGTTTTACTAATATATTTTAATTGTTTAATGAAGGACCAATCATCAAGTGACACGTATTAATGAATCAATTGGATCAGTGACGGAGCCACGTTGAGCCCAGCTGGGGCAAAATTTTTCAAATACCCCTAATGTATTACTAATATTAAAAATTTATTCTTAAATTTTAAAATAAATATTATTTTTTAAAATAAATATTATTTTGCCCCAGTAACATTTATATGTAATAGTTTTGCCCCACCTAAGGGTAGGGGCTTGGCTCCGCCCCTAAATTGGATGGCAATTGGATGACACGTGATCACTTCATCCTTTTTCCTTTAATATATATATATATATATATATATATATATATATATATAGAGGATACTTTCTCAAAAAATTATAGTGAAAATTTATATGACTTAAAAATGTATCTAATTATTTGGGACAATAACTTCAAATACAATGTGATGTAACATAAGTTTGGTGCGAGTCATGCCATTAAGTTCATACCCTAACATAGGACAATATGCATTATTCTTGTTCTGTTCCGAAATTATTGTCTACTTAAACTATAAATGAAAATTCAAGCTAGACAATAATTTTGGGACAAAAGGAATACCCATTTTGTTCTTATGTTATGAAATAATTGTTTTGTATATATTTTTACTTTTGGTACAGTTTAAACTAAAAAATAAAAATATCAACTAAATAATTATTTTGGGACGAAAAAGATTACGTGAAAAAGAAAAGATAAAAAAGTTGGCAATGACAAGATTCACAAATATGCCAACAAGGCGTAACTCAGATTTCATAGTTGTTCGTTTTATTTCCACAATTCTTCACATAAGCATGAAAAAACATCAATTCGTTACTTAAGCTATCTGCCTTGAAAACTGACGATTGCTACATTTCTAGCACATTTGGATCACAATAAAAGAATAAGAGCTCGATACAATGCCTCATTTATTGAAAGTAATTTTTGATGTCGCGAATAAAAGTAGAGTACTTTTGGGCAAACGGTGGTAGTATAAGTTTTGCTGCTTTATATCATGGTTAAGGGTCCCAACGCAACTAAGTTGGATCACGAAGCAATTAAATAATGCAAAGTCATCACCACTTGGGATAGAACGTGCATGATTATCAATGACCTCAATTATTAGTACCACCAATGCCTTCAAGGAAATGTGTTCTATTTGTTGTCTTACCACAATTGAAGGGTTGACAGGCCAAATAATCAAACCGGCCTAAAACAACTTGAACTCACAGTTGCAATTCACAATCCTTGTATCGTAGTGGCAGAAAAAGACAGCTCGATGCTAAATAAGAGAAGAGACAATTGTTGCGCAATTAAGGGCTGATTTTGTTGTGGTATTCTTAACAACCTTTCCATGAAAATACATCATTTAGTACATGCAAGATAACCAAAGGCTACCAAGACAACAAAATCCACAAAACGCCTAAGATTGAGCAAAACTATTCACAATATAGCTAGGACTACTACTAGCATCCAACAAAAAGGTTAGCCCTGAAGGTCATTGATCAGTCGTCTATTACATCAAGCAAATCAAACTAGCAAAAAGCAAAATGTTATTACTACTTACGACATCAAGCCCAAGTTCCTTCAATAAGAGGTTTGACCGGAGCAAATTCACCAAAAGTCCTGACCAAATCCGAACAAGACGGATCATGGGAATTCTCCACCTCTGTTTTCAACTCCAGTCCCAACTCCTCTTCCACATCATCCGCTGCTGCAATCAGAAGAAACTCACACCCTTCATAGTTGAGGAAATCAGGAGGATCCGCCGGAGTAAACTTCCGGTGACCAACGTTGCCCTGCAAATGCGCCGGGAAACTCGCCCTCCGCTTTCTCTTCAGCCCACCGAACCCAGAACTTCCTTCCTGATCCGGGTTCTTCACCTGGATAATAAACGACCCTTCCCGTTCAACGTTCAGAGATTCCTGAGCTTCGTTCTTCTCATCCTCAGGTGGGAATTCAAGCTTGTAAACCAAATGGGTATGCATTCTCTTTCCCGGGTTATGCCTTAAGATCCGATAAATGCCTTCACCCAACGCCCTCGCCGGCTCCGTCTGACGGTGTCCTCTGGTTTTGGTGTCATATTCTTCCCCTTTCAACGAAGCTTTCACATCATCGATTTTGGTGGTAACCAAATCGACGAAGCCCCAGTAAGGCCGGCCCCTCTGCCGGGTCGGGTCAGGGAGACTTTTCTTCCCCATTACAATAAACCTCAGCAACGGCTGCTTCTCAATGTCGACTTTCTCGACGCCGTGCCCACCTTCTTCGTAGTGGCTTTTGGGACGTGGACGAGTTGGGTTTTCCTCGGCGGAAGACTCGCCGAGTTTACTGCCTTCCTTGCCGGAATCGGATCCTTGCTTCTCTTCCACGGATTTTTCGCCGGATTCAGGTCGGAGAACCACGTACAACCGTTGTACATCCGCCGGACTGTGAGCTTCCTTCTTGGTCACTTTAGGGCGGTAAAAGAAGAAAATTTCCCCTCTTTCCAGAATCCCAACACTGGGAGACTCTCTGGTTTTCACTTCTTCTCCTTGACCCATGTTTGCTTTCCAAACTGCTGTTAAAAACCCAAGAAATACGAATATTATCAGCTCACGAAAACATCACTAAAAAAGGAGTAATTTCTGGATGACTAAAGATCGATAAAATAATGTTGGACAACGAGTAACTGATCATAAAAAAACTAAACTTACTCTCTCAAGTTTCTTTGAAGAAAATGGTAGAATCGTTTGAATACTACTGGTTAAGAAAATAATTTGAAGGGATGATGTAGAACTAGAAAACTGGTCTAAAACTCCAGGTGTCCACATTGCAGGGGCAATGAGAAACGAGTCCTGTTCTACTGCTGCCACGTCAAATTTTTGGGCCAAATGTTCATGTTCTGCCATTATTAATCTCCGATTTCGTACTAAATTATAGGTCACTGTACAAAATTATTGTTCAATTTAAGATTTCACTTTTAGTACAACTTAAACTAGAAATAAAAATTTAAACTGGACAATAATAATGAGTAAGCTACAATTAACTCATACTGTAATTTACTAGAACCTTTGGGCTGAAGAAGCCCATAGAACCTTTGGGCTACCATGTGTGTCTGGTAATCCATTCCTCTCCTTTGGAGTTAATATGGTTATTATCAAACACACCTTTAGCCTTTCTTTTTTTTCTTTTTCGGTCTGGTGGAGCTCTCTCTCTCTCTAAGCCTTTCTCTCTGCAAACCAACGGTAACAAAATAGTCCTTTCCTCCGGTCCACAATGGAGATGGTGGATTCCCCACCATTGAATTATGATAAAGACAACCCCATACCAATCAATCCCACCACAAATGAACCTCAACCCAACTCTCTAGCAAGTAATGGAGTTACATCGAAGGAAACACGCCCATCGAATTGGGGCCAATCCTTTAGGGATATTTTGTTGCAGGGTCAGCAAACAAAAAATTCCAAGGGATTCCACATGGAATCAGTAACAACAGAGGAAGGTGAAGTCACTTACGGAGAGGTCGACGGCCTCTCTACAATTGATTTTGCCAACCCGGTCCAAAGAAGGATGAATCGCGCCATGACCTACACAGTGGCTGTAAGACCTTTAGGACGTGAATTCCCTTATTATTTGCTTCATAAACGTCTGAAGGACATGTGGCAACCAAAAGGGGAAGTTTTCCCATCGGATGTTATCGAAGGTTGCCATATGTTCCGACTTCAAACGTGGAGGACTACAATCATGTCCTGCTTAATGGCCCCTGGTCAATCAAGGAGCACTATATCACGGTCCTCCCTTGGACCCCAGATTTTGACCCCACGGGCGAAAATCTGTCAGCAGTACCCACTTGAATTCGGATACCGGGTCTCCCGTTAAAATATTTTCACGAACCTCTATTGAGGGACATCACAAAGCCCATGGGAAGATTCATTAAAGGCGACAGAAATACAATCACCGCTGAAAGAGGTCGTTACGCCAGAGTCGCTATCGAATTGGATCTGTCCAAACCCCTCAAAGGGAAACTCAGAATTGATGGAAAAACGTATAACATCGAGTATGAAGACTTGAGGCAAATTTGTTTCCACTGTGGTAAATACGGCCACGTCATCCAGAGCTGCCCAACACCCCCACCACCACCACCGTCCCACCAGGAGGCGACGCCATTGGAAGAAGTTTCAGAACCAAGCACGTCTAACCCGGATCTGCGAAAAGAAATTCAATCAGCCCCAGATGCGGCCAATGCTAGCTGGGAAAAAGCTACTTATCTTCCGATGCAACACCAGCAGACCTCCCACCTAGGGGAATGGAATTACGCTCAAAAGAAAACCAGGCGACCGTACACCCCAGCAAAGAAGCAGACTTTCATCTTTGGCCAATCGAAGTTCTCACCACTGTTGGAGTTGGAACTGGAGTCTGCCCACGAAGGAACCGGCGATGTCCCCGATAAAACAACCACATGTACCCAAAATGATAAATTTCCAACGAATACCACTGGTCAAACTCACCTTGCAGGTAATACCTACAAGCCCAAAAGCAGCCCAAGCACAGGGAAAGGTAAGAGCCACGACCTAGCGCCCAAACCCAGTAAAAGAAAACCCGATGCCGCACCAACAGACCCTACATGGTCCAAGAAAACCTCACCAGCTACTAATCAACCGAACTCTGAAAACCAGCCCAATAACCAAGTGGGTCAGCAACAACCTGGTCCCTCCTCGGCCCAAAACCACAGCAAAGAACTTGTTAACACTCCCCCAACCCACCCCACGACACTGCATAGCAATACTTCAGTCACAAAACCAATTTTAGACCCCTTAAAACATAGTGCGATCTAGATACCGCACCCGAATCCGACTCACAAAACCACTGGCACCGATCCCACTGCCGACAAACCACCCGACCCAAACAGGGGCTTTCACCTAAAACCCAACCTTAAATTTCAAGTAGGCCGCTCAATTCCTCCAGAAGAGATAATCGCTGAGGACAAGGAAATGGCTGATGTCAAAGCAAACATAGCGATGGATCAATCTGGACAGTCAGAAGGGCTAGTTCCAGCGACCCATGGAAGAACAGCCGCCGGATCTCGGCCGGTAAAGTTCTCCACCCCTCTCTTAATTTTTTTTATCATTATGAGTAACAAAATATTATCCTGGAATTGTCAAAGTATGGCTAACAACACAACAATCTCTGTTTTAAAGGATTTTATATCAAGTCACCAAAAATAGCACCCCACGCCCCCCAAAACCCTTCCGGTACCAAAACATGTGGGAAGCTCACAACGAGTGGACAAAATGGCTAAGGCATATATGGAACCCGACCGGAAAGCTCACGGAGAACATGCAATCCCTGGTGGCAAACATTGGCGATTGGAAGTATCACCATTTTGGAAACATCCACAAAAATAAAAGGAGGGTTTTAGCAAGATTAAAAGGGCTTCAACAAGTTTTGGTAACTCCACACCTTGGTTCCAATCCTTGGAACAAGAATTAAGAGATGAATACGAAACTATATGCACGCAAGAGGAGCTACACCGTTTGCAGAACTCCAGATCCATGTGGCTCCTTCAAGGCGATAGAAATTCCAAGATCTTCCACGCATCACACCGTCCGGCGAGGAGAAAGAAAAAATTCAAATCTCTCCAACTAGATGATGGTAGTTGGTGCGCTGATGCTGAAACTTTGGGAGACAGAGCTTCTTTATTTTTCAAACAACTTTACCAACAGGATCCCTCACCATCAGAAAGGTATGCTATCAGGAACCAATTTCCTTTAATTCCTAACAGATTTCTAGCTCCCCTCTTAGCAGATGTTCATGACAAAGAAGTACGGGAAGCCGTATTTGAAATGGATAAGAACAAAGAAGGAGGTGTCAACGGCTTCAATGTGGGGTTCTATCAACACAATTGGTCCACAGTCAGCACCTCAGTTGGTAACTTGGTCAGAGAAGCCTTCACAAACGGCCAAATCGACCCCGACATCAACAAGGCATTGGTAGTTCTTATTCCAAAGACGGAAAACCCTATCAATTTCCAAAATTTCAGGCTAATCAGCCTGATCAACGTGTCAGCGAAAATAATCTCAAAGGTGATAACAAACAGACTAAAGAAGGTGATGCCAATTTTAACCCTTCCGACCCAGACCAGCTTCGTCCCAGGTCGACACATTGCTGAAAACATTGTCATAGCTCAAGAAGCCATCCACACGATGCGAAATTCAAAAGGGCGCAAAGGTTGGATCGCTATCAAGATTGATTTGGCCAAAGCCTTCGACAGAGTAAACTGGAGCTTTATTGCGGATATTCTTGATGACGCTGGTATCCCTCCTAACCTTAATAAGGTGATCATGAGTCTTTTAAACACCGGAAGCACAAGCATTCTTTGGGATGGCGTCATTGGATAGGAATTCAAGCCAGGTCGTGGAGTTCGTCAGGGAGACCCCATTTCCCCCTATCTCTTCGTCCTCTGCATGGAACGATTGTCCCACGCTATCAACCTGGAAGTTCGAAATCACAGGTGGAAACCTCTCACTTTTGGCAGCGATAAAACGCCTTTGTCACATCTTCTTTTCACGGATGATCTGATCCTTTTCGCGGAAGCTAGCACTGACCAAATCCGAGTTATTCGGTCCGTCCTAGACAAGTTTTGCAAAGCTTCAGGCGAAATGGTTAGCAACGAGAAGACGGTACTTTATTGCTCTCCCAACATAGACACGTCCCTGGCGGCAACCTTAAGTTCGATGATGGGCGTCACTCTTGTAAACAACCTGGGAAAGTACCTCGGAGTCCCGATCCTGCACGGTAAATTCCACCTATAAAAAGGTCATAAAAATTCAGAACAGAATTAACACTTGGAATCCCCACAAATTTTCCATGGCGGGACGGCTCACACTTTGTCAATCAGTCTTGGCAGCTGTCCCAACCTATACTATGCAATCTACTATGCTCCCAAAAGGTACAGTCGACCAAATCGACAAGCTCAGACGAAAATTTCTATGGGGAGCTTCTCAATCCGAAAGAAAGTTAAGCTTGGTAAACTGGGATACGGTTTGCCAGCCCAAGTCTTGCGGCGGTTTAGGGATGCGCAAACTAAGGGACGTTAATGTTAGTTTCTTCCTGAAACATGCCTGGAACCTGCTTTCAAACGAGGGAACCTTTGGCAGAAAATTCTAAAAGCCAAATATGCCATCCCCGAAAATAGAATCCCTCAAAGCATCACAAGGAATAACTGCTCCCTGTTGTGGAAACACATCGTCGCTGTTTGGCCGAGCATCCTTGATGGAATCAGATGGACAGTTGGTGATGGAGAAACAATCCCCTTCTGGACAGACAACTGGTTGAACCTGGGTAACCCCCTGTCTTCCTTCATGCTAATACCACTCTCGACAGAGGATAACTCCAAAACACTCAGTAGCTTCGTTGATAATAAAGGAAATTGGGCTTGGAGTGAACTCCGGCAGTCCTTACCACTTGATATCCTAGAAATTATTAAGGCTATCCCCCCACCAACTGCTGCAGTTGGGACGGATAAGCTAGCTTGGAAATGGACAAAAAATGAAAAATTTTCTACTTCTTCTTCTCATTCTATTTTTGCAGGAACTAGAGGCCACATAGAACAACCACACTGGAACCACATATGGAAATGGCCTGGCCCCGAAAGGATCAGGACGTTCTTGTGGCTGCTCTACAGGGAGGCCTTGATGACAAATTCGGAAAGACTCCGCCGCCACATATCTGACGACGGAAGCTGCCTCTATTGCGGCGAATTAGAAACCTTTTATCACTTATTTCGTGACTGTAACAGGACTAACGAATTGTGGAAAAGCTGCTGCCCCAGTTCGGATAGCAACTTTTGGCATAACAATTCTTGGCCAGACTGGATCTTAGCTAACCTAAAATCCTCCTTTTTGTAGAACACACTTGTATGGAAGATCTGGTTTGGAGTGGCTGTTTGCAAGCTATGGAAAACCAGAAACGAAGAGACTTTTAGATCATCGACTACCTCTCTGGCTGAACTCAAAGGATCCACGCATTCCCTTATCAGAGAAGTAACCAGATCAAACATGATTTTTGCCCCAAAACAATATGTCGGGAAGCTGTTGGAATTGCCCCGGCCATGGCAACCACCGCCATATCAATGGATCAAAATAAACTCAGATGGTGCCGCAAGTATTGCTGCCAAACAAGCAGCTATTGGGGGTCTCCTAAAAAACCATGAAGGCCTGTAGATCACAGGTTACGTAGTGAAATTGGGAAATTGCAACTCCTTGGAAGCCGAGTATTGGGGGGCTCTCTTTGGACTCCGAATTGCATGGGATCTTGGCTTTAGGAGAATTATTTTAGAGATGGATTCGGCCGAAGCCCTAAATTCTCTCAGATCCATTGATAATTTGGTCCCATCTAGCGACGTTTTGAGACACATTTCGGTCCTACTTGATAAGTAATGGGTAGTGAATTTTAGCCTTATTAATCAAATGAGGCAGCAGATTCATTAGCTAAGTTAGGCTTCTCTTGTTTGACGGGATTACAAATTTTGTCATCACCCCTGTCGAATGTAGCTGATCTTTTAACAATAGATAGGAACCAGTCATCCCCCCATTTTTAGGGATGTTTTGTAACTAAGCTTTTATGCTTCCTTCGTATATATAAAAAAAAAAAATCAAACACACCCTTAAACTTAATTGATTAAGTGCTTGACTAGATAGTTAGCCCGAGCGGATGCTCGGATGATCTCTTTGAATTTTCAATTGTAATAAATGCAATACTATATAAGTCAAATAATAAAATCTGATTAAGTGGGGTAAAAAAAGATTGTTGAAACAATGAGGACATAAAGTGTAAATTTTTGTACTGCACAATCATTATCATTGTACAATTTCCCCCAGTTTCCTGTTAGTTTCAATTGGGACACCCTCTTTGATATGTATACGATCACATGACTTCTGAAACTGCATAAAACTTGCTCCTGCATGCGTATATATAACAACTGTTCTCTTATACAATAGATTTCTGTGTCGCTTCCAAAAATGTCTTGGAACATTCTGTAACATGAGTTTTAAATCATGAAAGCATAAACTAAGAAATATAGATGTTAGACAAAAAAAAGACTTTGAACGTGTGAACAACCATCCTAGCGAATGCCCATGATCGCTTGTGTTGTAAATCTATTAAATAAGAAAATCAAATCAACAAGAAAAAACAATACATTTTTTATAACAGTCGACTCGGAACACAATAATAGTACGGAATCGGAACACATTACGTTGCTCGTTCAACACAATCTAAGTATGAATGTGTAGAGTTTAGAATTTCGGGCAGTATCTCAATTCCAATTATGTATTAAAATTTTTTATCTATGTCTCAAAATTACAAATAAATCAATTATCTATGTCTCTATGAAACAACAATGCATTTGCTGCCAAAAAAAAAAAAAAAAAAACTACGCAAGTACCTCCATCCCTCTCTCCCTCCATCTCTCCCTCCCTCTCTTCACATTCTAATTTTCAGCACTTCATATTTTGCATAAAGGACCTGCAATAGGTCATATATATCTACACACTGCATCAAATACTTAGTAAAGCACTCTACAACCCACCTGTCGACTGTTGATCTGCTGAACTGCAATTCAGCAAGTTCCTTTTGCAGTCCATCCCAACCCCGAGTTCCAGCCTGCAATATAATGACAAATACTATATAATTAATACCTTGGTCGATCAGTAATCATATAATTGATTCAATATAGTTTATTCAATTAACTGAGAGTGATTTTCGGATGACATGATAGGCGCAAATAGTTTAATTGTTATTAGCATGTACCATTGATCGGAATTAGTAGAATTCTAGCAGTAGCCTCCTGACCGATAATAATTTAATTTTATCCAGGGAATAGTCAACTTGAGTAAAAATTTACTGTTACAAATGACATTATAGAGGTAGATAAGATCACAACTCATTTACTGTTACGAATATGTTTTGCTTGCACTTGATGAGAATATAGAGGTAAAAGGAAATTAATTAGAACCTCAAGATACACACCTTGATAAAATTATCACTTCCCTCCGAGTGTATACAATTAGAAGTACTTGCTGCAAAATTAGAAGTCATAACAGTATCCTAATATATATAATATGAAAGCACTTACATCTAGCTAGTCTCAGTCAATCCATTGGCATTCATCATCTTGTGCAAGCGACTTCATTTAGCAAATGAGGTATAAGAATTTGTGAAAAAATCAATGTAGGAATCAGATTTAACAAAGAGACTATGACAACCCCATGAAAAAAATAATTAATAAGAAAACATGTGCAACAATCCTATAAATCACATGACCATATAAATCACATAAACAATCCAATTAGTTTTATCTTTCTTCCACCTATCTGAATCAATAAGAAAACCAAAAACACACCCGCCAAAAAAACTGCAGTGTTTCAAGTGTAAAAACAAAAACTACATATATAGATTTCTCTATTAAACAACCTGTGAAAGTGGTATAAGAAGCACACATTTGAAATCTTTTGATTGAATATATAGATCTAAACATATAAGATTTTCAGTAAGAAACAGAATACTACAAAAAGATCATTATAAATCCAAGCAAGTAAAGCTGAGAATTTGAGAGATTCAAGATAAGTGAGGCACCTGAATTTCGTGTTTCACTATCACCATCGAAAATGTTGCCCGTCAGATTATTCTCTTTCTTCAACTGAAAATGAAAAATTATCTTTTTTGCATCGGCCAAAATTCTGAATAGGCCATCACTGTTGTCATTCCCTGGCCCAACAGACGTAAAATAATTGATCAATCAACAATGTAAAACAATTGAATTTTTACAATGTAGAGGCGGATGTAAATAAGAACCAGCAGCATCATCAACTGTGATTTTATACAAAAATCAATTCAGTCTATACGTATCATCCTATTCACTGTCAATTTAGCCCTAACCAAAATACAGAGACATCCAACAGTGAAAATCAATCAAGATAATTCACATTGCTCCAATAACACGCAGCACAAATATACCTATTATTCAAAAGTTACTTTTCACCTATTTTAAATTAATAAATACTATTTAAATAATTTAAAATATGACTTTTTAAATATTTTTAATGATTTTAATTTGATGGAAGGTCAAATTACGTGAAAGGACGAAAATACCCCTGACCCCGGCTAGTCAACGGCCGGTCAGCATCGAGTTGGACGGAAATGTGGTCGAAACAGTAAAATGGGACAAAAAAAGTGTGAACACATAATGTTTGGGATTACGATATTAAAATGTTAATGTAAGGGACGTAAATTCAAGTAAGGGCAAATGTAAGGGACCATTTCAACATTTTACTCTATAACTTTTAAGTGCATTTTACTTCAACAATACACTGGAATTTGATGTTGCTTTCTCTATGAAACTCTTAGCAGTCACTTTCAGCTACACAGCAGTGTAAAGAACATTCAATTTTGTGTTGTGTAGCCCAAGATGCACTCCTCCAGACACGGCATGTTCATCTTGTTCCAACACTTGAGTTCCTACAACAGAGTTGAAATCTGCTGGACAGAGGATAGATCCATCTGTTTCAGTCCCCAGTGATACAACAACCATGTTCACAACAACTGATATTGTAGATCCACTGCTTGATCCATTTGATTATCCAACTTCGCACATATTAGATATCCAAAACATCAACCCCAATACATTAAACAAATAGAAGTATCCCACATTAATATTAAGAGTGGTGGTGGTTCATAAGATCACACACCAGACCTCATAACAAACATAGCATGACATATTGCACTCGAAAGGCTCAATTGGCAAGAAGCATCTTTCTAGCTTGATGCTCAAGACAATATGTAGTTCTTCATAAACATATTTTCTGCATACCTTAGGGAAGAATATTACATCTACTTCCGATAAAACTATAAATATAGAGTTTCAATACTTCAGTTTCTATCTTAGAAGTAAGATGACAAAACATCAACATAACTATTTCTTTCAAACTATTCTAATCACAGTATTTTTCCTTTTCTGGGTAAAGATTGGGTTTGGGCTACGAAAATTGTTTAAGAACCAGAACAAGTGAGCGACATGAAATGGTGATATCAAAAAAAGTAAAACAAAAGAAAACCAAGATCCCTAATTATTTAGCCCAGGGAACTTATAAAAATTAAACAGATACTCCCTCCGTCTCATAATTATTGTCCACTTTGTCCAAAAAATTTTGTCTCAAAATTATTGTCCAATTTGACTTTTTATGGATCAAGTTACACATTTGTCCTTAGTAAAAAACATTATCCATAAAATCTTAGTGGTTAAACAATTACTTATGTAGGAGTATATCCAGTTATTTAAGGTAAAATATAGTTAAGTTTGACCAAAAATAAAATCTTTCATTTTAGTAAAACTGGACAATAATTATGGGACGAAGGGAGTACAATAAAAAAGAAACTAGTCTCAACAGAATCACAGAATCACCATAGGACAACGTGGCAACTGTTTGATTGAACAAGTTATTTAGGAAAGTAACGACAACGTGAATTATGATTTGCCTTCGATCAAGCCGTTGCTATTCTCTTCCTCCGGTGTCGTGTCCGGTGTCGTGTCCATATAGAGGAGATGAGGGTTTAACTCTCGATGATTGTGGGATTATTGTGGGATTACTTCACCAATGCGTGTCTTATAATCCGTGTCTTTGAGAGTTACGGGGTCACTGTGTGTGCCCTTTGCTTGGAGGCTACAAAGAATCTTTTATTTTGACGTTCGTCATCCGAACCTGCCTTTCAAGGTCTTAAAGGCAGCATTTGCAGCGGGGGACCGGAAAACAAATACAAAATTAAAAAAAAAAGCAAACGGAAAAAGTAAGAGTTAAAACTACTTCAGACGCTGGGATACCACTTTCAAACGCGGGGATACCACTTTCAAGACGCCTACTTCAGAGATTTCACTTTCCCCGCTGCAAATGCTGCCGCTGCCTTTAAGACGCTGATAGGCAGGTTCGAATGACGAACGTCAAAATCAAAAGATTCTTTGTAACCTTTGAGCGAAGGGCCCCATAACTCTCAAAAGAGACGGAGGATTGTAGATGGCGAAGTAATCCCACAAGGCAAATCATAATCCACGTTGTCGTTAAACCTCTTCTAAATGGACACCGGAGGAAGAGAATAGCAACGGCTTGCTCCAAGGCAAATCATAATCCACGTTGTCGTTAATTTCCTGAATAACCTGTTCAATCAAACAGCTGCCGGGTAATTCGAGTGTGAAGGGCTGCTCCGGCCAATTCATGCTTTCGACCGTTATCTTTAGCAAATCTCTGTCGTCAGGATGTTCTTCCGCCATTGATGCAAACAAAATAACTAGGGTTTTTACTAGTGTAAGAAGAAGAGAGATGCAAACGCAATAACTAGGGTTTTTATTTACTAGGGTAAGAAGAAGAGAGAGTTCGCGGCTGAGGCGTAATAAACAATGAACTGTCTCCATTTATGTTAGGGTGAAAAAACCAAAAGTGGATGAACCAAGGGTTGAGATTGAATCGTACAGAAAGAAATATTAGGGTGATATTTTCCGATTCATTTCCAAAGGATATATTACTTTCCTTCGAAATATTTGGGAATATTTGGATAGAAGCGGAATTATACACATGATGCAGAAGCTGTCACATAATTACGGATTTTCTTTTTTTTTTTTAAAATTTTTTTTCCTACGGAAAAAATGCAAATGAAAATTTGGGGAAGAAAAATTTTCTTTTATTTGTCCACAAACAATCATGAATTAATTAAGGGTGAAATTAGAAGTTTAAAATTTTAAATATACATTGTAAGTCAACGCCCTTCAAAATAATTTTCAAAATTTAACACCCTTATTAGGGATTTCAAAACATTCAATACTTCAAGGAAATTTCCCAATAAAATAAAATAAAAAATGAAGATAGAGAACAATTTCAAGATGGTGTAATCATAGAGGCAAACGCATCCTATGAAACTTTCGTAGCAAGCACTACGCTATGCAATCACACGCTCGGTTTGGTATGGACTACCGACAATACGTAATCAACTAACAATTATAAATCCTATAGAACAAATATACAACCAAAGGGACTGAAGCTAACTAATAATGCCAACTCGATCTCCTATATCACATCTCTATATCTTCCAAGTCTGGCAGTGGAAAGCGGAGGATTGCAGCAATTCCGGTCAATTGTGCGAGTTCTGCCAAATATCATCCAAAAGAATCAGTGGGAAGAGAATGTGGAAGTGAGCACAGGAAGCTAAGAACACACTGCATAAAAGCTGTGAGCCTGTAATCCTATAGCTGAAGAAGAAAAGCAAACTAATAGAACTCACGTTCACCAGAGACATGCATGGACGAGAAGATGTATGTAGTGCCCCCTGAATCTTTAACTGACTTCACCAGATTGGCATACTTTTGCCTCGTCTCTACATCAGAATTCCTGAAATGAGATAAATCAACATCATTGAATAAATGATCAACTCATTTTGTTGGCAAGTTCCAATTTAACAGCGTATCTCACTTGCCTGAAGAGCTCATCCGTGATGAGAAGTGTCTGGACTGCCATTCGGTCATGGGCAACTTCAACATGCTTAGGTCCATAGCAAGCACGAGTTGGATCCTACATAACCATGAAAAAATCAATTTCAACCTCCCATGACACACACCAAAAGATTGATGCTCATAGAGACACAATCATCGATAACCATGTAATTCATAAATACAAGTCATGCTGCACAGAGATTGCCCTCTTACACATGCCATTTGTGCTAAACTCTAATATTGCCACACATAATGATGTTATACTTTTAGAAAACAAGGATAGAACCTGACATTTGATAGCATTGAGAAGAATTCTTTCAGCGCTTGAACCTGTTGAATATGAAAAGAAAAACACGATTACCATCCCAAAGCAGGAAACACGAAACCTAAAAGAGCATACGTAACTTCCAGGTTTTTGAAGAACTCTATTTATCAGTAAGAGTTTTCAATGTACCTCTTTGGCAGCTTTTGTGTCTTTTATCATATTCATAACATTTGGTGCGTCCAAAACCTCTCTCAAGCTATGTCTGCGCAGATGAAATTCAATTATCTGAATGGGCAACAGTACTTTTTCCAAACAATGCAAACACAGAGAAAACTTCAAGCAAAATTAAAGAATGAACTAGTCAAGAGCATTGCAGACCTTGATACTCAAAAAAAATTGAACTGTGGAGTCACATAACGCAGTTGGTAGAGCGTCTATGAAAGGAACCATAGGTTCCAGGTTCGACCCTCACATGGGAGATACAGGATTTTCAAAATATATAAAATTTTTTAAAAAATTGTACTCTAATTACAAAAGTATGAATCGTATTTCCTGAATTGATTCCTCAATAACAAAAGATAGAAGTTATAGGTTTACAATGCAAGGGTGATTAAAGAGTTGATTGTTTACAGATCATACCCATTACTTAATGCTACTGAAGGTTTAGTCTATGAATCATATAAATGTTGTGCCGACTGGATCATTGATCAGAATACAGCTTTCAAATTTTAGTGCTGAAAATGCAGAAGGGAACCGTGGAGTTGCTCACACAAAATTCTTGAATCAATAATTTTGGCAATCCGGTATCAAATCGGTGGATATGTACAGCATTATCACATGCAAACATTCTAAAAGCAGCAGCAACTATAAAATGTCTGGTTTTACTTTTGCAGGGTCGGATGGAGCCAAAGTTATTATGGGATTGGAAAGAGCACAAGCAGTATAGGAGTAACATCCAGTTTTGTTCCATTAGTATTTAGTGTTTTCAGAACAAGGGGAGGACGGTGTTGAGGGAGGAGAATCTTACTTGTAACCCGAGGTTGTATGTACAAGAACAATGCGTGACTTGTTCTCAATAATAGCTCTCAATTGCTTTCGTTCAGCCTCTAGCAACAGATGACGATGAAATTGATCCTGGAACAGAAATCAGTAGCCCTGTTAAGATTAATCCCATTCTTTGAAGCATCCATCACAAATCCTGTTTTTTTTTTTTTTTTTCTGTCTTTCTTTTTAAATGTTTAATCAGAGACATCTCATCGAAAGTATGATGAGAAACCAAAGATCCTTGAGGAAGTATGATCCAACCAACACTATGTTCTCCTCCAAACCTAAAAGCAATTGCATATGTCAGACAGAAATAGACCTTTGTGAATCCTGGACTGGCAATCACAGCACATCGGACAACCTTGAAGTCAATATGCTTGAGAAATGCCTAGAAACATGAACAAAGTCTCACTTTTAGGAATGTTAACACAAGTTCAAACTACCTAAGACATGTATCCAGAAACTCAGCTAAACTCTTACCTGCAGGACATTGTCAAAGAATTTGTTCAAAGCCTGTCAACACCATACATACAATCAGTTAGACCTTAGTTTATGAAACCCTGAGGCTGTAAGATACAACCATCACGAGTGGGAGCGCAAATAAAGCAGATACAGCTTTGCCCGAAACCGACGACATACTTTGTCATAGCCAGCAATAGCAGGACCATGCTTGCGAGGTATTGAGGTTTCAATTCGAGAACGAGAAATTGTCACACTGTTGACCAATCAACACACAGTTACAAACGATTAAGACTTAAGAATATGACTCCACAAGAAAATTTCAATCCACAGTAACTTATCATTACAACTGGAAAGTTTAATAGCACATTTAAGTGGGGTCCACTAGGGTGGATTTTTTTTTAAATAAAAAATAATAGCACATCACAACCACACAACAAAAACTTAGGCTACCTTTGGTTGCATTTTTTGGGAGAATCTTTTGGGGAAAAAAAAAAGATTTTGGAGGGAAAATAAGAAATTCGTATAAAGTAGAATTCTTTAGACTTATGCGAGGAGAATTTCAAAGGGAGTTCAATTGGAATGGAGAAAGAACGATTTTTTGAATGTTAACTATTAGTCAAAAAGCTTGTGTTGGAAAAAGGAGAAACTAACAAACATACCTTACCTTTTACCAACAAGAAAAATATGGGCCAATCCTTCTTGCATCAAAACCACACCCAAATCAGCACTGGCAGAAGGATCTGTAACCATTGAACGGCGAACCATAATTATAACAGAATTTTAATGCTATATCATTGCAAGCTCCACTAAGATCGTCAGACTCTGATAAATTCATAACATGTGCATAACCTGGCCAAAATTATGTAAATCAAAAGCTAATTAGTTTGAATTTCCCTGTGCTTCATCTATTATGGTTTTGGTGGGTGGGGGGGGGGGGGATGCTAAATAGTAGTTTTTACTCTTGTGTCAGAAGGGGAAAAGAAACATTTTGGGAACTTTAAATTCAAAGTGCATTTGATTGCTATTTTCCTCCTTGAAGCACCACTATATGGGAACCAAGGACCCCCAAAACTCACAAGACTCTACAAGCGGAAAGATCACCACTCGATTTCACCACATCCTCCAATCTCCTGATAGCAGGTCTAGCTTCATACCCAAAGTCAGAAGAAAGATGGATAACTAGTTACTCCTAGTAAAGAAAACTAGCCATCGCCTAAGTGAACTTACATGGAAAGCATCATAGACAACTCGCAACTCATAATTTACGTAAAAACAGCATCTTCACTTACTTTTTCAAATAATATAACCTCTAATGAAAAGGGATTACTAGTCCATTAACTCATCACATCAATTTCACCAAAAAAGACCTCACGGGACTGAAATATGGGTTATCCATCCAAAAAGGGAGCACAAGCCACTGGAACAAAACATTTAACAGAATACAGAAGGGGCTAATCATGATGAAAACCAAAAAGCTTCTTTGGACTCCACAGAAGTGATACATGGAAATATAATCACAACTACAAACTTTTTCAAATTATCACGAAAAGGAACCAAGTTCTTCAGTACCGGATGCTTGGTGGAGAACTTCTAGTGCAAGCGAGTCCCAGACCTCCTGTAAGTACAACAAAAAACTTATAAATCAGCAGCTCAACTCAAGCTCTCTAGCATTAATACACCCAAAAATATTTTGAATTGCAGAACTCCAATAATCTCATAAATAACCAAAATCACACACTTAATCCTATTATATCCTAATAAAAGGCCTACAACAAATGCCTCAGTCTCATACTGAGATAAAGGCTATTATTACAAAAAGGAAACTTCAACAGAAAAACAAAACCCAAGGTTGTTCATTATCCCTCTGATGCATCCTTCCGACATTAGCAGAAATGAAGTGTTGTTTTAAGCACCCATCCATCTAGGTGAGGCCATGAGGAAGTCACTTGATAGAGCACCCCTCGCCTTTTTCTTTATTGGAAGGGCCTTACACTGTAAAGACTACTAAAACATATGGACAAAATTTTGCCAATTTAAAATTTATTTATTTATTAATTTTGTGGAAGAAATGACAAAAATATCTACCATTCATGTTGAATGAATCCAGCAATCATACCTTCCTTAAGACAAAAGGCCGATGCAGATCAATTTCCAGGGTGTGGAATGCACCAATCTGAGATGGAATAAGCATATCCTTAGTGAAAGATTAATTCATAGGAATGCACAAGCATTCATGGTCAAATTGGCACAGACCTTCACATGTTCATTTTCAAGAACATTCTTTCCTCGTATACGCAAGGCAGACCCTTCTTTGTCATACTCCATTGTCTATCATTGGTACAACAGCACCATGCGATGAAAGGAAACCAAAGTTAGTTTTATACAAACTTCTCCACTTAAACAAAAATTATCAAATTACAAACTATAATTCCCAAATCAACGACGACAGTAAGATTATTAATGATTGCCTATAATTGCACATTCGAAAAAGACCAAAGCAAGAGATTCTCTGACATGTCTAATATCTAAATTTCTGCGGCAATTGCAAGAAGGAACTTCGTTGGACATGGAATTTAGTGCAACTTCTGATGTTCATTATCCTAGCATTCTAGCCCCTCCCCTTTAAAGGCACCCTTTCTCTTGCTCCTTTTTCGAGGGACCCTAAACTAAAAGAAAATGTGAAAGTGAACCTAAATGATAAATGGAACCTTACAAGTGAAAGCATTTTCTGTATTCTAATGTTCAAGATAGCTAAAATAAGTTGTTCAAAGGAGAAGCAAAGTTAATTTTAAAAGGCATCCAGACAAGAGCTTTCAATCTGTCATATAATGCAACAAAACTTTGCTTCTTTCTGTTGGAACTTTTTGAACTCCAGCAGAGGAAATGTCCGCAATTTTTTATCAGCATGCATAAGCTACAAATCTTGTGGACAAGCTAGCAAAGCTAATAGAAATATATGCCAATATTTAACCCGTCTTACCTCAACTACAATTTCCAACTTCAGTTTCACCCGTTCAGAGTCTCTATCTCCAGAAGCCGTCTCCCTCAGAACTTTCCTGTAACCATTCACAGAAAAAAATCATCACCAAGACTTATACCTGTCCACTTGAAAAAGTATGATTCAAGTTCAAAACCTTCCCCTTCATTCCGGAGTCCAAACTTTACTACAAAACACCCTTTTCTTTGCAATATTAATTCATCCAAACCCAGACTCAGTCCTTATATTCCCTTAAGAATGTTGGAGCTCTTCTTACAAAAGCCGTACTGTGATCAGCCAGTAGTTCATATAGAGAATGCATCAACATGTTAACATGCTACAAAAATATATTGTTTTAGCAGCTTGGCACGAGTAGATACTTGCAATCAGCACGTAATACGACTCAATGTACTAACACCAACAACAATGAGCTTAAGAAATTTATGCTTTATAGTTACACTTCTTGATAGAAGTCCAGTCTATGATTCGAATTTCTTGAATTCAATTGTGATTAAGCACAATTCATCACCTTACAGACCATGCTGTTTCTAACCATAATATCACTTCCAATTCAAAAGTGACATTGTTTTGTTTCCCCTTAAAAGACAAAATTCAGTTTTCCACTTCGAAAAAGCATTAGGTGAGATGGTAGTACCTAACAGTCACAGCTAAAACCGAATCACCCGCTGCAATCAAATTGTAAGCAATCCACAAATCATCTGCTTCTTCCGCCACCATCTACAAAATAACATGAAATAGAAGGAAGAAAAAACTTCATAAATAAAATCCTGTAAACGTTAAAAAAATTTGAAGAAGACACTGAGAAAAATTGAGATAATTATTATCACCTTAACACTCCCAGGGCCATCTGGCACAAAATCTCTTCGAACAATCTTCATTATTGAATTATCGTGCACAAAAAACGATCACAAAGATAGCTCCAGATTGTTTGGTTGATGGAATTGGAGGAATCGACGGCGGCTGTAACTAACACCGTTGATCGTCGCCGGAACGAGGCAGACGGTGAGACAATATTTATTGGGTCGGGTATAGCCCACACTAAAAAAATTTGTGCACGACTCGACACATTATTGACCGCAGTAATTTATTGTCGGATGGTGTAAAAAATCCAAATTCTGTGACAGCTAAAAGTGAAAAACTCATAACACAGTTCCGAAAATACCCTCAACGTTTTAAACCCCTCCAAGCCCCACACCGTTTTCCCCATAACCCAAAAAAAGAAGACAAGTCTGGTTTTTTCCCCTGCCCAAATCGATCGTGCCAACCTCACCCTCGCCTTCCACTTCCTCTTCCTCCTCCAAATCAAACATCAATTCCTCCAATTCGCCGATCGTATCTCCGCCCAATCTCCGCCTATGACACTGATGACGCCTCCTCCAATGGAAGTAAATACCTCTTTCTCTTTCCTTCCTTCTCTATTTGGAAATACACTCAGATACATGTATTTGTACTGTGTCTATCTGTACCTGTGTTTTTTGTGCGTGCTACTGTGTGTCTGTGTGAGAATGTTTTCCGAATTCACTCTCCTGTTACTGTTTTCTTTCTCTTTTGATTTTTTCCACTTCAAGTTCTAGCTCACTTGGAGTTACTGTGTCGGAATTGTCGATCTTTTCGGAAAGATATATTTGGAGCTTCTTCGAATTGAGTGCGATTGGTGGCTCTGGATTGATTTGACCTCTATATTTCAGCTTTATTACTGGATTTCTGTGAATTTTTAGGGCTTCCGCTTGATCAAAATTTGCCTAACTTCACCAGATCCGATAACTCTATTTTTTTAAAAAAATCCTTTTGTTTTTGATGGCAGCCTGAGGACGACGAGATGCTTGTACCTCATTCTGATTTTCCAGTTGAAGGTCCTCAACCTATGGAAGGTATTCCTGTCTGTATTTCCATTAATGTGCTAGCTCTGTCAATTCTTGATGTTAGGTTTTGCATGTCCCTCTTTTATGGAATTATCAGCTTGTAATGGACTTCTTGTTCAAGGCCTGGCATCATACTTATTCAATTTTGTTACGGAATGTGTTTCTCTTTAGTTGCTCCCGCGGAAGCTACGAGTACGGGTGATGTGCAGGCAGCCGATGATCCGCCATCAGCTCGCTTTACTTGGACAATTGAGAACTTCTCGAGGCTGAACGTCAAGAAGCTATATTCAGAAGTCTTCTACGTCGGAGGATATAAATGGTAGACTGTTATTTAGTGTTTCATGTTGCTAGATTTTCTGCTCTCTTTACGTGGGTTATTTCTGCTGTGATTGACTTCCATTGGAACATCTGACAATTGGAGTTTCTTTCGGTTGCTTTATGGTTGGTAGGCGCGTGCTAATTTTTCCTAAAGGGAATAATGTGGACCATTTATCCATGTATCTCGATGTTGCCGATTCAACAACATTGCCATATGGTTGGAGCAGATATGCCCAGTTTAGCTTGGCTGTGGCCAATCAGATTCATGGAAAGTACACTGTTAGGAAAGGTATTTATGATATGTGCAAAATATATCTTTCCCGTATAAATTTACATCTTTATCCCTTTATGAATTAAAAACTTAGTAGAGGAACGAAGTACTTTAAGGAAATATCTTTCAAATCCTTTTTTGGACATCTCTCCGAGCATGTTAACATTTCACGTCTACTTTTTGCTTTGGAATTTATGTGAAAACAAGCTTATTCTTCAAGGAAAGCTTTTGTTGTTTTCCATTAAGTCTGATTCTTAAGTGGAGTTGTATTATGACTCTCTTGAGGAAATTCTAATGGGTTTACTGATTTTTGACATGCTAAATTAGTCTTATCCTCCGTCCATGATTGGTGTGACAGAGTCCATTAACTAACATAGAGATTTTTACATCGTGTTTTATGACGTCAAAACTTATTTTCACTTGGCCTTGGAATTTTGTGCTGGTCCCTTCAAAAATTCAGTGACAAGCAGTTTCATAATACCATGTTTTTTAGTGGATTTTCCACGTTTTAGTTGTTGAAAATATAGTATTTCAATGAACTTCGTTTGATTCTTGACTTTACGCCAAATCCAACTGTCATGTTACATCGTCTTATGTTTTTAACTAATTTTGGTGCATACTAGCTTTATGATTCGTCGTCGTAGGTTTTAACTAATTTATGGTTTTTGTAATGGTAATTTGCTATGATTTTTAATGAGATGGCTTGATTACAGCTATATTTTGTTTCAATTTGACTATACCGATTACTGTAATCGTATTCGTGGCATATTTTTAGATTGGCCTATTTACTTCTCTTTTGAAATGCAATTATGAAGTTTGTACTGATTTTGTTTTACTAATGTTTGAAATTGTGTATTGAAGTTTAACATTAAGAATTTTATCCCCCAGATACGCAACACCAATTTAATGCAAGGGAAAGTGACTGGGGTTTCACTTCATTTATGCCTCTTAGTGAACTATATGATCCAAGTAGAGGTTATCTAGTGAATGACACTTGCATCGTGGAAGCTGATGTTGCTGTTCGTAGAGTTTCTGAGTATCTTTCCCATGACTCGAAAAAAGAAACCGGCTATGTTGGACTCAAGAATCAGGGAGCTACTTGTTACATGAATTCTCTCCTACAAACATTGTATCACATCCCATATTTTAGAAAGGTCAGTGATTATGTGTACTTGATTTCTATTATTTCTACTTAGTTTTTATTGCTTATAAACCTAATAAAACGCCTTTCTTGCGGGGGAAAAAAAACTAGGCTGTGTACCACATGCCAACAACAGAGAACGATATGCCATCAGGAAGCATCCCTTTAGCATTGCAGAGCTTATTCTATAAGCTTCAATATAGCGACACTAGTGTTGCAACAAAAGAGTTGACAAAGTCATTCGGGTGGGATACATACGACTCGTTCATGCAGCATGACGTTCAAGAACTTAATAGGGTTCTTTGTGAGAAACTTGAGGACAAAATGAAGGTAACTGATCTGGTTCATTGTAAACTTCCAAATTTAAAGAGAAATTTCATGTAATACTTTATGGTTACCATGTCTGGTTTTATAATTTACTATTCAGGGAACTGTTGTGGAGGGTACAATTCAGCAATTATTTGAAGGTCACCACATGAATTACATTGAATGCATTAATGTGGACTTCAAGTCTACGAGGAAAGAATCTTTTTATGGTATGCATTTATATCTTTCAATTCAAGGCTTGTATGATGGAATGACTGCTCTCTAAGTGAAATACATTTCAGATCTTCAACTTGACGTGAAAGGATGCAAGGATGTATATGCTTCGTTTGACAAATATGTAGAAGTTGAACGCCTAGAGGGTGATAACAAATATCACGCTGAACAATATGGATTGCAGGTAATGTTTTTAGAACATTATATTAGCTTTATGTTGAACTTATCCTTGATCTTGCTTGTGAATGCACTGAAATATTGTAATGTGAAATGATGTGATGTAAAACTAAGATATAAAAAGAATTAAATAGAAAGTGTTTCTTCTGTGCTAAGTGATATGATGTAAAAAACTCATAACTGAAGATTGTTTTTGCTTTTATTTTGGTGAAGTAACTTAATTTCGAAGCACAATTTTGAATATCATATTGCTTTGCGTACCAATTTTAGCTCGTCATGTGTAAACCAACTGGTTGAGTATTATTATTTATTTATGCCTTTCTTTTAATTCAGTTCTTTGTAAATACTAAGCTGCTTTTGCCGTTTTGTCCTTCTAGGATGCAAGGAAAGGTACTCTGTTCATCGACTTCCCTCCTGTTCTTCAGCTTCAGTTAAAACGATTTGAGTATGATTTTATACGAGATACCATGGTTAAGGTGAGATTTATTAAACCCTTTTTTTGTTTTTCATATAGTTGGTGCAATCAACTAGTTGTTTCTTTAAGTGTTAAAAGTATACTGTTTTGTATCAGATATTATGGTCACTCGATTGAGAGAGTTGGACTTGTGTTTTGCTATCCTTTATAGCCTAATAACTTACATTAGTCATAGATGATATGACTGCTAGACTCTAAATTTTGTCCTTAGAATAATTTTAGCCCATTGTTTTGTGGATTACTGTATCATATTGCCTTTTAGGATCCACTCTTACTGTTTTTTATGCATCATGGGGTGGTAGTTCAGGTTAAATTGTGCATTTATGTTCACAGTGGATGCTTGTGGGTGTTGGAGTCGGTCGAGTTTGAAGTTATGAGCTTTAACTAAAGCCCAATCAGATAAATTGAATCAGTTTAGTCGGTTTCAGTTTGTGTGCATCTGAAATTTCTGGATATAGCATCAGACGTAAAGGACTCATTGTTGGTTTGATGTAATGATGGCACCCGATGTGATTCACTCATCCCCAGATTGAATTGGGTATATTTACAAATCTGACCTTATTCTTATGTAAGAGAACCCAAATACACGAATCAAATTCAGTTTGAGTGGATTAATCGAGTATCCTAACTAAAATCAACACCCCTGTTGCCCTGGGTACTTTTTTGTTTTATTTTATCAAATGGTGGAAACTAAACAAAATTGTGGAATTTGATTCCATGGCTCTTGTTACATGATTATGGGAATCTTTCTGGATTAATCAGTGAATCCTGCCTGTTTCAATTTGATGGCTTACTGACTTTCTGTTGTATATCTACTTTTTGCCTAACCTCTTAGATAAATGACTAACCTCTTAGATAAACGAAGTCTGGATTTAAGCTTGAAATATTTGATTAAATCTCTGATTGAAATCTTATTATGATCATTATTAATTTGTGGAATTAAAATTTCAGTTTCTCTTACTCTTTGGTTTTACGACTAAACAGATAAATGATCGTTATGAGTTCCCATTGCAACTTGATCTTGATAGGGAGAATGGAAAGTATCTTTCTCCTGAGGCTGATCGGAGTGTGAGGAATCTCTACACTCTTCACAGGTATCTTGTTCTGTCATAACTTTCTGTGGTCGGTTCTCTACAGCAAAGTTTGTCTTATGTTCAGTTTAGTCTTAAACCATTTCTCACCCCTGATTCTCTGATCCAACATTGTTTCATGTCAAATTTTATCAAATGAGAGTTGTCTGTAGTCATCTTTGCTGTGGCAGTTCTTGTGCACCCTTTCTGATTGTGTGTTTGGAATCTCTCATCCCTATGGCACTAAAGAATCTCAACAAAACATTGGCCTATTATTTGTCTTGGGCTTTGGAAACATTTACCTTGCTTGTGAATGGTTCCATTAGCAAAACAACAATATTGTTGATGTGAAGTTTTAGAGTAGAGAGTTCTTTGACACCCAGTTTATTCCTTTGATCTGTTATGCTTGTAGCTCCTTGTTCTTGTATTGAAATTGATGACTTATTGGACTCTGCTTCAATTTTGTCTTAGTGTATTGGTTCATAGTGGAGGGGTTCATGGTGGACACTATTATGCATACATCAGGCCAACTTTATCAGACCAATGGTATGAATAATTACAGATTGATTTAACTTTAGCTTGATCATTTGTTTGACATCGCCAATTACTCTCTGCATCAATTGTTGATTTTTGCTCTTTTTTGTATGTGATTTTAAGGCTCAAATTTGATGATGAACGTGTTACAAAAGAGGACATGAAGCGGGCATTGGAAGAGCAGTATGGTGGTGAAGAAGAGGTATGCTTCCGAATTCCTGGAGGCTGTTATCTGGTTAAGCAAAATTGATTTTTGTGGAGCTTGTATCTAATTGTTCTCTTATATGCCGTCGCAGCTGCCACAGGCAAATCCTGGCTTCAACAATACACCATTCAAGTTTACTAAGTATTCAAATGCATACATGCTTGTGTATATACGTGAAAGTGACAAAGAGAAAATAATATGCAATGTGGATGAAAAGGATATTGCAGAACATTTGAGGGTATGTCTCATGGTCCTAGCGCTTGCCATGTTTTTTATGGTTTCTGTGCTAACTCTATAGGTTTTGTGATCAGATAAGGTTGAAGAAAGAACGAGAAGAAAAGGAGCAAAAGAGAAAGGAAAAAGCAGAGGCTCATCTCTACACGATCATTAAGGTTGATTTGGAGATGTGCCCTTTGTATTGCAACTTATGGCGCATGACTTCTTTAAACTGAGGTCTTTGTGTTGTAGGTTGCTCGTGATGAGGACCTGACTAAGCAAATTGGAAAAGAGATATACTTTGACCTGGTGGATCATGATAAAGTCCGTTGTTTCCGAATTCAGAAACAGTTGCCTTTTAATCTTTTCAAGGTACTTTCGCCATACTCTTTTCATTTGAGCTTCTATTGATGCTATTCTTATGGGAGTAGAACCACATGATAAGTTGTCAAGAGATTGAGTGTCTACATTTAGCCTAGCTTCATTGTGGTGTTAACCACAAGAGTGAACATCGTATTTCGAGGCATTCAAATTTTCATTGTTTTGTAAACTTTCAGGAGGAAGTTGCGAAGGAATTTGGTATTCCAGTGCAATGCCAACGCTTCTGGCTATGGGCAAAGCGACAGAACCACACATACCGGCCCAATAGGCCTTTGACTCCTCATGAGGAGGGTCAATCTGTGAGTACCCTTCAACACCCTGACGCTTTCCACTTTCTCCCTGAATTATTTGGTGAAATTAAAATATCATTCATGTCTTATGTTAATGATGAAAACTGTCTTGAGATATTATTTTGGCCGGGAAAACATGTATCCAGAAATTACTTGGATATACAGGATATTATAATTTTGTCCTGGTATACAGCATGTTGGAAGTTTGAAGTGCTTACTAGTACCTCATAGAAGTTGCATACCCTTTCTGAGCTTCTCTAATATAAGTTCATAACTTCGCACTCAGTAAAGAAATTAGTCTTTTCTCTATTGTATGGGACTATGGGGTAAGATGACTTATTATGGAGTCCCCTGTTTGTATCTGTCAAGCGTTATGCTAAAAATGAATGAATTTTTTTCTTTTTGGGAAATTCTTTCTCAACTTACGGTGCTTGTAAATTGCATTGATCATTTGTATTAAGGGTTGTCAAAATTGTATGCTTTTTCTCATCTTGTGCTGACAACCGTCATGGTTTTTTTAGGTTGGGCAACTGAGAGAGGTATCTAATAAAGCAAACAATGCTGAACTGAAATTATTCTTGGAAGTGGAGATGGGCCTGGTAAGTTGTTCCTCACTTTTCTCGCTTTAATCAAGTTGTTTTTTCTTTTACGTGAATATCTGTTTTTGTCTGTACACACACAACAATTTTATATATGTATATCTCTGCATGTTTGTGTATTCGTTGTTTTTTGTTTGTTCTTTGTATCATGATCTCTAATCTATCTCTGCAGGACTTGCGGCCGATTCCTTTACCTGATAAATCTAAGGAGGAAATTCTTTTGTTCTTCAAACTTTATGACCCTTTCAAGGAGGAATTGCGGTACTTATTTCCTCTTAAAACCCATGGCTGATCTTTCTGTGGATTATTATTATTTATTTATTTTTTCGAAGAGTGTGGATTTATTAGAATATTAAGTAAATACGGGTTCATCAAATGTTTTCTCTCTGTGATTTCTCTACCCGTTGTAAGAAACAATCTTCTCACATGTTTCTATACATCATAGGCTAAACTAACTGCTGAGAAGAGCTATGTCTATAGTATTATCGCATTAGTTGATATGTTTTTATAGTTGTAATTAAGATCATTGTACGCCTTTTAACACTTCCAGAGTAATTTTTTGTGGCCGGGTTCTGTTTACTTATGCTGATTGGTACATCATGTTTGCATTTCAGTTATGTTGGGCGATTGTTTGTGAAAGGTAGTGGCAAACCTATTGAAGTCTTGGGTAAGCTAAATGACATGGCTGGTTTTGCTCCTGATGAAGAAATTGAGCTTTTTGAGGTGAACATTCCCCTTCTTTTGTCCTTATCAGTTGTGATTACTGGCCAAACTGTTGCTCAATCGTAATGTCTTTCTGAGAACAGGAAATTAAATTTGAACCTACCGTCATGTGCGAGCATATTGACAAGAAGGCCAATTTTCGAGCTAGTCAGGTATGTCCAGTTGATGGTGAAATACAATCTGTCTGATCTTGTCTTCTTTCTGGTTAATAGCACGTGCTCTACTTCCTGTCTTTGTTCATTATGTGGTGACACTCTTTTCATCTTATTTTTGGATGCTTCTTTATCACAGCTTGAAGATGGCGATATTATCTGCTTTCAAAAGTCTCTTTTGGGTCAAAATGTTGACCAGTGTCGTTATCCTGATGTTCCTTCATTTTTGGAATATGTGCATAATCGCCAGGTATCATTCTGTGTTTTTTTTTAATTTTTTATTTATTCACACACACACACACATATGTGTATATATATATATATATTATAAGATCTATCTGTCCTTTATTTCATCCACCGGATCGCTGTTCTTTCTTAATCCTTGTTTTGTGGCAAAATGGTATTTTTCTTTCCACTACTATTGCAGAAAAAAATATGGCTTTCAACTTTTAGGTTGTCTCCTTAGATGAAAAGTTTGTTTTTCTTGAGGTTAAGTTTTTTCCACCTTATTTGTTACTTATAAGGTTAATAACTCCATTTACTTTATGTCCAGGTTGTACGCTTCCGGTCGCTGGAGAAACCTAAGGAGGATGAGTTCTCTCTTGAGTTGTAAGTCTTCCCGCATAGTGTAGCCGTTTCACAAATAAGATTGAAAATATATTTCTTCATTCATTAGCTTTGTCTTAGTAATTATGGGTTCAACATCCAGGTCAAAGCAGAATAACTATGATGAAGTTGTTGAAAGTGTTGCTCGTCACCTGAATTTGGATGACCCATCTAAAATTAGGCTTACGTCGCACAACTGTTATTCTCAACAGCCAAAACCCCAACCAATAAAGTACAGAGGTGTTGATCATCTTACGGACATGTTGATTCACTACAATCAGGTATCAGTGACATGAGTTCTGTTCATCTATTTTCTGATATTGTTTTTTGCTACGAAATTTTTATTTGAAGTGTTTGATTTGTCTATTCTGACACCATTTTCCTTTTTTGTTCGCTTCACAGTCCTCTGATATTTTGTATTATGAGGTCTTGGATATTCCTTTACCTGAACTTCAAGGTCTGAAAACTCTCAAAGTTGCTTTTCATCATGCCACCAAGGATGAAGTGAGTCCTCCTACCATTGGGCATTATCCTCCGAGTCTCATCTGATTTTTTGTTGCCATTTTATCTCGTGGTGGTTGAATTGAACTTGCTGGTTTCAGGTAGTTATTCACACAATCAGATTGCCGAAACAGAGCACTGTGGGGGATGTTATTAATGATCTGAAGACAAAGGTAACTATTCTGCTGGCAGTGTCTATTGCTTTTTGCACTGGGGTTAAAGAGTTTTGGAAAAATGATGATCTTTTGAGCAAAATGTTATTAAATTGGTAGATTGTGAAATAAGAATTTCTAATATGCGAATTTTTTTTTGCCTTTGTGAGATGGAGATATTATTCTAATCTTATTTTTGTCTTGGATCAGGTTGAGTTGTCTCATCCCAACGCCGAACTGAGATTGCTAGAGGTTTTCTATCACAAAATTTATAAGGTATGTGAATTTCTCAAAACTTCTGTCTCGTATGATTGAAACTTGGTATGAGAGATGGGAGAAACTTGGTTTTTACTTCTTCCCTCTAGCTCTTTTTTCTTTTTTTCTTTTGGGGTTTTTTTTTTGTTGTTGGGGGGTGGAGTTTGGTATTTCTATGCACTGAAAACTGTGGTTGTCGTGGTTTCTGTTTAGAAAACCCATCACTGGTTTATCTACGGCAGACTCCTTTACATTGTTATGTTATCTGGTTGATGGATTTGCAAAAGATTAGATTTTAAAAATGGTATTCAGCGAAATGGATTTACTAGTTGACTAGTTTCATGGGTTAACAGTCTGTGTATATGTTTACCTGGGCTTATCTACAGTCACTCCTTACATGTACACATTTCCATTACATAATGCATTTCACTTCATTTTCCTTGCAGATCTTTCCTCTCCATGAAAAAATTGAGAACATAAATGATCAATATTGGACTCTACGTGCTGAAGAGGTTAGTTCATTAGTTCCTTGGCGAGTTTATAACTCTTTCCTGATGCAGCACCAAGCCACTGGGCTTTTAGTTTGTTTTGTAATTGACCTTTTATTGATGTGTGTATGTTATGTTCTCTCCATGACACGTCCTTCTGCATAAGATATATCACCTGTTTGACCGTAGTTTGAGGTTTATTTGTTTTGCTGAACCTGGCATATGAAGTCCCTCTGCGGTAATGCTTGCCAGTAGATATGTGCTATTTTATTTTATTGGCAGATTGGAAGGAATTTCCCAATTTCTTTTAGTCGATTTTTGGTGATGAAGAAAGCAATCTTCTAGTCAATCAACCTTAGTTATCTAAAATAAGATTTAAAAAAGTTGTCAAATGATTTATGTGGAGATGGAAGCTTCCAGGGTTTACCCTCCATGCAGTCATGAATGTTCACTTATAACTGCTTACAATAACACCTTTTCACTCCTGCAGATTCCAGAAGAGGAGAAAAATCTTGGGCCCCATGATCGTTTAATTCATGTCTATCATTTTATGAAAGATGCCTCTCAGAACCAAGTGGTACGCCTAGCATTAGGGTTTCATTTCTTGGCGCATTACTTGGTTAAACTTGATGCTTTTATTTATGAGAATCAACTGATCCCTTTTTCTTTTTACCTTGCAGCAAGTCCAGAATTTCGGGGAGCCCTTTTTCCTTGTTATTCATGAAGGTGAAACACTGGCTGATGTTAAATTACGTATACAAAAGAAGTTGCAGGTTCCAGATGAGGAGTTTTCAAAGGTACTGTGTTTTCTTTGCTATTGCTGTTTCTGGCAACCTTGGTGGTCTTTCTAGTGTGATAGCCTCTGGTGTGAAGGTTAAAATTTATATTTCAAAAACTCTATTCATTGTCTAAATTTTGTACCTATTTTCATTCCAGTGGAAGTTTGCATTTCTATCTTTGGGTCGTCCCGAGTACCTTCAGGACACTGATATTGTATCCCTTCGCTTTCAGGTACTAGATTCTGCTTCTGTGTGTTCTCGAATCTATGAGCTAATCATTTTGTTTTTCCTGGTCTATTTTGGGCGTTCCATTTATCCACTTGTTTAATCCTGTATTTTATAACAGAGGAGAGATGTTTATGGTGCGTGGGAGCAGTATCTTGGGTTGGAGCACTCTGACAACGCTCCCAAAAGGTCCTATGCAGCATATCAGGTACGTGACTGGGAAATTGTATTTGATGAGGTGCTGGCTTTAATTTATGTGGCAGTTACCATAGTGGTTTATCAAAAATTGACTTCCGACAGCACTTAGCATGTAATAGTTCTGACAATGTTCAAAACTATATAGTATCTGGTTTTTCACAAGTTTATATAATTGTAAGTCTTTAGTAAGTGTATCCTCTCTTATGAAAGACTTTTTTAGCTTTAGATTATATAGTCCATCAAGCGACATTGAAAATATGGTCATCATTAATATTTTTATCAGTGAACGGAAATGATTGAAAATTTTCTACTTTACCCACCTGGCTACTGGTGCCATCTGGTTGACAGAAACTCATAGAATTCCATTTTGATAATGCAGAATCGGCATGCACATGAGAAGCCTGTGAAAATTTATAATTAGGCGTCACAAAAAGTTGAACCTCTGCTTGGGCTGAACGGTAACCTTGGGGTGGCTTCCGCTGTTATGAGGTTGAGCAGCAGCGTTAACAGGATATTGGCAAGGTGACTTATGTGTAGAGTTGTATGATGTGGCTCTTTCCAGCAAGGAGAACAACCGATATATGCAGGTGTCTATATTTTCAGACCGGCATCCTTCTCAAACACCCATTCCTTCGGGGTTGAGGCAGCATTTAAGATTATTGTTTTAAATGTAACGTAGGAGTGTATAAGATTTTGGGTGGGGATGTATAGAGGGGTATAGATGTGTGCGTTGAACAATGGTCTTCTTTTTCCGCATTGTGTCGATGTTTCATCTTTGGGTTTTTGTTTCTATATTTATCCCATTAAGGTCATTTGTAGGCAATTTAGATGAGGAGGCACTGGTGATTGATTGTATTGTTTTATTCTGGGTTTCCCAGATTTTTTCGCCAGAGAAGAGGAACAATGTTTGCATATCCCCTATATACCTGAGCTTGTTTTTGCTCAATCTTCAACGTTGATTTGATTTTGACTATGTTTTTACTAAACCAAATTGCAACTTTCCCAGGGAAAATAGCTCTAATCAGAAAAGAAAAAGGAAAAAAAAAAAAGTAGCAGTCTTCTTTGTCTCGGGCCAATTTTCTAAAATAAGTATTTTTTCAGTCCCGAAATGATTTTATAGTTTGTTAGACTTTTGCTTTTGTTACCATTTATATTTAAACTAAACAGTCTGAGAAGGGAATTTTTTTTATTTATTTATTTATTTATCAAATGAGAAGGGAATTTTTTTATTTATTTATTTTTTTATCAAATGAGAAGGGAATCCTTTTAATTGAACTTGGAAACCTTTGAAGATATTTTCAAGGTTATAATTGTGATATATATAATATTATTATGTTCACGTCTCATCTGTCTTTGACAGTAAAGCATTGATTCTTCATTTGATGGTTTTTTTAACACAGGAAAAATGAGAAACAAAAAAAAACGAAAAGGTTTTTGAAAAATATCTCGCACCCGAAATGAAAGTTTCTCCAGCATGTTCTCATAAGTTATAAGGTAATATTTGAAAAAGAAAATTAAGGAAAGCATTTATTAAATATCGTCGGTCTCTATATAAAATGATCAAACTCAGAAACGATAGCAACGGTTGAAGAGGGGGAAACTATAACGTCGCAGTTGCACACATTCAACGGAAACCGATACAGCCATCGGTCATGCCGCTTTGGGCCGAAGCCCTTGAACGGCCAACGGTTAAGAACCTCTTCGCAGTTGGGTTAAGAAAAAGAAAGCGACAAAGAATCCGACAAAACCGTTCCTCTCTTCTTTTTTCCTCTCAGTGGGGCAAACAACCATTTGAAGCCAACAACTCAGCATCAAAGGTCTCGATTTTCTTTGCTTTTTCGTTTTTCTTATATTGCTTAACTAATGCATGGGGCCATGTTATTGTTTTTTTTACAAACAAAAAAGAAATTCTGGAAAACTTTTCCTACTTATTAGTGTCGTTACTTCAAGTTAAAGTCATAGATATTGCTTGTACAAGTTTCTTATATATACGTACCTTAAATAAATGATAATGCAGCCGTTATCATAGAGGATAACATTTAGTAATAATCAACATATATTATAATTGCTTAATGTAAATTTGAGTTTGGTAGTCCTTTTTAAGTATTAATAACTAGGACTTTTTTTTCACTTTTTAAACCAAGAAAATGAAAAGATTGTATGTATTATATTTGATTTTCCTTTAATGTAATGACCTTTGATCTTCTTCCATTGATTTTCTCTCTTATTTTGTTTCAAATACTATTTATGAACAAATTAATTTATTAGTAGTCTTTTTTTAACTATTAACTAGGAGTTTTTTTTCTCCTCTCTTTTAACCAAGAAAATGAAGAGACTTTATGTGTTACATTTGGTCCTTTGATGTTATGACCTTTTATCTCCTTCCATTAATTTATTCTTTTATTTTTATTTTAAAGATTGTGAACAAATGAATGTTCTTTTAGTCTTTTAAGTATTAACTAGGAGTTTTTTTCCTTTCTTTTTAACCCAAGAATATGAAAAAAAATTTTATGTTACATTTGCTATTCTTTTAATGTCTTGATCTTTGATTTTCTTCCATTAATTTTCTCTTTATTTTTATTTTTTTTAAAAATTAGAACAAATTAATGTTCGCTATTAGTTGAAAATGTGATAGTCCATGATTTCAACTTGAGCATTTTTCTAGCTTATGTCTTTTATTCTTCTCATCTTTGAATTTTAAGATTTTATTAATGAGAATTTAAATAAAATATTCTATAACTCAAAAAGAATACTAAGAGTTTCGTATCCTTTTGAATTTGTCGACATATATAGTTCTCAAAAATAAGAGTTTTGACACATTTATCTTTTCATGAGTGTTCACCCTCTGGTCTCAATGGTCTTTTCATCCCAAATTCATTGAAGGTAATCATCATTATTTTTACTCTTTTCTTATGAAACTTTAAGTTTAGATTTTTTTTTTCTTCTATTCTTTTTTCTTTGTTGGGTGATAGGTTGTTATGTAAAAATGATTATATTCAATTGTTCATTTTGTATACGCGTGTTATTTTTCCCTAGAGTTAGAATACTATTGTATACTTACACTATATTTTGAAAAATATTCACTTACGCACAAATTTTATCTAGTTTACATAAAACGTCACTTTCATTGACAGGTTCTTTAAGCTTGGACGCCAAGTTTGATTTACTCTATAAATATTCAACTCGTCTATTCATCATTCATTGTTCAGAATTTGCCGAAAGAAACTGGAACGCACATAATTAATCTACTTAAGTGTTATTGTGTAATTTTGTTTGCAGAGAGTTCTCTTTTTTACCGGTTACAACCACAAGTTCATGATATGATCATGAGTACTAATAATCGTAGCCATACGCTCTTCGGGTTGCAGTTGGTTATTTTGGTGCTGATTTTGCAACTGACTTCATCATCGGGTTGGTTTTTTTCATCCAATAAGGAGAGTAGTAATAAAAACAATAACAAGAATACAAATGGAGAGGAAACTAGGATGTTTCGCAAGGATTCTAGGGCGGAATTCTCCATAGAATCTTTCAATGACCAAAGGGGGATCAAGCACGTGGAGGAAGCCAGGGACAAGATGATCGCGCCGTCTTCGGAAGGTTCGTGTTGGCAGAATGCGTATGGTGGTTTGCTTGCAGGATGTTCCAATGTTTTTGTTGAGGAAGAGACCAGGAATAGATTTGCTTGGCATCTCACTGACTGCTTTTTAAGATACGCCGGAAGGCCGTCTTTACCTAAATGTGACCTAAAATCTCCGGTGAAAAAATGCCTTGAGGCAGTTGATAGAGACTCCAGTAATGTTTACCTCGAGTTCCATCTCCAGGCCAACTCCATTTGCCATCAGTTACAGTATGTAAAACAATGATGTTGATGTGTTTTTTCAATTATTACTTCTTCTGGCCTAAAATAAGCATCGTATTTGTTTGACAAATGGAACTAACTGGTTTATGGTGTTTTTGTATGTTTTGCAGAATTCCAGCTTTTAGGCATCAAACAGAGAGGTTGGTTAATGAACTGAAAAAAACGGCTGAATATGCAGAGGAAAAGCTTGACAGCATTGAAGCGCAAGCGGAGCAATTGTTGCGAAATTCAAAACATGTTGATGAATACCTGAGTTCAATTGATGTTCGGGCGCAACAACTTGAAGAAACCTCAAAGAATGTGGAGAGCCATGTACTTGAAGTGTTTGGTTACTCGAAAGAAGTTTATGAGCAATCTAAGGCTATTTCTGCATCTCAGTTGGAGCTTGCTCAAAGTCAAGTAAGGATGAAAGAGAGTTTGGCTGAAGGAATGGCCCTGGTTAAGGATTCCTACACTAATTTGGGACAAGAGATCACTAGCTTGAGGGATGAGGCTGTGGAAATAGAGAAGGAGGTCAGTAGGGTTGGAAATGCAATGTTTTCGAAGATGGATACTCTTCAAAGCAAGGCTGATAACATTGGCAATATGGCAGAAAGTTCTTTAGAGAAACAAAAGGAACTTTTAGATAGACAATCTGCGGCTCTAGATGGTGTTCATCATCTTGCAGAGTTTAGTTCCATGGCGCTTGAAGAGAGCAGGTAAGATTTTAACGTTTTTAACATTCAATTGAAATTGATGGTTGTCAACAAATCGGAAAAAAAAATGATTATTTTACCAAATACTGTACATTGTACAATGCAGGGGAATCTTGCAGAAGCTGACAGACATTGGGAACAAACAGCAAGAAGAACTACTTGAAAAGCAAGAACAGCTCAAAGAAGCACATGATCAGCTTGTTGAGAATTCGAAGGCGATATCAGCAGCTCAGGTTTGCAAACTTTAAAATTTGAAATCCCTTTTCTCTTTTTTTTTGCATTGTTGTCATCATCGTCAGTTATTGAAATGTACTAACCTGAACGCTGTGTTTTTCGCACTGAATAACAGGAAGCATTTGAATCAAGGCAAGCAACCATGTTTCTTGCCTTAGAAAAGCTATTTGATTTACACAACAGAATGTTCCTGGCATCTAGAATGTATAAAGCCTTTGCACTTTATACATTGGTGTTCTTTCTTCTATACATGCTTACAAGCACAAGGCAGACATACAATGTGAGGCACGTCGTTTATATAGGTAAGCTATCAGACTAATGTCAGTTTTGAATTAACTATGTACTGCTTAAAAATTCATATATCCTTTATGACTAAAAGTTTTGGTTATAATTGTTTCAGGATTGTTTGTCACAATGGTGATTGAATTGTGTATAATCTGGTGGACGACATACGATACTGATAAACAAGAATGGGTGATATCTATTCTTAGATCAGTTTCGGGAATCCTTTTGATGATGCAACTTGGATATTCCGTCTGCACCTACAGGTACACTATAAATTGAATAGAGACTCAATGAAAACCTAGTACTGTTGTATCAATATCTGACCTGCATTTTTCCTTGTCAATTAAAATCTATGCAGAGACTTTGAAGTGTTGAACCACAAGATGCTTTTGACACTCATGGGTAAGGTTTCATGTATGCAAAATAACAAACATTATTCATCGGACGTGGAAGATGAGGAAGATGATGATGATGTTGATTGGTCTAGGTGGGTCGACACCGACCTACCCGAAGATGTGGGTTTATTGGAAGATCCTGACTACTTATCCCTCCAGGAGGAGATTGCAGAAAACTCTGCTACATCTAGTTCAGCCACAAGGAAATACAACCTCCGGAATCGCCATTAGCAACAACAATTTATGTTGATCACATCATCTCCAGAGTTAAGTGGCGAACTAAGGAAGAGTTTCTGCTCTACTGAGCTTCCTGGTTCAATCTGCGCGGTCCTGGCCTCATATTTTATTCCTCCCAAAATGCCAAATTTTTGCAGTTTTATTCATGTTTTTATAGTGAATGAACGGAGAATAGGTCAAGACATCTTGATTTTCTCGCAGTATGTAGGAGCTAGCATTATTCATTTTTGTTTCCCTTCATCTGATTGTTAATATTAAACTTATTATTGATTAACAAACGTAGAATGCTATAGTTTGGACCCCAGACCTTGTTCTTTCCTTTATGATTAACTGAAGTTCCTCAAAACTAAAGCTGTGATCACCGGAAAATCCTTGGAAGAACATATTCCTGTTTTGGAAATGGTGAACATTTATGAATCCAATTCAGCAGATATAACAGGTTTCGTTAAAGGATGAAAATCAAAAGAAAAGAAACATGAAAGATTCTTTAGGATCCGCATCAGTAAAGTACTCTGTGTATTACCCTCCCTCCCTCTGGAAAAAAAAAAAAAAAAAAACAATATACTACTTTGCTCGATTAAAACACTAGTAGTAGTATGAAAAATGTGGATTATATATTTTCTAGGGGGACGCATGGATTAATGTTTTTCTCTACTTAATGTTTATTGTTAAAATCGGATTCAGCTCCAACGGTGTTAACGTGCTTTTACTGATTCATATAATCACTAGGAAGGATGGTCCAAAAAAAAAGAAAATTAAATAAATAAAAAAGTGAAGGCGAACCAACACCTACTGTATAATAAAAATTTAATCCTAAACAAAGAGAAACAAAATGCTTACAATTGATTGATCTGTTGGTTTTCTGGAACCAACAAAAGAATCCAATTTTTATCATGTAATAAGTTGTAGCAAAGATTCTGAGTTGCTTGTCTTTGCTCCAATAAGTAATTAAATAGGTCCCGTCTTTGCATGTATAGCAAAGCTTCGACCACGTAACATACATCTCCACCGGCCAAAAATGTCTGGCCCCCCGTTGTTCCGACCGCCAAACAAAACTCCGTTTGTGGCTCTCAAAATCAACACTGCTTTAAATCAGTATTCTCCCAATTTCCCTCATTTTACAGAAGCAACAGCCGGAGTCATTTGAGATTGCGAAGAAATTATTACAACAAACACAATAAAAAAAAATGGGTGTAGTAGTGCCTGAATTATTACTAAAGATTCTGTACCCGCCGCCGCCGTCTCTGTTCATCTCCGCCATGTCCGTCATCAGTTTCGCTTCCTTAGCAAATGCGGGATTCATGGAAATCAAAGGGAAGCACATGAAGTACTCCAAGTTCGCAAACCTTTCTTCTGATAAGAACCACCCAAAATTGGTCTCTGGTAAAACAGGGATGCTCATAGCTTACACTCCCGCACTTCTTGCCGGTTTAGCTTCTTTTACCCTTCTCCTCCCAATCGAAGAAGGTTTAAGATTTCAGATGCTTCAATCGGCCTTAACCATCCATTTCTTCAAAAGGGTCATCGAGGTAACTTCCTCTGATTCCAAAATTCTGCAACTTTATTCAGACCTTACTCATAATTGAGTTTCCCCTGTTTTTTTTTTTTTCCAATTTTTTTGTTCAGGTACTCTGTATTCACAGATACAGTGGTGGAATGGAGATTGATACAGCCATTCCGATATCGATTAGCTATTTCCTGTCCACGGTTACGTTGATTTACACTCAACATCTGACAAATGGGCATCCAGAACCATCAATTGATCTCAAGTTTGTTGGACTCGCCCTGTTCTTCATCGGGATCATTGGAAATTTTTACCATCATTTCTTACTGTCAAGATTAAGAAGCCCGGGTGAAAAACAGTACAAAATTCCCAGAGGAGGAATGTTCGATTTGGTAATATGTCCGCATTATTTGTTCGAGATTCTGGGATTTGTTGGGGTGACCTGCATTTCTCAAACGGTGTACGCATTGGCCTTCACTCTGGGCACGGCTTGTTACTTGAGTGGCCGGAGCTTGGCTACAAGGGAATGGTACAAATCCAAGTTTGATGATTTTCCAGAGAACACCAAGGCTCTTATTCCATTCATCTTCTAGTTGAGATAATCGATACTAATAGAAATAATTATTTTGTATAATATGTATCACCAATTCACCATTTCTTTTTTTTTTTTTTACATCCTATTGTAGTCCATAATGAACTAAACATCGTTATATGTCTATTTATCGAGGTATTTACAATTCAAAGATCGGATCAATCATTGTTACGTACAGCGTAATATATATAAATAAAAAATAGTATAATTATATTGAACTTTATTGGTTGTGTTAGATATGATAAATAAACATTTGTCCGGAAGGGAGCTGATGTGTGATCGATCATCTAGACAACATGTAAGAATATCCGGAAATAAAAAGTGAGTCTAAGAACGTAATCTTGAAAGTTTTCTGACTTTCACACTAACATTGATCACCTGCGTGATAATTTGGGAGGTTAAAAAGTCAAATTTACATAGAGGGAATGCAGCAGTGGCCCAGCATTATCACTAACATTTAGTATATATATCTTTCTTATACAACCTCTCTAATATATTTTTTTTTTAAAAAAAATGTCAACAGTTTTGACATTGAGATGTCCAAAAATTTTACAAGTTTTTTCCCGTCAAAGTCCAACTAATCTGCGTGTCATTGACATTTTTGAGTTCAAGAATCATGATTCACGCATAATTCTTGTTCCGATTTTTATTTAAAAGGTATAAATTTGAACTTAATTCTTAATTTTATTCATACGTGATCATATCTTATAACTAAGATACTAGGAGATAATACTAAGTTCATTTCAGTTTTTAAGAGTTGATTTTAGGATCTAGATATTTTACGGTTGTGAAGGTCCAAAACTAACCTGCGCCGCATTGAAAATTTCATGGTATTTCAATTGTCAAAAAAAAAGTCAACTTTCAAAAATGTCAATAGCTTCTACGTTGCTTTTTTAGCTGATTTTGACATTTTACAAGAACTTCTTAATGCCCTCGAACATTCGTTTACCACCAATAAATACGTTGTATCAGAAGATCAGAATTCACAAATTCCCCTTTCCTCTAAATTTCTTCTTGGTAATATTCTCTCTAGCTCGATCATTACAAGTTAAAACCATCACAATTTTCTTTACCAAAAAATTCATCTAGCTCACTAGGTGAAGAACTTCCTTAATTTGTATACTAGGAAATTTTGTGATTGCTTGATTTCCTGCCATGCAAATACTTGTCTTAGCAAAAGAGGTTAATTAATTTAACCGCGCGTAGCCACGTATCAATCACCCACCGGCAAAATCGCATCATTTTTATTTTCTTTTTGGAGTCATTTGTCATTCTGCATAAGATAATTCTCCATAGTTTGCCAATCGGATCAATCCTTATTATTACTGTCTTTTATTAATTTTCTTTTTTTGGTATTCACGTAAGAAAAAGATCTGGGTATTTATTACTACAAGTTAATTTACAAAGGATATATAATCATATACATAAAAAAGAAAAAAAAGATGGCGATGCCTGAAATGTTGATGCAGTTTCTATACCCGCCGCCGGCGTCTTGGATCATCTGGATCATGTCAGTGATGAGCTTCGTTTCGTTAACGAATGGAGGGTTAATGGAAATCAAAGGGAACAACATGAAGTATGCCAAGTTCCTTAATAACGTCGGATCTCCGGCGAAGAAGACCACTGAACAGAAGGTAATCTCCAGTAAAACGGGGATGCTAATTGCCTATGTTCCGGCATTAACGGCTGGTTTGGCATCTTTTCTGCTTCTCCGGCGGCCTTATGATCATGATCAGGGTTTGAGATTTCAGATGCTCCAATTTGCCCTAATCATCCATTTCTTTAAAAGGGTTTTTGAGGTACTTTCAAATTCTTATAGCCGGCGGCTCCCTAATTTCTAATCAATTGTTGAAGGAATTTTGATGTTTGATCTTGTTTTGTATTGTACTTGTGTATTGATTTTATATTCATTTTTTTCTGAAATTCGAATTCATGTCATTCAAAACCTTACGATTGATGATCCAAAAAAAAAAAAAAGTAATACAACTTCCATCATTTTATTTTGTTGTGATTATTGTGCATAAACAATACAGATCCACCTATACGATTTTTTATTCATTCTTGTTTCAAATAGGTACTGTGATTAACTAATTAAGTTTGTTGTATGCCTCTTTTGTTTGTTGTTAAATTAACTTCATCCTGATAGTATGAATTTGGAGTCATATATATTGGAATGATGCTCATACTCTTCCGAAAAGTATCACATGAACAAACTGCTATAGATTTTTTGAGCTTCCAAAAAACAGATATGTGTTTTACGTTTAGCATTGCCAATAATTAATTGTGTGTGGGAAGGGTTAAATTTTTATCATTTCCTAAAAAATTATGTAAATCGTGCGTTTAGAAATCTCATTGTATTTGTTTTTTTCCCACTTTTTTTTTTTTTTACAAATATATAGATAAGAGCTTTCTTACCAGGAGTATTTAATTTAATTTAGCTAAAAGAATTGGTAAGCAATGTGAAAAGAGGTCAGTGGAAGTTAAGCATGTTTATTAAGAGGCATTTTGTGACCGATTGTATGGTGTGGTTGGCAGTTTAGGGACTTGGAGGCTTATACAGGCTTATGGCTCCTCCGCCAGAAATTATTCGTTAGTTAAATTGGCATACTCCCTATTAATATGTTGAGTTGATTTAGTCTTTGCTTTTTTCATACCTTTTTATTTTTGTAAAAAGAAAAAAAAAATGGAGGTGTATGGTTTTGTCGACGTTCCTGATTTTTATTCTTTCTTTTACCCCATTCTACCTGACACTTAAGACCATCAATAAAAAATGATAGATAAGGTATAAATATTTTGAATTATAAGACAAGACGAATAGGCCGCCAATAACATAGCTCTGTAAAATATATACGTAAACTAGATCACAATATGTAGCTTTGAAAATAATTCTGTCAATATCTTTTAAAATTACATAGTCAAAAAACATAGCATTAAAATATATATTTACATGATTACATCTCAACATCTACTCACTATATTTTTTCATATTTGGTTTTAAATATTGTACACAGGTACTCTTTGTTCATAGGTTTAGCAGTGGGATGGAGATTGAAACAACAATTATAATATCTCTCAGCTATTTTTCCTCCACGGCTACCATGATCTACACTCAGCATTTGACTTCTTGGCTCTCGGAACCTCCGATTGACCTCAAATTCGTTGGAATCGCCATTTTCGTCACCGGAATCGTTGGGAATTTTTACCACCATTATCTGCTCTCGAAACTAAGAAGCGGGGGCCAAGGTGAAAAACAGTACAAAATTCCCAAAGGAGGGTTGTTTGGTTGGATAATATGCCCACATTATATGTTTGAGATTCTAGGGTTTTTGGGGGTAGCTTGCATTTCTCAAACGTTGTACGCCTTGTGCTTCGCACTTGGTACGATGTTTTACTTGAGCGGAAGGAGCTTTGCGACTAGGGAATGGTACAAGTCCAAGTTTGATGACTTTCCTGAGAATATAAAGGCTTTAATCCCATATGTCTTTTAGTAATAGCGCTATAATTAGAAATCATGCATCATGGTGTGAGGTTGACTTTGATATCTTTTGTAGCAATAATTATTGGTGTAAGATAAGTCGTATGTTTTTAGGATATGTAATTGTTACAGTGGAGAACTAGCTGTATATGTGGCCTTATCAAGTCTATGGTTTTTTTTTTTTTCTTGAATATAGTTTATGGATAGTTGAATTGGCGCTCTTCTCGATCCACCAAAATTCCAGCTTCTATGAAGAAGATTTTCATTACACTTAATTGATCGATATGATTAGAAAAAATTGATAGATACGATGTGAAACATATATATCTCTTTTTTTCTTTTTGTTTTTTTGGATGGTATAGGTTCCCTCCATTTCAAAATGTAAGTTTTATGTTAGTTTTATTAGGTTCTACACGCAAACTAAGGAAACAATCATTTAATGAATAATTTGTGTGTTAAATATTTATCTTGTCCTTCATTAATTATTTTGGAACTATAACAAAAACTAGATGAAAAGTGGTTTAGCATCATTATTGGAGCAAAGTTAGAAAGTTAATCTTTAATTTACCTTAAAATCTTAAAACAGCCTATATTTTTTAAATATTTCTCCAAACTTAAAACGACTTATATTTTAAAATGGAGAGAGTAGCTAGGAAGAGCATTAATATCGCAATTGTACTTTTTTGTCCCGAAATTATTTTTTTGTTTGAATTTCATTACTAGATGCTTGGCCCGGACAGATGTCCGGGCGCCCCCTCTAAATTACTATTTTATTAAAATCTAATTGAATTACTATTTTTTGAGGAATTAATTTGGCGTATATATCATTTATGCTATGGTTTGGGACTTAAAAAAATATACCTATAAATATGAAGTTATAAGAGAATAATAAATAATTAGTTTATAAGGCATTATTCTTAATTACTGGATTTAAGTTTTTTTTTTATTTTTTTGTTTATATTAAGCCTGCAAAACTGTACGATTGGACATTTGAATTTGAATTAATATATCCATTCGTTTGAAATGTAACTGATTCTTATTTGTAGAATTTTTTCATTGGATAAGTGTCACATTTAAAACATGTGTTTTTTTTTTTTAAAAAGAATTATATAACTTCTAATTAAAAGAGATTTACATATGCCAAAAAGACTTCTGAAATCTGAAATATGGTGTATTGGAGCCAAAACAGATGCATACGTAGTTGCCACATAAGTTTCATGTCTTCTGCTTTAATAGGGTAAAAGGGATTAGTACAAATTAAATTAAAAGTGCAAATCTAAATTGGACAATAATTTTGGGACAAATGGAGTATTATTTTTTCTGATATATATACATCACCAAAAGTGTATCAATATATTTTTGTTGCACAAAAAAATACACACCTAAATGGACAAACAATGTTCGCATTAGGATGAGCATAATGCAGCTACGGGAGCAGAGTTATTATGATTGGCATTGTCATCCAACCTAAAGACACCAACTCAAAATTTTTGATAGCCGAATAAACTTTTATTTTCATTTTGGCACAATTTATTACACTGGTCCATCAAACTATATGTACACATATCCCCTTTTTTACTTTATTATTTCGGCGATTTTACTTTATTAAACTTTTTCTTCTTCTTTTATTACAAAAAAAAAAATTTTAAAAAAATCTAATGGAAGTGAACTCTGAAATTCATATGCATTTTTTTCCATGCATAATTACGGAAATGCAATGAGAAAAACAACAAAATGACACGACGAGTCAAAGACAAAGTTTCCATTTTTCCTTTGAATTGTTTCTGTTTGTGTACAGTTTTTTTTTTTTTTTTTTTTTTCTTTTGGAAAAGGTGTTTGTGTACGGTTGACGACAAAGATTTTTTCCTTGTTAGACTTTATCCTCAAACGTATATACAGAGTTACAGACTGTATTGCTGAATTTTGACGGCAACGGCTTCGTTGATGAACAGATAAACTAGTCTTCTCTCCACGGTGTACGATCCGACTACCGACCGCCGTTGACGGCTGCCGCTAAAACCTAAAAAACCCCCGGAATCGTTCAACAAATGGCGAAGTGGTGGCAGTATGTTGTTTTCGAAGACCCAACTTCGATTTACTTCACTGCTGTATCTGGGATAACCTTCTTGTTTCTGGCTTTCTTGGGTATCTCAGAAATCGTGGGCAACCACCTTAAATACTCCAAATTCGCCGCCGGAGGAGGAATTAAACTTTCCAGCCGAACTGGGATGCTTTTACTCTATTCCCCTGCTTCCCTTGCCGGTCTTGCTACTTTTTTCATCTTTCCCGGTGGTGGGATCAGGTTCTTGTTGCTCAAATTAGCTGTTACGATTCATTTCTCCAAGAGGGTCCTCGAGGTATATACTTATAAAGTTTCCATTTTTTCCCCACTATTGATTGATTCAAGATGCAATTTTTTTTTAAAAAAAAAAATTTGATTGGCGGTATTGGTAGGCTTTTTTAATTTCTTACTCCTTTAATTTGGAACTCTTGATCGAAATGATGTTTCGATTCTACGTGATTCATAATTTAATGATGTGGATTCCGTTAAATGGGATTTCTTTTCTTTGTTTTTCCAGACTCTGTTTGTTCACAAGTATAGTGGGGTTATGATGCTGGATTCTGCTATCATTATTTCGTCTTCCTATTGCTTTGCTGCTGCTGCCATGATTTATATCCATAGGATGACTCTTGGGGTTGCTGAACCACTCATTGATCTCAAGTACCTAGGTGTCTTTCTTTTTTTAGTTGGCATCTTTGGCAACTTTTATCATCATCTTCTTCTTGCCAATCTTAGAGCGAACAATGAAAAGGGCTACAAGATTCCAACTGGTGGCCTCTTCGATCTGGTCGTCTGCCCCCATTATCTTTTCGAGATTATTGGATTCATTGGTATTTCTTTCATCTCTCAGACATTGTTTTCGTATACCTGCGCCGTTGGGGTTGCTTTATATTTGATAGGAAGGAGTTACACTACAAGGAAGTGGTACATTTCCAAGTTTGATAATTTCCCTCAGAATGTGAAGGCTTTGATCCCTTTTGTGTTCTAATACTTCAGCTCTTGGAATTTGTATTTGGATCGTTAATTTTTACAGTTACATAATCAATGATACTTGTTCTTGTTTTGACTTATCATCGGATGTTTCTTTACTGATTCCTCATGATATTTTGCAATGAAGGGTAGTGTAGATTCTCGTCTCCATTGCAATTTTAGGATAATTGAGTTGTTGAAGAATATATAACATGAAGGATATGGTGACCGAGAAGGCTGTCTGAAACAATGAACAGTACACGAAGGTCGTGATATTAAACCTTCATGTAGATTCTTGTCTTCTTGTTTCCAAACTTTGCAGTGGGGAAAATCATATGCAATAATAATGAATTATAGAGGAATCTTGAGAAATTCAGAATCTCAATGAAAACAGAATGAAGAATCTTTAATTTGAGTAACAAGGATTTGAATGGAGTTCCTATCTCTTTATAAAACCAAAGTGTTTTTATTTATCAATTCATCTAGAATAGATCCAACACTATCTTATAGATAAGTTTGCAGGAACACAATTTGTTACAATTGAAACACATTACAGTTCAATGGTAGCTGAAAAACTTAGTTTACAGGCCATCAGTTCTTCTTTGGTGACCAAATGAATCACATTAAAGAATTTCTTAGAAAGGTAAAAGCCAGATCTTAAACAAACTGAAAGAGATGGATCCAGACAGTGACGTTGGAGCTTTAGATCAGACATGTCTAATTAGAGTCCATGGCCAGGATGGTGCTGAGATTCATGGGGTTCATGTATTCAGATGAGCCTATCATCATTTGTTGCACAATCAATCTGTTTGCTCTTTCTGATGGATGGAATGGATCCCAAAATGCATACAGGTCTCTCCTAGGACACAAGTTAGAAAATCCTGTGCAGAGGCCAATCCCATTGTAAGGCCCTTGCCCACAACATGCTACCTTTGATGTTACAAAACCTGTCATAGTTCATACCAAGTGTCAAATAACTTTGAAATTTTGAGTTTGAAGTAATTGCAAGCATGTTTTTTTAGTCCATACCGAATGCTCCAGGATTATTGATGAAATTATAGTGCATTTGTTGTGTATTGGCTGCGATGAATACATCCCTCCCTACTTTACTGTTTAACTCACTCAGCATTTGAGCAAGCTGGGGATTGAATAGGCCTGCTGCTCTTTGCAGTTCAGTTGCGCATTCGCCATTTCTACTGTGCAGAGCCAGTTCCGCGGGGACACAACCCAGTGGTCCTGTGCCAGTCACGATGACCCTACGGGCACCAAGGTCATAAAGTTTCTGCAATATCATAAGAAATTGTCACTGGCATAAATGTTACAGCCTGGTAAAATTAAATACTTCTATCTAAATTCAGTACTCAATTGTCACACTCTTATCCACAGTTGTCACAGTTATTTATGCTGTATGAGCAACTTGCGTTGGCGTAAATTCATCCCTGATCATGATAAAAGAGAGATGAGGGAGAAGATGAACACCACTGAATTTTTTTATAAGGTAAACTTTAGCCTTAGAAACATGACTATTATTATGGGAGCGGAGTAAAATCTTATTTGAGTACTCTTGCTTATTTTTTTATGGTGGAACCAACTGTTTTCATTGATGGCTTTCATGTGATTTCTCCCACCTACGTATTAACTGCTATGGAAATTCAAGGTTTAAGCAGCTAGGCACCCACCACATCTTTCTAAGTGTATACTCTTTTTTATGGCTTTGCTTTGAATTGCGTGGTTGGCCAATCCTGTTTTCTTAGTTTGCTCATTCTTTTTCTAATTGATTGTCACGCTTGAAGATCACTTTCAACCAAATCATAAGGACGGATGTAGGTGACATTGTAGCAATAAATAACATAGATATGCCTAATTTGGTCACACAAAACACAGATTTCCATCCCATCCTCTAAATTATCACTTCCCTTTAGGGCTAAAAGAAAGAAGTGCATCTCTAAGCTTATGACGGCTGCAATGTGGTAAAGTTCTGATGGATTTATCATTTTGTTCTTATTTACCCTTTTCTCATACGGGCGAAATGTGAGTTATATGTGAACAAAACCAGTTTAAAGTTAAGAAATTTTACCAGTAAAATCTTTCTGTACTCGGAGATCACAAAGGGAACATAGTCTTGGATGGCATACTGACGTGATCTTGCAGAGTTTGGTATCAGATAATAGTTGTTAACAAAATCATTTCCTCCCAATGTCATTAGAACAAGTGCATTGCTCACGAGCTGCTTTGCCTGTTGAGGTCCTATTAATGCACTTACTCTTTGCTGATATTGCCTGAAGTACTCCAACTGCAAAGGGATTCTGATGATATTAACCTGCGAGAGATCTCACTATTTTGTCACTTATTGCAAGACCATTATGCTAGAAAGAAAAAGTATTGAAAAAAATAGTCTGCATTGTTGAAGAAAATATAAGAAATGCAAGAGTTTAAAAGGGTAGCTAGATGAGTTGTTACAAATTGGATTCCGGTGTCATTTAGTACTCCAACTCCAGCAGATGCGAAATTGGCTCCGACGAGAAGCCTAGGTCCGTTGAGTGCTGGATCCAAGTATGGCAGTGGTGATTCTGAGGCTCCGATTTGCTGACCTATAATTTGAACAAAAAATTTTTTTTTTTTTTAAAAAAAAATTCATTCTCACTTTCAAAGGATGTAAAAGAATCTAAATGCAAAAAAAAAAAAAAAAAAGAAGAAGAAGAAGCCCGAGAGTTCATGAAGAGATATTGCATTAGTCATGCACTGAAAACTACACATTGAGCCAGCCAGAAAAATCCCTTTGGGAGGTGGTTCCGGTTGAGCCTCGTCCCGCGAGATTTTATGCGGGAACAGCATCTTTATGGAGGCCAGACAAATACACTACTGCATTGCATGAATACTTGGACGTACAAAAACGCAAAATAAATACTGTAACTGGACTCAACTGATAAGGTCAGGAATGTTATAGCCATTTGAGAAGCGGCCAGTCGCCCGGCGGGTGGGATAATCAACTCCATAAGGTGGTGCATCCGCACGAGCAGTTGTAGCCAAGTAGTTGTTATTCCCACTATCAACCAATGAATCTCCAAACACAAAGAATGCCCGACACTCGACTTGAGGAATGACTAATGTTCCCCAAACCAATACAATGCCAAAAATCATGAAGTAGACATTATGATGAACTAGAGTTTTTTGATTACTCATGCTGCAGCAGAAATCAAAATGAGAAAGCTTGCAAAGGAAAAGGAAAAACAAGAAGGAAAAAGGAACCAAAATGGCTTGTTTGGTTGATGAATGGTGAGTGTGAAGTAGAAGTTGGCTTCATTTATAGAGATGTTTTTCATAGTAGTAGGAGGAGATATGTTCATAAATCAGGAACGATTTGTGGGAAGTTGAGAGTGTATTAATTTTGGCTGCGTAAACACAGGTTGTAAAGTAAAGAAGTGATGGACCACCACCAACCAAGGCCATGGTCAAAATAAAAATTTGATGTTTGTTCATACAATTAATAGTCCATCTCACAATTTCAAAAAGACTAGTTCGTCTTAACTTCGGAGTACGATTTAGAATGAGATGTTCTGAGCCACTAGCTAATAGTATACCATGCATCAAAAAAAAAAAAAAAATGCAATAATTTGATCATGATTATGACATTTCTAACAATCTAGTTTTCAGATGATTGATCACACATTAATAACATGGATAAATGCCAAAAGAGGCCAACCATAAACTAGACACAAAATGCTTTTGCCCTAATTGATGAATGAATCCTGATATAAAACTCCAACAAACTGGAGGGCTTTTAATTATTTAGGGCTCTAACTTGTGCACTTGCAGTTGAAAATCCAAGGCCTTTTTTCTTGTAGGCTGTACATTATTTCACAGGGACAACAGTGATGAATTTATTGCATATGGTTGGGTGACATTGCTTTTCAAAGCTCATTTGCTGCCCAAATCTACTTAATTTGGCTTCAATCATACACATGTTTCCTTGTTTCCCTACCCCATACTCAAGAAATCCCATTATTGTACCAAATCCAACACCTACGTTTGGTTTGGTCACAAAAGAAACAGAGTACATTACTATTTAGAGCTCATCTAATCGCAATAGGCGATTAATATTTTGTTTTCTAATTATAAAAAAGGGGCAAAAGACTAGTACATCATCATTTACAAGGGTTAGCTATGCAATAATATCATGTTGGACTTCCAGCAAAGTTAAATGAAGTTATCTTTTCTCATCAAACCAAACAAAGAAAAAAAAAATGAAAATACGTTTTTTTTAATTTTTATTCCAATGTGTTGGGTTAAAATTCATTCATTGAAATGCGAGGGACTATTACAGTGATTACGTTAATTTGCAAAGCAATCAAAACGACGTAGTACTAACTGGAAAAAAAAAGTAGCGGTTGAAGGCTTGCAGTTTTTTATAGTATGCGAGAAAGCGGGTTTTAGAGTATTGTTCCCCAAAAAACACAGAGGCCGCAGACAATGCTGAGGCTTAGCAACTTGTCTTCCTCCCCGGCAGTGGTGGTCGGTTATTGCAACAAAAAACTCCATTCTACCTCTCTTTCACCGGCCACCGGACCGGCATCTTCTTCGTTTATTCCTCAGAGAATCACAACTTCTTCTCTGATGTTGAGGCAGCCGCCAACCAAAACCATTGCTTGTAGTGCTTCCTCCCCTGATTCTCATCAAACTTCCTCTGGGTATTTTTCTCTCTCTCTCTGGGTTCTCGGTTGTTTTTGTTTTCCTGGGTTTTTATCTTTTCATTTTTTCGTGTTGAATTGTGGCTGAGCCCTATGATTTTTCTTCAAGGTTCTAGTATGAAATTTAATCCTTTTTTTTTTTTTTTGAGGTTCTATGTCTTCTTCGTTAGTTTGGGTTTTGAAGACTCGGATGAATGGTTTTTTTTTTTCTTGACTATTTTCGGAATAATTTGTGATTTTTGTATGGAGTTGGAATGTACTTGGTATGAAAGTTATGATTTTTGGGTAGAAATGCTTTGTCTAATCTGGAATCGATGAGTACTAGCTATTACTGGTCCTGCACTTGTATACGATTTTGCTTTCTTATTAATTAAGAGGGACGGCAGCTAATCCTACTTCTGTTTTTTTAATATCCCATTGGCATAGGATTCAAGCTAGACCTGTGCATGGAACGTCAGAGGTAATTGTTGGTGTTCTGGGAGGGGGGCAATTGGGTCGTATGCTCTGCCAAGCAGCATCTCAAATGGCAATCAAAGTCATTGTGTTGGACCCTTCGGAGAGTTGTCCTGCCAGCTCTCTGTCTCATTACCACATGGTAGGAAGCTATGATGATAGTGCCACGGTTCAAGAATTTGCTAAAAGGTACGCGCTGGTGCTCGTGTACTTCTTTTTCCATCTTCTTCTCAGAAACAAAAGCTTTTGTTTTGTTTTTCCATGTCTTTCTTCCAGTAAGTTAACTCTAGAGGTATTACCGCACCGATGAATGAATTCGTTTACATAGTTAGGTGTGGAGTGTTGACGGTTGAAATTGAGCATGTTGATGCTGCTACTCTGGAAAAGCTTGAACAACAAGGTGTAGATTGTCAGCCCAAAGCCTCTACTATAAGAATTATTCAGGTTTGTTCTTTCTTTACCCCAAATGAGCATGTTATCTCGTCTTGCTGCTAACTAAATGTTGTGAGTGATTTTGATTAGTTTCTTCAGTCATTATCATTATTGACTATCTTTCTGTTCTTCAGTTTATGTTCTCTGCACTAGCTATAATTGCCACTTACTTGGAAGAATCTGGGCTTTTGCTTTTAGAAATTTGCCTTTAGATAAAGGATCAAATTTGCCAGAATCAAAGTCTTTAGATATTTAATCTGATCCAAAAACAAAGTACCTTGCAAATCCTGTAATTATATACATATGTGGACGTAGGTATAGACTCAGCATCATTGTTTGCATGTTTCCTTTAAGTTATCGTTCAAACAGTAAGGTGGTCTCCCTGCTTCATTGGCAACAAAAGGAGTGTATTATGTGCAAAATATGAAAGTTACTACATATGCAAGTTGACGTTTGTGACTGTCTGTTTCTTTCCTTAAATGACTACAACTACATGTGCAGCAGTCGCAGATGCCATTTTTTTTCATTGTCTATCTCTCGGGCTGTCTTTTAAAACTCAATTTGACGGGAAAAAAATACACAATTTTCAAGGCTAATTGCCTTTAACCCTTATTTTTCAGGATAAGTATCTTCAGAAAGTTCATTTTTCTCGGCATGCCATTCCTCTTCCGAAGTTTATGCAGGTCAGATTTTGGGAATAGAAAAACCTTTGGCCTGTCTTTTTCTTTGATTTTCTCAATATTTTGTCAATTACTTTACTATTCAAATGCTTGGATGACCGATCATGGTGAAATTTGGTAAACAGATTGATGACCTTGATAGTGCCAAGAGAGCAGCAGATCTTTTTGGCTATCCACTTATGATAAAGAGCAGAAGACTGGCTTACGATGGGCGTGGAAATGCTGTTGCTAAGGATGAAAGCGAACTGTCTTCGGCAATAAATGGTAATGAGGCCTGGTTCAGTTGACCTTGAAGTCATTATATTCTTGTTTATTGCTTACTTGTTTAATGTATATCATGTAGTTTATTCGTTATTCTCTTTCTGATGTCACACAAACTACTTACTCCTTTTTATTGAGCATCGGTAATCGCATATTTTATAGTCCTAGCTCTTGCATCATACTGATTTTCTGCCTCAGTCAATGTATTATTATGTGCATATCATTTCAAAGGGGAATGGAACAGTTAAGATAATCAGTAAGATTACGTTGCTGTGCCTTTAAGCATATGGAATCTATGCCGAATATAACAACTTCAATCTGGCATTCTAGACGTGCTCCTATGACTGTGTACTGATTGTCCTTAGCTTGCAACTTCTTTCTACTCTTGCCAGTATAGAACTAGACCTGAAAAATTAAAGTATTAGTGATGTTAGTGATGTAATTTATGGAGGAAACTGCAATAAGTTGGAACACAATTGTTGCAGTACCTTATCTTCATTTTTTATTAACTTCATGCAGGCTTTTAGTTTCTTCTTTGTCTTATTCTTTCTCTTCTGTCTTTTCCTTGTGCTGGTGTGACCTCATCTAAATACAATCAATCATTATGATCTTTTCAGCTCTTGGAGGATACAGTCATGGTTTGTATGCAGAGAAATGGGCACCCTTTATTAAGGTGAGCATATTTTTGCATAGGCACAAATCCAATGGTTGTGTAGTGGTGGAACAATTCGCTGTAAGATTGACTACATCTCCATATGATTCAGGAGCTCTCTGTCATCGTAGCAAGGGGCAGAGATAATTCTGTTTTATGTTATCCTGTTGTTGAAACTATCCACAGGTGAATTCACTCTTTTCATGATTCTCTTTGCTAATTTGGCACATCTTCAATATTGTCGTCTTCTAAGAGCAAGCAATTTTACAGGGATAACATATGTCACATCGTCAAGTCACCTGCCAATGTGTCTTGGAAGATCGTGAAAGATGCAACTGATGTGGCACGCAGGGCTGTCAGCTCTCTAGAAGGAGCTGGTGTATTTGCAGTGGAGATGTTCCTAACAGTAGATGGTCAGGTGGGATGATGGTTTGCTCATGTATGCACATGCTTATTTAGAAATATACTGATGTCACTATACTTTGGATCCTGTATTCAATTTCTCAGATCTTACTAAATGAAGTGGCCCCCAGACCTCACAACAGTGGTCATCACACTATCGAATCTTGCTTTACTTCACAATACGAACAGCATTTGCGGGCTGTCGTTGGCCTTCCATTGGGTGATCCATCAATGAAAACACCTGCTGCTATCATGTATAACATACTTGGTGAAGATGAGGTGATTACCATTCACTTTTAGTTTACCTTGCTTGAGCTTATTTTTTCAAATCATCACTTTTGTGAAGCATATGTGGCTAACAGTCTAGACATGCAAATTGTATGATATAGATGTACGAGTTCAATAAGATTGCTCTTATCATCAACGAACTATTGTTATTATGAACCTTTTTCCACCTCTATTTTCAGGTGAAGAATGGTGGTATAAGTTTTCTTAGAGAAAGTATTGGAGTTCTTTTTAAAACTTTTCATTGCACTCTTTTTTTTTTTTTTGGGGGGGGGGGTGTTGGATCTTTTAATTGTTGGTTGTGTTGCTCTGAGGTCTTCCAGATGTCCATGACAGGCACTCACTGGAGTGCATTGTGTTGTGCTTTTTATAACTTGTGACCCCATGAGATAGGGAAACTGTACCCTTGGTAAAAGTGGTTTAAAAAATTTGTTAATTTGTAAGGGAAAAGTTCTATCCGTGATAGCTTGATTTAAATCCTGATAGATGTAAGCTGCTGTGGTAAAAAAAAGTCTGAGAAGTTTGTTACAGCATATTGAATATCTTAGCTGTTCTTTTGACACAATTAGCCCGTAATGTTTAGGATTGAGAATGAAGGTTGTGTAGTAGTCTCTTTTTGGGGAAGTATACAAATGTTTAGGTTAGGAATGACCAAAACCAGGTGCTTTTGATTCTTTCTCACATTTCAAATTGCAAGCAGGGGGAACCAGGTTTTCTTCTTGCCCATCAACTGATTGGGAGGGCCTTAGGTATTCCAGGGGCTTCGGTTCATTGGTATGACAAACCAGGTTGGTTCGGTTGATTTCCTTCTATCTTATGTTATTAAAGATGTGTTAGCTGATATGTTTGATGACAGTGCCTTAACTTTGAATCACTTTTGCAGAAATGCGAAAGCAGCGAAAGATGGGTCATATAACTTTTGTGGGCCCTTCTATGGGGGTATTGGAGGCACGGTTGAAGTCTCTTTTGGGTGAAGAAACAGTGGGTGGTGAGAAGGGTAAGTTTTATTTTCCTATATATGTTAAGGAATTATAGTTTGTAACATAGTGTAGTGAACAAAATTAGAATAGGTATTCCAAATGATAATCTGGATGGAGCTGAGGCGTTCGATCAATATTTTCTTATCTTCATTGATGATGTTATTTCGGACAGATTTATGTTATTATAACTTTGTTATGTGTGTTTATTTTGCAAGCGGAACTTTTTAAAATGTTTATTTGTACAGGCTCTTCATCCTCACAACTTTTTGCTTTTCTTTTTCTTTCCAGTGTTGCTCTTTCAAATGTTCTTGAGAATTGTTTGTATGCATTCTGTTTAAGATAGAGTTAAGAAGATGTGGGTATTATGATGGTCTTATTCACTAAGAAAAGCATAGATTTGATATCTATCTTTAAGTTCTTTTGTTTGGAGCTACCTCATACTATTATATACTTAATTACCGCTGCGGTTTTCTGCATACAGTTTGCTGAAGCCACTCCACCTGTTTATAATCTTTTAGCAGTTGATGCTGTACGCCATATTGGAGTGGTGAACTACAATCCACTCGTCTCTGCTAAATTGTGGCAGAATAAGATGCTGTTCAATTTCCATAAGAACTTAGTCACCATATCGCTAATTTGTGGCTGAACCACAGTCTACTCGTTTACTGTTTCACAAGAACTTAATTACTCCATTTATCATGTCTTTGCAAATTGACACGTCGCTTGATATTTGAGGCAGTCTCTTGCTTTACCTTTTGTAATTATTACAGGCTTCATCTATATTACACACTCATTCTTCAAAATGCTTAGTCATGATGTTGGAAGCTATAGCTTTACTTTAGCCATCTATGGCGCATTTACATTTTTAATGCTTTCATATGAACCTTTCTTTACTGATTTTTCCTGCAGAAATTCCACGAGTGGGCATCATCATGGGTTCTGATTCCGATCTACCTGTTATGAAAGATGCTGCAAAGATTTTGAGAGAGTTTGATGTACCTACTGAGGTAAGTTTGCTTCCACTTTTTAGAGTGTTCTTTCAAGTCAGTTCTTCCGTTAAAGACGAGCTCCTAGGACCTTCAACAACAAGAAGCCTTTATAAAGAGCCACCTATAGTTGCAGCCCCTGGTCCCCTAGGACCTTTTTTGGTTGTATAGATATGATTTTCTCAGTTGATAGTCTATAAAAGTGATTCTGGGAAATGATTGTTTCCATCCTATAGGTGCGGATAGTCTCAGCACATCGGACCCCTCAAATGATGTTTGAATATGCACAATCTGCACGTGAGCGTGGTGTTCAGCTGATTATTGCCGGCGCTGGTGGTGCAGCGCACTTGCCAGGTGATTGTCCTTTATAACAAATAATAATTTTTTTAAAATAGTAAAAGGAAAAGAAATCAAACCGTGGGACAACAGTGTGTTACATGCCAAGTTTACTTCTGTAGGTATGGTAGCGGCATTGACACCTTTACCAGTTATTGGAGTCCCAGTACGCGCTTCCACACTAGATGGACTGGACTCTCTACTCTCAATTGTTCAGGTAATTTCTTTAGATGTCAGCAGTTCTTTTTCAGACAAATGAAGTAGGGTACTTACATGGATAATTTTGGCTTATCCCCGGAACCGACTGATGAAACCTGACTTTTAACATTGTTCATCCTTTTCCAATAAATTCACATTAAAAGCTCAAGCGGAAAGTTGTTTCAGTTTCCAGAGGTATAAATCTATAAGAGGTTATAGGACGTAACACGAGTTTAAGGTTGATTGTTATTGTGGTCGTGGTTATGAATTCCTACAATACATGAGGAATTTAAATTTTGAGATGTTGGTCGACTCGCGCTGAAACTTAATTTTTTTTCTCCACTTTTACAAAATCAGTTTCTTTATTTTTCACATCCAAAGTCTTTCAGCAAATGCATTCCTAGGGTATGTTGAAATAGATGAATGTATCGTCTTCAGTGATTTTGAGTTGACTTATATTTTTGCAAACAATAACCTGCTTTGTCCATCCTAGATGCCAAGGGGCATACCAGTGGCAACCGTTGCCATCAACAATGCCACCAATGCAGGACTTCTAGCAGTAAGGATGTTGGGTGTTGGTGACTTAAACCTCCAATCAAGGTCTGGCTAATCTTTGTTGTGCCGTTTGTGTAAAGAATTTTCTTTTGGCTTCTAATTTTTGGTTCTAAATTAGTTTTAATGTTTCTTTTTATTAGAATGGCTCAATACTTGGAAGACAGAAGAGAAGAGGTTTTGGCGAAGGGAGAAATACTGGAGAAAGATGGCTGGGAGGAATACTTGAAGTCTTAGATTTGGGGTATTGACAGACTGACTGACAATCGTAGGTTTGACTCGCTATTCCGAGAAGCCGGAAACGGAGAGATCATTCATTCTTTTCTACGTGCTGATGTTTATGTTCCTTTGTCAACAAACTGAGGAAACCTTGTTTCACCTGCGGTTCTATCAGGGGAGGCAAACAATTTTCAGAACTGGTTGAAGTTTTTTCCTTTGTAATTTTTCTTCTTTTCCGATGTAACCTCGTGAAGTTATTAGTTTTCCCTTTCTGAACGAAATTTTGGTTGGTATGAAAGCTGATTGAGAAAACGGGTTTAAGCGTAAAACAGATTTGAACAAGTGTTAAAGGAGGAATGTGTCATTGATGCATGATTCAAAGAGTATCTAACAATTTTCATCTATTTTTGCACTTCATTAATTTACCTTTTGTTTTTGTTTTTGTTTTTGTTTTTTTTTCCGTCCCAAAATGAGTTTCATGTTTATTCGCTAGTGGACAATCTCAGGTGCTACAATTGAAAAGGTCAAGGTCATGCAGCTATTATTAGTTGGTCGGTCCTGATGAAATTATTTTGTTTCAAAGATTTGGAACTGAAATTTTTTAAAAGCACCGGGTCTCAAAGGCAACTCCGGTCGTTCAACTCAATGTGGAGGAGAATGGTGGCTATTTTGGACCACCTGCCCAAAATCAAAATGCTTTCCCACATTACTGGAGATTGGAGAGATATTCTTAATGGATTAATGGGACGAGATCGCGAGTTAGAACCTATAACATTCATGATCCGATGACAAGATACAATAAAATTTTTGCTAAGAACAAACCTTATTATTCATGGCAACTCCATTTAATATCTTAACCGACCCGCCATAAATAAGTAGTATTCTTTTAAAAACATCAGTTATTGAGGGCCATTAAGGTAACAAATGAGTGAGAATATTCAAGTGCAGCAACGTTTTCTAATGTTGGTGTTGAAAACAATTCTAAGTAGGGGAAATTTTGGGACAAAGTTTAGACCGGGCGTTAGTTCCAAAAGGTACTACTAGTCTAGTACTAGTAGTAGTAGTCGTAGCTGGGCCGCGGGATAGAAGAAGTCAACCATTGACATTTTTCAGATACAAACCGTAGAATGAGTTATTGTGGGAGATAACGCTGTTGTTGGGAATGTACAATCTCATTTTTTTTAGATGTTGTTTGCGGACCAAGTTAACCAAATGAACATGATCACACCTGAAAATCTTGACTACAGCCGGGGAAATTTTTGACCGGTGAAGGATTTCAATACAACCTAAATTTCTGATTATGATAATCAACATAATATTCCTTCCTTCTCATATTTACATCCTAAGTTAATTTATTCAATTTGTGCAAAAGGTCTATGGGGAAAACAAAAAAAAAATTGCAACGTGTAAGGCCTTCGTTTAGTGTCTATACTAGTATTAAGGACTGAAATATCAGAATTGAGTAGGTGAACCTTTTTTATTATTATTTATTTACTCTTTTCCTCTCCTTTGACCAGGTGAGAGAATAAATAAACGACATGCTAATCTCAAAGATGATTTTAAATCTGTTGGTTTTTTCCCCCTCCCATCACTGTGTTCGATTGACTTTCCTATTTCATTTTTTTACGTTTTCTTTTGGAGTGACGTATATTAAAGGAAGGATGAAGCCATAAATTCTAGTTTAGATTATTCTCCAGTTTAAATTTTCATTTTCAGTTCAATTTGTACTAAAACTGAAATTTGAAACTGAACAATAATTTTGGGACGGAAGGAGTATATTTTGGCCAACCTCTTTAATTTAGTAATTTTTTAATGTAGAAAACTGTCGATTCTTCAATAATATAGCTACTAGTAATCAAATTATAAAATGTTTTTTTATTTATTTTTCAAATATAAAGGTCAAAAAAGTCAAATACTTGTGATTGCTTGTACAAGAATTAGACCAATTCCATTTGTCACTACAACAACGACGTAAGGTGGTACGATGTGATGAAAGGAAGTAACGAATGAAGCCTAATAAATTAAATTGCATGACCCATTTGATTCATTCTTTAAGCCACATAGCGTAGTTTGATTTTAGACCATTTTTTTCCGTCAGACTTTCATTCCAAACGCGCGGTTTCATATGGTCAAACCTAAGTTAATAGTTTAATCCCACACACTAATTCGTATAGTAGTACCATGTTGAATCCTCCTAGTAACGATCTCTCTATATATATACATCTACTTTGTGTGATTGATCACCAAAATCCATTCCAAAATCTCCAAAAAAAAAAAACACCATTCTGCAACTGCAAAGATCAACAACAAAGAGTACATCATAAAATTTCATTTCCATTATCCCCTCATATATTGAGTAAAAATGGCTGCTAGTTTTTGTAAAAATAGTCTACTTGGTTTCACTAAAACATGGATGATGATGATCATCATCATAATCCTGGGATTAACGTTGTTGATGAATTCCCAACAAGTTGAAGGAGCGAGGCCCTTAGGGTTAATAGAGCAGCCAAAGTTGATGAAAACTCATCTGATTATTCAGTCTCTTCCACGTGGCGGCGGCGGTCCTCCTACCGGAAATCCATGCACCTACATCCCCGGAAGCACCACCGGAACTTGCAACTAATCCCTCAAAATCAACGGCAAAAGTTTTCAGCGCCGGCCATTTTTCACGTTGAGATTCATTCATTCATTCATTCATTCATTCATTCATCAGTAATTATATATAACGGGTAAATACTTCCAAAATTGTAGATATGCTTAAATGGGCAGTTCTAATTTCCGGACTTCTATTCATTTTAGGTTTTTTGTTTTTCTTTTTTGGTTATTCATTTATTGGCCCTGAAAATTTAGTGTCATGATTGTAACTTGTAACTGTAAAATCTCTGTACTGATTGTTTGAGGATATTCTTTTATTCAACCTATGTGTCCCATGACCCATAGGCTTCTTATCTCACTGCTCGCTTCATACTTATTTTTCGTTGTTCTGCTTGCAAGTTTTTCTTTTTCTCACAAAAAAAAAAAAAGAAAGAAAGAAAGAAAAGGGAAAAACGGAAGTCTTAACGGACTCAAACAAACACATTGTGAGGGCCTGCCATCTCAAATCTCAATAACATGTGCAATCATAATTTGGCTCCAACGAGAAACTCCCCAAGCATGGTCGATCAATAGTGTACATTTTGCCACGAGAAATAATTCATCTCTTTTTTTATACACAATTATAAATACCTAGTATATTACATGTAGGTGAGATCTATAGGGAATGAAATAGTACTACTAAGGGGAGAGATTTTACGCGCGCTCGTCTCAAGATATTCAGAAAGCCTCCTGATAAATGTAAACAAATCTGCACAAACTCAACATTGAAGCCCAAACTACTGGACCACCCCTTAAATAATCCATCTTAGTGCATCTTGCAACGTTCATTTTGTTGTTTATTACTTCAATAGTTCTTAAAGGTTCTAAAAGGAAAAAAGAAAATGGTTTTAAGAGTAAGAAGCTCCATATTTTATTTTACGTTAACATATAGTACACACAAGTAAATTTTATGAAATCTCGTGTTGGAATGTTTTGATATTTGAACTATGTGTATTAATGTTTCGCTATATCTGGCATTGGAAAATATTCTTATGTTTGCTCCATCTATTTGAAAATATCAGCAAGTAGGAAAAATTTTTTAAAAAAATACTAAAAAAGCTAAGTGAAAATGTTCACTGCAATGGTATATTAGAGGACAATGATATGGATAAAGAAAGAAAATACTGATTGATGTAGAATATCATGACTCTGTTTTTTTTTTTTTTTTGTAACGCTGGAACCCTATAAAAAATGGGTAAACTCACGCTCACTATAATAACTCGTAAACTACAGTAAATTCTAGACAAGCTCATGATGACAATTTCGGTTCGAAATCAAGAATTCATGTACTCATGAGGTACTATAAATTTTGAGGTTTCTACTATTTTTTTTTCTCTATCATTGCTGCATATTGACATCATCACCCTAAATTCCCCCTACCGCTCACAAAAAGGAAACTACAGTAAATGGGGCCGGATGTCGACACCGTCTAAATCTCTGAAAGAGTGGCCCAATTCAATTATCGATTCCTTTTAGCCGAACTGAAATGTAATGTATAGCCCACCAAGTGTTTCACATCATTTTCATAACCCAAGCAGCACGAATCATTCGGCCAACCAAACTTCTTTCTGTAATGTATAGATCCTTCTTTCTGTTGTTTTTTTTAAAATATATATATATATATATGTATACTCTCCCGAATTATTTATAATGCGCAAACTTAAATTAAATAAAACTGAAATAAATTTATATAGCTCCTTATAATACAACCAAAGAGATTATCTTACGCACTATCATAATCAGTTCTCTCTGTCAACATCACCTATCATCTTCTATGGAAAAATGATAAAATAGAAATAGAAAAGTGATTGGTCTCTTTCAAAAATACCTACACTTTAAGGGGGATGTTATAATTGATCTTCAAGATTAGAGTTTTACATTGCCTCCATTTCAAAGAAAAATATATATTGTGTTGAACTGGTTTAATTCGCCAAAATGTGGGATTTTTAATATATTTGTTCCTAAAAATATATATATATATATATATTATCTTTTTTTTTTTAGATACACAAGCAAAGATCTCGGTTAATCATGTTTTGATGTAGTCTCATCTTGAGAACAAAAGAAAGAGGAAAACGCCAAGTTTATATTTTCCCTTCAACACTAAATAATAACTAGTGTTCGATTTTATGTTTTTTTATATATATCTCAAAATTTCAGCTGGAAAAGATGATAAATAAATAGGAAAGCGACTGTGTCAATGAAAGAGAAAGGCGAATGGATCAGAAATCTACCAACATCAAGAAAAATAAATAAACTACGAGGTTGACTAATTGTTGTTTGAATTGTTCGAATGAAGAATGTACGTCCTTTCAGAATATTTATCAAGCTTGATCGCCATAACCGCTAATCAAACTTATAGAATTTTATGTTTCCCAATATATATTATTATCAGGTAAAAAAAAAATTAAAAGTCAAATACTTTGTCACAATTTAAGTGTTTTTTTCAAGAATAAGACCGGTTCTAACTTCTAAGAATTGCTACTCCGCAGGTACGCTAATAAAAAGTGTAAGTAATGATGCATAATTTGCCCTACCTGCAGCTCCCTGTTTGATTTTGTAGCTCCATTTCTATACTACTACCATTCTCGTGCTTTGATTTTGACCATAAATATATTTTGTCAAACTTTCAAAGGCGCGGATTCCACAGTCAACTCTCTCCCGCTTTACAGTTTTACGCATTTCCACCTATAAGTTTTTTATACCTTAGTTTATATATAATACAAGTTGAATAGTAGTAGTCATATGTTGAATTTCCCTATCTATAAATATGTACATTAAATGTGATCATCAAATCATTCCAAAACCTCCGACAAAAAACATCAAACTGTTCAAAATCATATACCAAAGTTACCAACTAACCATATCATATCTTTTTTCGCAAGATTACAAAGAGAAATTCAGTTATTCCAACGTCCCCCCACATAAATTGTGATAATATGGCAGCTTCTTTTGTGTGCAACAAAACATGCATGGTTTTGATGGGATTAACGTTGTTTTTGGCACTGATCGATTTACAACAAGTTGAAGGTGGAAGACCTTTGTTAAGGATAGAGCAGCCGTGGTTAATGAAAGATCATCTCATTATTCAATCTCTTCCGAGAGGTTCTCCGACGACTCCTACCGGAAATCCATGCACCCACATCCCTAAGAGTAGCAAAGGACGGTGCACTATGCAGGTTGAAGTTGACGGCGCCGGCCATAATGCCCCGTCGGAGCCGGTTACGGCTCCTAAGGATAATGGAATTCATCTTCATTAACCGGTTCTTGTTGAGGATGTAAAGGTTGCGATAACTCCAAATTGTATATCCTTTCATAACCTATATACTACGATATACATGTATACTTAGCCAGATTGTAGCTTGTTGTTTTTCTTTAAAATTCAATTCATTTTTTAACCATGCATGAAAATTCTGGTGCATGGTGATAACTTGTAAGTGTAACCTTTTTTTTGTACTGATTGTTAGAAAATATTCTTTCATTTAATCATGAATAAAAATCCATATTTTTTTTCCCCACCATTAATCTTGTCCCCCTTTCTGTTTGAAGTTTGAACTGACATATATGCAGCAGCTGCAAAATTTGAACCACGAAATTCTTAGTATGAATCTGATTTGGGGTTTTTCTGGTCCAACATGAAGGTCAAATCTCCCATTAATATTACTGTGCAGTCTGTACTACAGTCCAATCTCCTTTTTCACAAGTCACATGCCAAGTAAAAGGGGAAAAAGAAAAGCCTGGGAATTCATATTGGGAGTACTAGGCAAGTTGATGGCTTGAAGGGAAACGGCTTATTAGGGCTATCTTTCATGAAAATGGAAATGTTGAGCCTACTTAAAAAGTTAAAAAGGAGAACATGTGAATTTGGTCACAATGCACTACTTGCTTGCTTGTTGATATAAAATACGACCAAAATACTGCCGTCCAGTTAATTATTCATTCAAATTAAGCGAACCCTCCATTTACTTTCAACGAAGAATGCAAAATGAACATGAACAACTTTGCGTTTTAAGCTTTAATCAGTATTTAATATTCCTTCCGTACCGAAATAATGATCCCGATTGACATTTCATCCATATAAACTCTGAAAATCGGCTAGACCCACTACAATTTACAACTGAAATCAAACCTGTTTCATTCACATTCTCAATTCATTTTGCTCGTTTCATTTCGGCACCCACTTCGATGAACCCATTACACTGCAGTGTTGGCAAATACTCCACTTCAAATCCTCATCAACTCATGAAACAAATCGAAAAGGAAAAAATCGAAAATGCAAAAAAAAAATTAAAAAAAAAAGGAAGTACAACACAGCTGGAAAAGGCTAGAAGGAGCGATATAGTACGCACTACGCAGTTATTAGTAAAGTAGTACTAGTACTCGTGACTGACCCCATCAATGCTCCCAATAGAGCTAGGGCTAAAGCTAGGGTAAACTTAAAAAGTCTAGACTCTCTCATAGGGCCATTCTTGATGTTTGGACAAGTTTGGGAAAAGCAGCATAAACATTTTTTTGTACTATTGATTAGATTGGCATATATTCAATACTACTAAATTAAGTACTCCAAAATACTACTATATCACATGTATATGTAACGTATATAACGTATTTATTATTGAGAAGATGGAGCTCCCCACTTGAGATTCTCTCCCTGCCCAAACCAAACTTCCCCTCCCAAAAACTATTTGTATGTGCGAAAAGGGTTGAAGAATTACCTTCCAACAATTTCCCAGCAAAGTCATGTTCTTCTTCTTCATCAGTTTTGACCAGAGCCCCGCCAATGTTTGACCATCTTTCATCTGATCATCAATTATTATCATCATCATCAATTCATCATATATATATATATATATATATATATATGTCCCCGTGTATCAAATGATCATCCATCAACCCCACCTACGTTTGACCAGGTGCCCCCACATTTTGATACAACATCATACGATGGTCAAGAGGAGTATATATATGACTATCGATTTTGACATGCATATATAAACAAACTCATTCGTATTAAAAGTCTGTTTGAATCACACTGTCTTGTACTATCAGCTACTTCTTATAAGTAAAGCTTATCTTCAACAGAAAATTGGCACTTAAAAGAGAATTTTTTTGAAAAAAATTAATTTAAAAAAGTTTGCTTTTTGGGGGGACAATAGCTGAAGGGTTTGAAGGGGCAGTTCTTTTTTTTTTTTTTTTTGAGTCAGTATCATTGCAAAACGAAACGGGTCGTACTTCTTCTGCTGAAGTTTTTTGTCATGAAGCAGAGAGAGGGCAGGACTATCTCGGTATAGTACTACTACACTACACTGGTTATTAAAGAAGAGTAGGACCCTAAATAAGGGATCTATCAGGGGCCTATGAATGTGATCTTTGTATGTCTCCAAAACTTTATACTATGAAGCTCTCTGCACACTCTTGCAGAGATGGACGCAGGATGTATGAATCATGATCACTGTACATACATATATACATACATATATATATATAGTCCATATAATAATAACTAAGTCGAGGGTTCAAAATTCAGGATTTGTTTGTTTCATTTTTTTATGATTTTTTTAAATTAATATATTAATATTTTTCTCATCTTATTATATATCTTTTTACATTTTCAATACATTTTTTTACATTTTTAATATATAAAACACCTAAACATACATACTAAAAAATATTTTTTGACCTACTATCTTATTATCTAAATGCTTACAATTTACCAAGTCGATTTGTTATTGTTACACTTGTTGATACAGTAAAAAGAAAATGTAAATTAGGTAATACGTACTTTTATGGGTACTTTCCTTTTCTCAATGCCCTCTTTCCATTGTCAACGTCGTCCATCTTTGCACACTCCGCCATGCACAAACCTCGAATCTATCTATCTATGTATATATAAATATATATATATATATATATCTGCATCTATGGCCTTAGATTCGATTATTTGTAGGGTTAATCTACGTAGTAATCGCGTATTCATTCAATTGGTATTTTTGCATGGTTTTGTTTTTCTCAGTATTGGGTCGTTCAAAATACAGCAAGAAGAAAGTACGCCCATCCGTCCCATAATTATTGTCTATGAATTTTTATTTCTTGTTTAAATTATATTAAAAGTGAAATTTTAAACTTAACAATAATTTTAAGACAGACGATAAATATATAAAATAAGCTCAGTGGCTCCAGCTAGAAAGTCAAGTTCCCGAGTCCCGACACGACAAGATTACATTTGCATGCGTCTTTATTTCTACTGCTAGTACATTTGTACTTTAATTAGTCTAATAAAACATATGAGAAAATATAACTCGAAATCAATCTCCTAATTTGAACCGACCTCCCTTCTCTAGGCATGCATTTCCCTCCTCCTAATCCAACCTAAATCATTGAACCCCAAAGTTGCTGTAGTAATTTCCTTCATTTCCCGCACATATATAACCGTGCTTTTAACTTCAAACTACTACCAATTGTGTCATTATTCTTTTGTTATAAAAGATATTTTTTTATTTACTTGTGAATAACAAATTTGTTATATTAGCTGCTTTTATGAAACCCTTCAATCCTTTTGAAGGGGGCAAAAAAAAGTGTTTGTTATTTTTACTAAGAAAAAGAATGGAAAGAAAATACAAACAAACAAACGAATTACGTTATACATTCCCTCCGGGATCAAATCGGAATCTTGTTTGTTGAATCATTTTCCTTCAATTTGTGGTGCGTCTTTTGGAACTAAGGAAATAGTAGTATTTTATATACAAGAATGAATTGATTGAGTTTGCTTAATAGGACATGGCGAACCGCGGAGGACAGAATCATCTGAATCCACATGCTAAAGATAGTATAACGATTAAGACATTTCAGTCAGTGATCCTCGTTTTGGAGGCATTTCGTGTTTTCCCCCTCTTTTCTTTTTGGTAATTAAATTAAGACATTGATGAGCAGAAACTCAAGTTACAAATTGTATCTTTACAAGCTCCTTATCAAAAGCATAAAAAAATATTATTTATTCTGTCTTATAATTATTGTCCAATTCAAAATTTTACTTTTAGAACAATTAGAACTAAAAATAAAAATTTAAAGTGGAAGGAAGGATTACTTGAGGATCACATTTAAAAAGATGGAATACTCTTATCTAATGAAGAGTCTTTTTAGCTAATAAATAGTTTGTGCATAATGTTATTTTCTCTAACGGTATGCACAATGCGGATACCCCAGTCTTGTAGCAAAAGTTTAATTAGTGTAATTAGAAAGTGTTACATCAAAGTGATTACAGAAAATCTGGTGAACTTCTCGGTATGCAATTTTTTTAAAAAAGCCTCCTCGTGCAGATTAGGCGGAATTTTAGGCAGGCTAATTAGGCTAGTAATGATGATTCTGAAGCCCATTAAATCCCCAAAACCTTCTAACTCGAGGGAGACTCCACTCATCAATCCCCATGGTGTCATTTGAAATCGATAATGAAATTGGATCCACTCTTGAATAGTGTTTTTTCCATTAAAAAAAATATAAGCCGAAATTTTTAATTAATTTATTATCTAATTCTGAAATACCTTTTTCTATATTTTTTCTAAAAAGGATTTAAAAGATCCAAAACAGATTAGACATGTTCCTACATATGATCTCAGCCTCAAATAAGTACCACTAAACCTTTTTTTCTGAAAGAAATAATTTGTAGTTAATAATTTAATATAATTTTCGCGATGGAATATAATCAAAATATTTACGCGCCCCTATCATCATATCATACTTTTTTCCAATGGGTAAAACTATGACACACATCAAACTTAAGTAATTGCATCGATTAAGTAATGTGGCAAATTGGTAATAGTGATTGCATTGATTGAGCAAATTGGACTATAGTCATTGCATTGATTAAGCAATCAAATTATGCTAAATTGGATGCATAAAAGATGACTTCTTCACCAAAAAACCAACTAATCACGTGAAACAGAAACGAGATGCAAAATCATCAAAGTTTTCACAGAAAGAAGGGGAAAAGGCAACAGAGATCATAATTGGAAATGTCAGCAATAACCAAAAGAAGATCATCACTATACCAAGAGGCACTTAAGTCTTAATTTAAAATCATACAAACAAACCCAATATTCAGTGGCAACAATTACAATCACTTTAATGATCATTGATCACCATGATATAAATTAGTGAATGTATTTGTCACGATAATTTTATTTCTGAAGGAAACTATTGGTGGTTGTCAGGTTTCATTTCAAAACACTAGTTTTAGTTCCAATAAGTGCAACAAAACTAGTGTTCCTAACTGCAATAACAGAAGGGGGAAAAGAGAGATTACAATCTGGGAAAAATAAAAGACAAACAAAATCTAAAAGATACTGTCTGAAGTCTCTGAACAAATCAGAGCAGGATTGATTACAAATTTATATGTCATTTGAGGTAGGGATCGAATTAGGCACTGTACTTTTATTAATTACCACACCCCCCCATTAATTATAATTAATTACTCCTCCTCCTCATTAGTGTCATACTGATGAGTCAAATAGGGGTACCAGGAGTATAGTAGTACAACCTCCAAATATCTAGAAATGGATCCGGGTCACTGATACGAAAGCGACTGTTCCGACCGAATCCGAGTATCCGACCCTTTCACAGGCCCCATTGATTAGATTTAGAAGAACTCCATCAATAAACTCCCCTTCACCCTTCTAACATTTGCTTTGAATTCCGCGACCATTTTGAATTCCGAAACCCACAAAAAAACCCGGCGCGTGAGAACACTTATCTCACTCATTACTCACATTATATTTAAACGAAATTTAAAGAGTTTGGAACCGAGTTATTAAAATAAAATTAATTGTGATGTGATTACACTAAAGTAGTCGTTGCTTAAATTCTAACGAATGCCTTAGTCATTCAACAAGAAGCGAATTTACACAAACTCTTCCGGTTGTCTTCAAAACTTCCTGCATTACAATTATTACGTTTTATCTCATTTAAGCGTTTTATGAAAATGTTATACTAATATATTGTATTAGACTTAGAATGGCTTTTTTTTCTAAATAGTCTTAAAATTAAAACTTAGGGCGCGTGTGGGATGGCCTCGAAATACCTCGAAGGCAGGAAAGAAAGGGACCCTTGACGTCATCACCTAAGTAAGTGACCAATCAGTATTGGACCGAGCGTGGCCCAAAGACCAACAGACATTGTCTTGCTTGCATTGCATGGTTTAACGTGTACATATTTTTTTTCCCTTTTCTTTTTATTTTTTTCTCTCAAATATCATCGGCTCATCACGTGATCTACTTTTGTAGACTTGATAATACTGATGATGATGATGAGTATAGAAAACTGCACACCAAAAAGTACTGTACCTTTTTTCTCATCATCCAATTTCTTCATTTTCCATAATAATAATAATAATATTATGGTAGGATAAATCTTTTTTTTTTTATTATATATGTACTGGCAAAACTATATTCCCTTTTGTCATTTTGAACCTCTATTTTCCAACCCCTTTACAGTTTACACACCAACATCTATTTCTCCAATTTCTAGGCCTTTGTGGGAATCTATGATTAAGCTGTAACCTAAACATAATGGTACTCGGAGATTTATTCCCTCATCGGCTCATCCTCACAATTATTCAATTCAATTGACCTAGATATGCTTACCCTCTTGATTTAAAAATTGCATTATTTTAGAGTTGAGTACGTTGTTCGAGAGCTATTATGTCCTACTCGTACTTTATCTAGGTGAAATTTTGTTAATCGTTACAGTTAACTTTCAAATTCAAAGTGCAACTCGTTTTTTTGGACTTGCACTGAATATTATAAGCGATTAAAATAATTGTCTACTTTAAATATCACAATTACAATGAAATTAAAATTTTAAACTGGACAATCATTTCAAAATAGAAAAAAATGTCCAGTTTAAGTACTCTTTTGTTTCATGTCTAACGTTGACAATCCACGGTTTCTGTAGTAAGAAAAGGGAAGATCAGAAATCATAATTATAGTTTTTTAACAAATTTGCTTCATTTATTTGGCGACAGAAAGGTAATTTGACCTTGCCATAATTTCTTTTAAAGAATCACACATAGTGGTGACACTGTGCAGAGGAAGAACACAGAGTAGATTACAAAAAATATCACTCATGTTTTTGACAGTAGAGAGAGAGAGAGGTAGGCAGTGTGTGTCTGTGTGTAACACTGTTCAGTTACTGTGTGCTGTCCATTTTAGTGCCATAACTCAAAACTCAACAAAAAAAAAAAAAAAGGGTTCACTCTTCACTGTGGAAAGGGCGGGCCATTCTAGTTTTCTATAGCTGTTTGCATTTCTTTCCTTGCCAGTTTTGAGCTGCCCCCAGCCCTTGGATTTCTCTCTCAAAGTTTCTCTGTAGCTTTTAACTTTACACAGTGAAAAAGAAAGATACTTCCTTTTGCTTTGATTCATAGCTTTCACATACGAACACAAAATACACACAAAATTAGTTCTCTACTACACACAGTCACACACTAATAAAAAGAGAGAGAAAAAGATCGTATATTGTGTAGTGTGTGGGTAGTATAAAAGAAAGGGAATGCAGCAGCACCTGATGCAGATGCAGCCCATGATGGCAGCCTACTATCCAAGCAACGTCACCACTGATCATATTCAACAGGTTTCCCTTTCCCCATTTCTATTTTCTTTTTTTTTCTCTTCTTTCTTCCTTTCTCTTCTGCAAAATCTCTGCTCTTCTTCTCTTACTCACTCTGAGCTTTTTTTTTTAATCCCTCTACTCTGTTGCTGCTCCTGCTGTTTCCTGCTGTTTCCTTCTTTCAGTTGGTCTTCTCTGCCATTTTCACCTGCTTAGCACCTTTGTAGATATTCTTCCTTTTCCTGGTTCTTGCTTTTATTGGATATGTAGTCTGGATATCACTGTATCTTGCTGTTCTCTTTTGAAGAGTTTTTCAGAACTACCACTGCTGTGTTTTTTGTTGTTCTGGTTACATATTTTTGGCTTTGTTTGTAACAGGTTTTTTACAGGGATTTCTGGGTTTTTATTATCTTTACTCATATGTTTCATAGTTCTTCTTCCATTTTGGGTTGGAGTTGGTAGGTGGTAGCCTGTTTCCATGGGGGCATGTATTTCTGTACCTCTCTCTCTTGGAGAAACTTTCTATGTGGTGTTATTGTTAAACATGTACTCTTTTTTCAATTTTACAGTAAAAGGTATTGCTCTTTTTCTCTTTTGTTGCAGTTTTAAACTTTGAGGCCATCTTAAAAGCTTAAAGATCATTTCTTTTTCTGAGCCCGAAGACATGAAAGTATCTCTTCTTTGTCATATTTGAGCATGTAATATGAATGGTTTAGCTGGCTTTCTGCCTTTTGGGTGTTTACTCCCCTCAAAAAAGGGTGTTGTAAAGTCTATACAAATCACATTGAATAGATATTGTTGAAGTATTACCATTATTGGTTAAACATACTTCATCACCTTCTTTTGCATGTGTTGATTTAGTTCACAAATTAGTTCTTTTTGTATTATCATAATGTTTTGGTCTCTGAGAACTGAGTGGTTTTGTGTTCTCCTTCTATCCGGTATGTTTTCTTTGCAAGATCATTTTTTTTTCACTTTTTTTTTTTTTTTGTTAAGAGGGATAGTGGTTCTATCCCATGATCTCATGTATGGAGCCACTTTCATTTCATGCTTCTCTTAATTAGGCCTGGTAAAGGTTTGTGATTTTGCTTTCGTGTATGATTATATTCTGCATTTCTCCACTTAGCCTGATTGTCTGGGCCTCTGTGTGTCATTTGGAGTTGTCAGCTCATCTTCCTGCCTTAGGGAACGGTTTTCCGAGTGCTTTTGGGAGTTCATGTTACAACCATTCCCAATATAGATCTTAAATGACATTGAATGGATAATTTAATTCTGATATAATATAACCATTACATTGTTTATCTGTTACACTTCCTTAATTTTTATCGTTCTACTTATCTGGCCTTTATCATCAACGGTCATTAAAACTTGGAACAAGATTCAGTTTGTCCATGACATTTATGAATCAATTACTTCTGTTTTTCTTTTTGCTTGGAATCATCAAAGCCCCATTACAGGCAGTAGTAGTGCTATTGTTTGGAGATGTTGAATGTCTTAAGTTTTTGAAAATGTAGCTTAACCAAATGAATGTCGTATGCTTTTTCTTTTCCCAAAGCTTCCTTATAGAGAACTTAACCTAGTTAGCAGTTTGATGTGGAGCTCAAAATTTAAAACAAAACATGAAATAAAATAATATTTGGTTTCAGTTCCTAGTTCCCAGCTAGTTTGTTTATTTTTCTGCCATCACTTCACTATTTTATTCCTCTAAGCTCAAAAGGTGTTAAATTTTAAATTTCTCTTAGTTTGAGGAGGAGAGTCTTTGAATATAGAAAGTCAGACCCACTTTAAAACTTGAAAAGTGCTTTAGAGATTTTACTACTATTTTAGTATTGTTATGCTTATGCTGAACATGGTACTGGGATAGAGTGAATTGCAGTATCTGGCTGAACGTTGGCCGTTTATGTAAAACCCTTTTTTGTCAGTCTATTCTTTGCTGACTTGTATTTTTAATTTGCAGTATTTGGATGAGAACAAATCATTGATCCTGAAGATTGTGGAGAGTCAAAACTCTGGCAAACTGAACGAATGCGCAGAGTGAGTGTAACTAACTACTTGTATTACTGCCGAATATAGGTTTCAAAACATGCTAATCATTGTTGAAATGGAGATAACTATTGCAAACATTAAAGAAGAAAGTTTTGTTGGAGACTTAACTAATGTTTTAATGGTACAGAAACCAAGCAAGGCTGCAAAGAAACCTGATGTACCTTGCTGCAATTGCTGATTCACAACCTCAACCTCCTAACATGCATTCCCAGGTTAATTATTGCATACATTTGAGACTTTCTTCAAGTTCTGAAGGCATAATCATATGTGAGCTGTTTTAATAATCTTGTAATTGTCATTGGCGTTTGATGGATCTTTTGTCGATGTCTAGCAGTTTCCTCCTACTGGAATTGTGCAGCCTGGTGCACAACACTATCTTCAGCAACAGCAAGCTCAACAAATGGCATCACAATCCCTGCTGGCAGCTCGCTCCTCGATGCTGTATGGCCAACAGCAATTTTCTGCACTGCAGCAGCAACAAGCTTTGAATAGCCAGCTTGGAATGACCTCCGGAGTTAGTGCTGGTCTCCCTATTCTGCAAGGCGAGGCTCACAACGCCGGGGGAGGCAGTGGGGCGCTGGGAAGCGTAGGCTTTCCTGACTTCATTCGCGGCCCAACTGGAGAAGGCGGAGGATTGCATGCTGGTAGTAGGGGAATGGCAAGTGGAAGCAAGCATGAAATGTTGGGTGGAATGTCTGCTGAAGGGAGAGGCGGGAGTTCCGGAGGAGGCCACAATATAGATGGGAGCGAGACCCTTTTCTTAAAATCAGGTGATCATGATCATGGAAATTGAAATGAAAAAGGTTAGCTAAATTGATGATCATGAGTCTCTACTTGTAACATCTGGGGATCTTATTATAAGGACCTTTTTAGAGAGAAGTTAGTAAAGAACTTGCATCCTATGAGGCATGATCGGGGGTTTTTTAGCTGTTAAATCTTTTAAGGTAGCGAAATTGGAACCACGAAGAGATTTGGTAAATCTGCTGTCTTGCATCTTTTGTAGTAGTTCATCATGTACTATGTAAATGTCTTGTTCGACGTTTCCAATGTTCGTTAACTAGTTATTGTGATGCTTGTTAAGTGTTAACAACGGTCTTAATTTTTCCAGGATTTTCTTTATCATACTTCTTCCGTTCCACAAAAACAGTTCACATTTAGTTTTGAGTTTTATACTGTTTTTAGTACAAAATTGAAAACTTAATGTGGACTATTTTCTTTTGGGACGGAGGTAATATATTTTAGTTACATCTATTAAGTCGGTTGTTAGTAGAAAATTCAGATGGTGCTTTGCTATTGAATTTAAGAGCTGGAGTTTGTGTGTATTATTTGAAGATAGTGAATTGGTGTCGAATTGATGATGACATCAATATGACAATTTGAGATTGAGATGAAAAAGGTTGCAAAAGTCATTGGGAGCTTGAAAAACGTCAAAAAGATTCTGGCTTATTTCACAATCCATTGTAATCAATCAGTTAAATACATGCAATAAGTAGCTTTTTCTTTTTTCCGTAGAATGAAAGATGCATATTTGCTTGATGTTATTAAGCAAAGAGAATCTGGTGGCGAAAAATACCGATAATATCGTGTTTAAAAAATAGGTTCAGATGGTGGAGGTGGTGGGGTTGTGGGCTTTTGGGTGCATGTGTTTTTGACTGAAAGGAAAGTTGAAAACACAATATCCACCAGCGAGGAAGGGAGAGGCTAAATTGACTGGGGTACTGTGTGAATGATATTACTACTCCTGAGTTTATATAGTAGTATCATAAATTCAATTTGTCTGTTTCTTTTGTTCGGTTGATAATTGACCACGCTACCGTTGTCGTGCATGGTTTGGGTTAGTGTTTTGTAAACTCCGACGTGGTACTTCGGAAGCTTCTGATGATTAGTTTCTCTTTTTTCAACATTGCGAAAACAGAAGTAATTGGTAATTAGTGGATAATCTTCCCTATTTCAACCACCAGAAAATGGTTACTTATTTGGGGAGTTTAATAATGAGTACATTAATTTCGTGCCAAACTATTGGGAAAAAAAAAAAAAACAGAAGATTCACGTAAATGTCACACCAACTCTGGCCAGATGGGCATATTAGCAAGAAAGATCAATCACTGTAAGAAAAAAATGGGAACCAAAACAACGGGCATCTGATTCTTTCATCAGTTACTATTTACTAACAAAATTTCGCGTGAAATTCTGTTGCTGGGAAATCTACATCATGCCATGGAAGGGAAGTATTGGATCGAGATCACCTTTTGATTACTTAATTAGGAAGAGCACCTTTTAGGCATTTTTGTTGCTGGTTAATTTAATTAGAAGTTTGTTGGTGAACACAAGAGGACCAGTAGGGGCGGGTGCCCTCTCCCATCTCTCAATTTTTATTATTATTATTTTTTTTTAACTTTAGGAGGTTTTAATTCATTTTTTGGTATTAAAAATAAAGAATTTGTAATTTGCTTCTTCAATTTAGTATTTTGGTAGACTGGAGAGGAGAGATATATCGAACAAAAATTTCATATGATAATTAAGTCTTCCCTCAAAAAACATTTTTAAGTCTTCCCTAATAATATACTTCATTCCCGGCTAACTCCACCCCCGCTATAGTATAGGGACATTAAAAGCACCAGTAGCTGTGATTTTTAAATAAAATACGAAACTAGGTACTTAGATGTGGGACAATGTTAACAATGTAAGTTAACAACCCTATTGGTCCCTTGATTTCAATTCCAAACGTGTTTTTTTTGTCCAATGTTTTTAAAAAAGTTGCAAATTAATTATCCCATTCTCATTTTTCATTTATCAAGACTCATACAATTGATGATCAAAACTTTGAGACCAAATCATACAAAATTTTTTGGGCAAAGTGGACAATAATTATGGGACGGAGGGAGTATAAGCATATCCGATTATACGCAGTAAAATCCAGGAGCTTAAGTAGAACACAGTTGTTTGTGCTAGATCTCACTTACGTTGTTTCTTACTTCCTTTATTCTAAAATTATTGTCTATTTTAGATTTTTCGTTTCTAATCCAATTTGTACTAAAAATGAAATTCAAAACTTGACAGTCATTCTGGACGGAGCAAGTATTATTGATAGGGAGGAACAGCGGGAATTGATGCAACACATTGTAAAGATAAATTTGAGTATGGCTTAATATGCAGGGACGATTTGGGCAATTTAGTGAAATTAAACAAAGTACAAAATGAGCCAATTCCCAGAAGTTGCAAATGTTACTTTCTTCCCTTATTTAGTAGAACACTCACCATCATCACACGATGCCAAAACGTGAAGATATGCAACTAATCTACATGATTTTAACATCCCAAAATTCGTAGTGCAGTCCGAGGTGTTACATTTTTTTCCGGGTTCATCATTGTTCAGAACACCCAGGAGGTACAAAGAAGATGGATTAACGAATGACTTTAGTTGAGGCCAAATGAATTAAGTGCTCACAGCTCAAAGCTAGGTTCGTTGGAATTTTGAGGATCTTAATCGACTGATGAGGATTGAGGAACGGATTTCTTATTAATAATGCGAACTATGAAGAAGAAGAAGAAGATTATTCAAACTATTAGTTATAAACATTACAAACTGCCCACCGGTACTATGATAATATCATTAGTTACGGGCCTTACCGGCATATACAACGTTAACCAAAAGGGAAATCGTATCTCGATAAGCTTTCAGGCAATTTCCAGAACACATCGTCTTCAACTTCAATGGCACCACTGTTTGAACGATAAGCTTGTCCATCAAATTCATAGCTCGCATTTGGAGCATTCCTTACACCATCATTTCCGGGCAGTTGATAATTAAACTCCGTCGCATTTGGAGCGTTGCCAGAAAAGTTCTCCGGCAGGCTTCTCTGATGATGATGGTCATCGATGGGATCTTTGCCAGTGAGTTCTTGAACTATTGCCTTAAACTCTGAAGCGTTTTTGGCATTCACCATTACTGGGCTGGAAATATACTTCACCTTCAAAGGCTCCTTGCTCTGTTTTGGTGCCTTCTTCCCCTGAATTTGCTGATTCTCATGACCCTCTTGATTTCTGTTGTTGCTTGAGTTCCCTGTTTCCATCAAATTAGTGACTCGAATTGAAGAAGAAAACTGTAGTAATCTGGTTTGGTTTGGTGGCGCAGTGGAGCTCTCTATAGGCCGCCATGTAAATAAATTATATATGTGTATCAATGGAACGTTCCGGGAAAGAGAAAACGACCTTGGGAGGAAGTAGGAAGGGACATATATATAAAGAGAGAAGAAAATATTGATGGAGGGAAAAACAGGGGAGTTATTTATTTATTTTTCCCTTGACCGTCACAAATTTGTAAAATGTTAACAATAAATTAAAATCAGAAGAAATTGGAGCCTTTTTTTTTCTTCCCTAGTTCTAGAACAAATGCGTTAAGTAATGAAATGACATCATTAGAAGTTTCTTTCATGAAATTCAGATGATATTAAAACAAGTGGATGCCGGAATCTAAATTAATATAACAAGTAATTAGTCTTGAGTTTCAGATATATGTATAATATGTTGCATCAACGAAACGTTACGCGGGTTATGTCAAATTGTGAGCTCTATTTCAAACTTCAAAGTTATCTAGAAAACAAAAAAAAAAAAGCCAATTTAGTTGTTCTGTCTCAGCAAATACTACTCTTTATTTTAGAAAGGAAAGAAAATTAAGAAAATATGCTAATGGAGTGAACTGCACGATTAATTTTGTGTTTCTTATTCCCTCCGTCCCAAAAGAATTGTCCAATTTTTAATTTAAATTGTATTAAAATTAAAAATTTAATTTGAACAATAATTTTAAGACGGAAACTGTATAATTTAGCCAAAAATACATCTATTCCTCTAATTTTTAGAAAATGAATCCTCTAGTTAAGGGCTAGTGGTCTACTATGTTCTCACAGTGGGCATTGGACCAACCTATTTGTACCATGGGATAAATTCTTATTGGGACAGAGAATCTCTACTTGGGACTCTGTAATGTGAGTCCCATATTCGTATGGGACTATGGGCAAATAAAAAATGCGAGTGGAGATTTTAAATTAAGCGCGAGAACGGCCTATAGAAGGAAAACTTCCCAATTTCAGTTTCTTTCAATTCCAATTCCAACTAACCTGAGAGTGTGTGTGTGTGTGTGTGTGTGTGTGAGAACGAAAGGCTTTTTTCCTGAGCCACGAGTTTCCTACAAATCGGAGAAGAAGACGATCCGCAGTTACAGGGAACTATGAACACTCAGTCTTCCACAAACTCCACCACCCCGATGTCAATCAAAACTGATCCCAAATTAGGAAATACAACTCCATTAACCAAAGTTTCGGAAAAATCCGATTCAATATTCGTCAATTCGCCCGATTTTGCTTATTCGTTTGAATTGATTGAAGTATCTTTTTCACGGCTGTTGATCCAGTCTTATGAATTACAGAGCTGTTTCAATTCGGAATTGTGCGGGAGGGATATGATCACGTGTTTTGATTCTCATGCGGGACGAACAAGAAGATCAGCACTGTTGAGAAGTTCAAAAATTAGTCCGGTTCATCTTTAATATGGTACGCACGTTTTCCTTGCTGATTTTGCTTTTCAATTTCTCCATATGATTGTTTCTTAGGTTACATTTATTGATGCGAATCCTTGTTTGATTAATTTCCGTCCATCTAGATACCACTGGAAAATATTCATTTCCGGAAAATTCCTGGGTATTGTTTTTAGTGTCGTTAAGCATTTGGTGTTTGAATAAACGAAGGCCAATCCTCATACGTTGTTGGAAGTGTCTGTCAATTTACAAGTTTGAATTTTTTTAAACAAAATTTGGACCCTGAAAGTGACAGTGGTGAAATGGTGGTCTCTATGTATTTGGTGTCTTTCTCCCAAAGAAAAAGGGAGTATATGTCTTAAAGTCATGGTAGATTGAGGTCACTTGTGGGTAAAAGGGTAAAAGACTAGTTCCTGTGTTACAAAAATCTACAGTTTTAGCATCAAATTGTTACATCAGAGCTTTCTAGAGCTGCCAGATAGAGGAAGAAGACTGTTAACAATGGTTCTTTTGTCAATATGACTTGGCATAGGGAACTTCCGTTAACATCATCGTTGGTTCTCATGTCTGGGTTGAAGACCCAGAACTAGCTTGGATTGATGGGCAAGTTGAGAAAATTAAGGGCGAAGAAGCTGAGATTCAGACAAGCCATGGCAAGAAGGTACGTGATTAGGCTAAATCCCTTTTTAGAGCATGGCCAAAGAGAAAACAAAATTGTCCTTGGTATTATGGTTGAGCTTTTCATTTTTTACTTCCGTATCAGATTGTTACGAAGTTATCCAAAGTTTATCCTAAAGATACCGAAGCCCCACCTGGTGGAGTTGATGACATGACAAAACTACATTATTTGCATGAGCCTGGAGTTCTGGAAAATCTGAAAGCAAGATATGAGCTGAATGAAATATATGTGAGCTCTCCTTAGTAGCACATTTTTCTTGCCCCTGAAGGTGTTGTGATCATAACATGTGTCCTTTTCTATTTGATTTCATGGCAGACTTACACTGGAAATATACTGATTGCCATTAATCCTTTTCAAAAACTGCCTCATTTATATGATTCTCACATGATGCAACAATACAAAGGGGCTCCACTTGGGGAGCTCAGCCCTCATGTGTTTGCTGTTGCTGATGTGGCTTACAGGTTAATTTCTTCAAACTCTTGCTAGCAAATTACAAATGTGTATGTAGCGCATGTCTAAAGGGATCTACGCATTTTTCTGCTATGTTCAAACATGTTGTGTTTATTTGAACTGCCTTCGAATCAGGGCGATGATAAATGAGAGGAAAAGAAATTCCATTCTGGTAAGCGGTGAAAGTGGGGCTGGCAAAACAGAGACAACAAAAATGCTCATGAGATACCTCGCCTTTTTGGGGGGCAGAGCAGCTACTGAAGGAAGGACAGTTGAACAGCAAGTTCTTGAGGTATAATTAATGAAACTGTCTAGACTGCGGAACTCCTCCGTCCCCTAATTTTCTTTTAACATGAAGGCTGGTGTGTGAATTTTGTCATTGCAGTCCAATCCTGTTCTTGAAGCTTTTGGAAATGCAAAGACTGTTCGAAATAACAATTCCAGGTGAATTACTTTCATTATCATGCTCTAAATTCTTAAATTTTGGTCCTTTGAATCCACAACTAGAAAGCAGTTTAGTATTCTATCAGATAGAGTTCATTGTAGTCTAGCAGATACTTTTATGCTTGAACTTGTCATTCTTGACCATGTAACATTGATATGGTCGTAAATTTGATATCCTTCAGCCGTTTCGGTAAATTCGTAGAGATACAATTTGACAAGCATGGGAGAATATCGGGAGCAGCAATCAGAACCTACCTTCTCGAGAGATCAAGAGTTTGCCAAATTTCTGATCCTGAGCGAAACTACCACTGCTTTTATCTCCTTTGTGCTGCGCCTCAGGAGGTATCTCCCTCTGGTGGTTATGGCTTGTGAATGTCAATCCCCTAAAGACTTGTGGCAATTCCTGGCTAACTCTCTTCGTGATATTAGGAAATTGAGAAGTATAAGTTGGGGCACCCTAAAACATTTCATTATCTCAACCAGTCACGCTGCTACGAGCTAGTTGGAGTAAGCGATGCGCATGACTATCTCGCTACTAGGAGGGCAATGGACATTGTTGGAATCAGTGCAAAGGAGCAGGTATTGTCAAACGTCCTCTTTTGCTTTTTCCCCACCCCTCTTTTAGGTGCAGGTATTAGAGGAGTTCTTACACGTATACAAATGCTGGATGTCTCTCTCAGGAAGCTATTTTCAGAGTGGTCGCTGCAATTCTTCACATTGGCAATATTGATTTTACAAAAGGAAAAGAAATCGATTCATCGGTATTGAAGGATGAGAAATCAAAATTTCATCTCAAAACAACTGCAGAACTTCTCATGTATGCACGATTACCAACATCACTCAGTAAGGTGGAATATTATTCTTCTCGTTGTGCATGTTGAGAACTGCTGATTCATTTTTTGTTTCAGGTGTGATCCTGTGGCTTTGGAAGATGCATTGTGTAAACGCGTGATGATCACCCCTGAAGAAGTTATTAAGAGAAGTCTTGATCCACTTAGTGCTTTAGTTAGCCGGGACGGCTTAGCTAAGACGATATATTCTAGACTATTTGATTGGTAAGATTCTATTCTCACTCGCTATCCTCTCTGGTTGCGAATACACACTGATGTTGATGTATCTTTTCCAGGTTAGTAGATAAGATCAATGTCTCAATTGGCCAAGATTCCAATTCAAAATCCCTGATTGGGGTCCTGGACATATATGGGTTTGAGAGCTTCAAGCATAATAGGTGGAAACTGAGCTCTGAGTTCTTTTATGATGTTATACGAGTATAATAGGAACTGGATATTTGAAATTCTATCTCTTCCCAACTAATAGAAGAAGTCTTTTAAGACCTTTGCTGTTCTCTTTTTCATTTTGAATATTTTGTGACATGCAGCTTTGAACAGTTTTGCATAAATTTTACCAATGAGAAGCTTCAACAACATTTTAACCAGGTAGTCTCCTCACCAAAGTTAGCCCTCAAGTGCTTACATATCGTTACAAGTTTACTTAGTCCAAATTCTGTTTCCAGCATGTCTTCAAGATGGAGCAAGAGGAATACACAAAAGAGGCAATTGACTGGAGCTACATTGAGTTTGTTGATAATCAAGATGTCTTAGATCTTATTGAGAAGGTGTTTTTCTCTTTTCTATTAACAAGTTCTCAGGGCAAGTTAGATGCACCATGGCTTTTTCTCAAAATTATTGGATTCATATTTTCTTGAAAGGGTTAGATAAAAATGTAGCAGATAACTGATGCATTCTTAGTAGATGAGTGAGATCTTATGTCAATGTGTTTGTACACATCTTCAGATTAAGCACTCTATTGTTCCACTTAAGTGAAGTTTATGACATCTTAAGTTGCATGTTGTAATTTTTGCAGAAACCAGGTGGAATTGTTGCTCTCCTCGATGAAGCCTGGTAAAACCATATCTGAAACTGTCTTGTGTTTTCCTCCTATGTTTTCATGCTAACAATTCCAATGCATCTGGTCTTTCCATTTTCTTGGTAGCCGAGTCTCCTTGTCATCGTTTTAATTGACTTCCATAAATGGGATTTTCGTTTTACTTTTCTCTCAGTATGTTCCCAAAGTCAACACATGAAACATTTTCAAACAAGCTGTATCAGACTTTCAAGAACCATAAGCGCTTCGTCAAGCCCAAATTGTCTCGCACAGATTTTATAATTTCACATTATGCTGGAGAGGTCTGTTCTGTAACCAAGAAAATTGTACTACTGACGTTTTCCTGCTTTTAGACTCTCAACTCATTCCAGATTCTTATCAGGTTCAATATCAATCTGACCAATTTTTAGACAAAAACAAAGATTACGTTGTTCCAGAACATCAGGACCTGTTAGGCGCTTCAAAATGCACTTTCGTTGCTGGACTTTTTCCTCCAATTCCTGAAGAGTCTACAAAATCGTCCAAATTCTCTTCCATTGGTTCGCGTTTTAAGGTATCTGTCTCTTTTTCTTTTTTATGTGACTGCCGAATTTATCTCAAGACAGGTTCCAACTTTGAACTGGAAGAAAGAAATGAGACTAATTTGTTTGTGCAGTTACAACTGCAACAGCTGATGGAGACTCTAAATGCCACAGAACCTCATTATGTCAGATGTATAAAGCCAAATAATCTTCTTAAACCAGCTATTTTTGAGAATTCAAATATAATGCAACAATTGCGTTGTGGAGTAAGTCTTTTTAACAATTCACTTTCGTATTTGCCTTTCACCACAATAGGAGTTGACTCATTTTCATCTTCATTAAACTTCTATGCTGCTAATTTTACTGAGTTTCTCCTTCTAGGGAGTCCTTGAAGCAATCAGAATAAGTTGTGCTGGATATCCTACGCGTAGACCTTTCTTTGAGTTCATCAATAGATTTGGACTGCTTGCCCCCGAAGTTTTGGCAGGAAGGTGAGGCCTTTATAGGCTGACGTAATTAAAGATATCTCCACTGTCATGTGCAGCTTTATTGTTTTTGATAGAGATATAAATATTGTTGGGTTTTTGCTTAGTTTATGTCCAACATCTCATATTGATTTTTTCTCTCCTCTAATGAGCAGTTTCGATGAAAAAGTCGCATGCCAGAGGATCCTGGAAAAGAAAGGGCTACAAGGTTTTCAGGTAAAAGCTAAAGTTTCTCTTCCATGAAACACTTGGTTTGGAGTTTTTATTACAGTATCTGGCCATCTTTTGGTAGACGCATGTGAAATGCAATTGGTAGACACATGTGAACTGGAAGACGTTCCAATAACAAAGTTTGGTTAATGTGGTCCATCTTTTGCATATTTACAGATAGGTAAAACAAAGGTTTTCCTCAGAGCTGGTCAGATGGCTGAGTTAGATGCACGACGGGCAGAAGTTCTTGCAAGTGCAGCAAAAGCCATACAACGGCGAATAAGAACTCATAATGCTCGTAAACGATTTGTTGCAATGAGAAAAGCTAGCATATGTATGCAATCTATATGCAGAGGTGAGCTATGTAGATTGTTGTAAGATTTTTCCCTACTTACTCCTGCAACAAAGGGAAAATCCCCTTTTGTATGAATCTATCTTGTGGCAACTGACAACTTCACATTAAATAATTAAGTTTTCAGTCCCTTATTTATTTACTTTTTTCAGTTTTTTGTCATTAAGATTTTAATTTTGACTTTCAGGGAAACTTGCTGGCAAACATTTTGAGGGAATGAAAAGGCAGGCCGCTGCTGTTAAAATACAGAAAAATACGCGAAGATATGAGGTTAGAGCAGCCTACAGCAAACTCAGGGTCTCGGTGCTTGTTTTACAGACAACTTTACGCGCAATGGATGCACGAAAAAAATTTGCATTCAAAAAGCAAGCTAGAGCTGCAACTGTTATTCAGGTACTTTATGGTGTATTATCTGTATTGTATTATTGTCCAGCTTTACAGCTCTAAATCTCACACTTTCCACTTAGGCAAGGTGGCGCTGTCACAAGGCATCATCTTATCATAGGAGACTTAAGAAAGGAACAATAGCTGCCCAATGCAGATGGAGAGGGAGAATTGCTAAAAGAGAGTTGCGGAAGCTCAAACAGGTAAAAGCTGATGCTAGAATTCTTTTTATTGAAAGTGATAGTACCATTTTCCCTTATTATAGGCAATTTTTTGCACATTCCTAACAGTATAAGGAGTTTCTATGACGCTAAAAGCTGATCTTCCATTGTTAAGTTATGAGGTTGTTCTTAATTGGCTTAAAACAACGTAAATGCTCAAGATATAAGTCATTTTGCAAATCAATCTGAACTATCTTGTTAGCTGGACTTCATGACACTATATTAAACAATATAAAGTTACCCTCAATGGGGATGAGGAAACCTTTTTTTTTTTTTTGTAATATAAATCATGAAATAGAACCTTTGGTATCTTAGCCGATATAGCTTTTCATATGTTAGGATTAACCAAATTTTCCCTTCTTTTAGGCTGCTAGAGATACAGGAGCACTCAAAGAGGCTAAAGACAAGCTTGAAAAACAGTTGGAGGAGCTTACATGGCGCTTGCAACTTGAGAAACGCCTGAGGGTATTCTCCATTTTTTGTTTGATGTTCTACAAAAGATTGGATAAAGAATAAAACCTGATAAATTTGTTTGTTGAAAGGGTATAAATCAGAAAACTACATTAAGGGTGCTATCATGACTGAGACAATGGGTACTGGGAAATTTAGTTAGGCAGCTGTGGATTTTCTCTTTCTAAGTCTATTAACTTAATTTCCCTTCCTTATGGACATCATGCAGACTGACCTTGAAGAAGCCAAAGCTCAAGAAATAGCAAAGTTACAAAGTTCTTTGGAAACAATGCAAAAGAAAGTTGATGAAGCTCAGGCAACGATTACCAAGGAGCGAGAGGCTGCAAAGAAGGCTATTGAAGAAGCACCACCGGTTATCAAGGAGGTTCCTGTTCACGTTGAAGACACCCAAAAAGTTGAATCTCTGACTGAAGAAAATAAAAGTTTGAAGGTAATATGGCAATCTTGATTGTAGGCTTCTTCTCTGAAAATTTTAATACACCTCAGCTACAGGATTTAATGGCATTAAGTAATCATCTTGCCCCCCCAGGAAGAGTCATGAGTATTAACGTGGACTATCATGAGAAAAGATGTGCTAAGAACCGAATGATGTCTTTAAGTTTTTCAGTAGAAGTACATTGATTGGAATCAACTGTTTTCAACTGTTTCAGGCAGCTTTGCAGCAAGAAAAGGAGGCCTCATCTGAATTGCAGCAGAAATATGTGGAGGTTCAAGATACTAGTGAGGAACGACGTATAAAGTTAGAAGAAACAGAAGCTCGAGTTCATCAGCTCCAAGAAAATCTACACAGGTATTCTGATGCATGGAGAACAGCCCACCTGCTTTATCACATTCCAGTTCTTGCAATTTCTTTTCTGGAAATGCTACACTGTCTTGATATGTATCTGCAATCAGAAAATTATTTTTGTAAATCTGTTGCACACATGGGGATTGGAATTCTTTTTTTCCTTTTCCTGAGCATAAAAAACTGAAACATTTCTGTGTCCCAATCAAATATTTTGGGGGCTGGGGATAAATCAAGGCTGCTAATTGATGGGACAGAAGGTTCAGTAGATGACACATCCGTTATAAAGAAAGATTTCTAGAGTGCTTTATGATTAGTATGTCAATAGTAACTTTTATAAGTGCAACAAATGAAGATTCATGTTGGTTTCAGGCTGGAGGAGAAGTTGAACAATTTAGAGTCAGAGAACAAAGTTTTTCGTCAACAAGCAGTGTCCATGGCACCAAATAAGTTACTCTCAGGACGATCTAAATCAATTCTCCAGGTATTTCCATGATAGACACTAAGATAAATGTTTGGATATGTATTACCATAATATTAATGAAATCTTTCGTTGTCCCTGAATACAGAGGATGGAGAGTAATCATTCTTTCAGTGAAAATAGGGCGAATGTGGTAATTGAAACTCCCTGCCTTTCTTCCATAATTTGTGCAGTTTTCTCTTAACTCGTGAGTTATGACTATTTGCATTTCTCATTGAACTAGGAATTGCATAGCATATCAATGAACCATAGGGATTCTGAGATGGAGGATAAACCCCAGAAATCATTAAATGAAAAACAACAAGAGAATCAGGAGTTGCTACTCCGCTGTATTGCACAACACTTGGGCTTTGCAGGCAACAGGCCGATTGCTGCATGCATTATATATAAGTGCCTACTTCATTGGAGATCCTTTGAGGTTGAGAGAACGAGCGTTTTTGATCGAATCATTCAAACAATTGGTCAAGCTATTGAGGTTTGAGCTAATAATCTTATGCTACAAGGTTTTTCTCTTGAGTCAAATCTAACTCAATCCCACACTTCTGTATTTGCCAGAAAACCCAGGATAACAATGATATATTGGCCTATTGGCTATCAAATGCTTCAACTCTTCTGTTACTGCTCCAGCGCACTCTGAAAGCCAGTGGTGCTGCTGGAATGGCACCTCAGCGACGTCGTTCTTCATCAGCTTCTCTATTTGGCAGGATGGGACATGTAATGCTTTTGTGTTTCATTTCAGCGCTATGGGATATTGTGATTATCTATCGTCATTTTTAGTCTGATAAATAGTCTTGCGTTATGAGATATGAGATTTAGTGACCTCATTTTTTTCACATCTTTTGTTGATCAGAGTTTCAGGGGAGCTCCTCCAGGAGTCAATTTGTCGTTTGTAAATAGCAGTCTCCCAGGTGGACTAGATACTTTGCGACAAGTGGAAGCAAAATACCCAGCTTTGCTTTTCAAGCAGCAGCTTACAGCATATGTAGAGAAAATTTATGGAATGATTCGCGATAATCTGAAGAAAGAGATATCACCCTTGCTTGGGCTTTGTATTCAGGTACCTGTTTCTGTTAATGTGCTGGCCAATTATATGATTTTGGACAGAAGAAAGTACTTCCATGCTAACGTTATTCTCATTATCAATTTATTGCCTTCTCACTGGTGGATAGGTACCGAGAACCTCTAGAGCTAGCTTGGTCAAGGGATCATCACGTTCAGTTGCTAACACACCTGCTCAACAAGCTTTGATTGCTCACTGGCAGGGAATCGTAGCAAGCCTTGGGAACTTCCTGAAGACTTTAAAGGCAAACCATGTAAGTAGGGCATCTATGTTCCCCTTTTTGTTCCATAAAAAATCTCTTTCGTCAAGGTTGTCATGATTTGTTACTCAGTAATGTTAGAGTTTCCTGAGTACAATGAAACCGTCGTTGATTTCCTTAACCACTTTGATATTTGATTTTCTGCAGGTACCACCATTTTTAGTTCGTAAAGTGTTCACACAGATATTTTCCTTCATAAATGTGCAGTTATTTAATAGGTATACTTTATACATTTTATTAACCTAATGCAACATGTTCAGCTTTATAGTCATAAGATAAACCATTTCTTTGTGCTACATTTCTGCCTCTCAGTCTTCTCCTGAGGAGGGAGTGCTGCTCCTTCAGTAATGGTGAATATGTTAAAGCAGGCCTGGCTGAATTGGAGCACTGGTGTTACACTGCTACTGATGAGGTATATCTATGTTTGTTTTATTCCCTTGTAAAAGTGCATGTTTTCCATACAATAACGAGGGTAAAATATGCAGTATGCAGGTTCAGCTAGGGATGAGCTAAAGCATATCAGACAAGCGATTGGATTTTTGGTAAAGCAATCGATGATCTGTCTGTTTTGGTTCAAATATACTGATGCATTTGTGTATATCAAGGAGAAAATACGTTGCTGAAATATGTAGTCTTTTGTGATATTCAGGTTATACAGCAGAAGCCAAAGAAGACGCTAGATGAAATTAGCCATGACCTATGCCCGGTAGATTATCTAACTTTATTGTACTGATGCTCTTCAGGTCCTGTTTTCATTGTTAAAACCATTCTGTCTTTGTTTGAACAGGTGCTCAGTATCCAACAATTGTACAGGATTAGTACAATGTACTGGGATGACAAATATGGCACTCATAGTTTATCCTCGGATGTAAGTTTTAGTGAATGCCATTACTAGGTTCGAGTCATCTTCTTCATGAAGACACATCACACAGTTTTCAAATTTATCTACAAACCACCTAATCAAGTTTAATTTGCTAAACTCCTGGGGGATATTTGTCAGGTTATATCAAAGATGAGGGTTTTGATGACGGAAGATTCAAACAATGCAGTTAGCACTTCGTTCTTACTGGACGACGATTCAAGGTCAGTCTGACCTAAAAAATGACAGCATCTCATAATCCCTTTCGATAAATGACATGGGGATCACTGGCTAATGTTGTTTTTGTATGGCTACTTTTGCAGCATCCCGTTTTCTGTTGACGATATATCAAAATCCATGGAACAGATAGACATTGCTGACATCGAACCTCCAGCCTTGATTCGGGAGAATACCGGCTTCAGCTTTTTGCTCCCAGAAGACTAATTTTAAGTACTCATTCTTTTGATGCTAATTGAGCCTTCACTATTCTGTCTTTTCTAACTTTAATAGCCTATTGAAAAGAATGGGAAAACAAGGAAAGGCAATCTCTCTTGTTGTCACCCAAAATTCCAAATAAATTAATATGAGAGAGAGAGAGAGAGAGAGAGAGAGAGAGAGAGAGAGAGATTAGGAGAAAGTAATAGGAGCTTGCTCATTATCCAAAAAAAAATAGGAGCTTGGTAGGCTAGCTGCGCAGTTATAGTTTTCTAGTTGTAAAATGGTCATAACTTTGGAATACATAAGCGTTGCGTTTAGAAGTAAAATATGGAGTTTGGCCATAGTACATTTGATTTCCTAGCTCTCAGTTTTCCTATAGAGAGCACACACAAATTCATACCAAAGAATACACAAAAAATCAGTACAATGGGTGGGTTAGGAGAGCTATTGCGATGGGCCTTTTACCAGGTGGGATGTCGGAATCTAATGGTCCTGTACGACGATCATCGAATGCCATAAATCTGGATCCCTTGATTTCCAACTCGGACACTTTCACCCAGTCCATCTTCTCTTCTTCTTGAACCATGACAATAGAACTTAGTATCAGAATCAGGAACAAGTTTTTTTGTTGTGTGTACGATTAAATTTGTAGGATTTATTTTCACCGAGGTTGAATAATTGGAAAGGAAGCTAAGTTTGAAGTATCCGATTTCGTGATACTCGTCGATTTCAGACTTGCTGGAAGGACGAACACAAAAGTACATCGGCGGCTGTTTACGGATATTTGCAGTTCACCTCTGTTCTTGATGGGGTTGTGGCTGCATTCCACAATCGGCCTGAATCTGATACAATCAGCGTTATTGTCAATCAAAGTATTACCTTAGCTCACATCTCAAAACCAATTAGCAATGAGTGGAGATGCCTTTGGATTTTATATACCGAGTCACTTCTCTTCACGGTGGCGATATAGGACAAGATAATACACCTTAACACCCTCCCTCAAGTCCAATAGGTCTTTGCATTTTTTGTCCAATAGACTTGGATCAGGACAAGAACAGAATAGCACACGAGTCAACGCTCTAGTAGGAAAAAATCAGTTAAATCGCTGAGTCAGTCCACAACAAGCCCATGAGTCAACACTTTAATGGGAGAAAACTAGTTATATTGCTGGATCGGTTCACAACAAGACCATGAGTCAACGCTCAAGTAAGAGAATATAAAATCATCACGGGCCACCTCCAGCCCAAGATTTCACCACAGACTCAGAATGCTCTGATACCATGTCAAAATATATAAGTAACTTGGGCTCCCATCTCAAATGAGTGGGATCGCCTTTAGATTTTATATATTGAATCACTTCTATACACGGTAGCGACGAAATAATACACCTTAAAAAGTATTGACAGTTATATATAGCCACAATCAACTCCAGCATCTCTGCAGGAAGATGAGCCCAGTTTACTCCCTCCCGACACATCAGTTTCAACGGTGAACAAACCAATTAGAAATATGATTTTGGTAAGAATTGATGGAAAGAGTGAGGCGTGTGCTTGTTTATATAGATAGATATAGTTAAAAACTTATGTTTCCTAAATACGACTCGCACCAGGATCTTCACAGAGATGGATTTTCCATCCAAATTAAGAGAACAGTCCAAGTATTCAACTATATATGGGTCAGCTGTCTGAACATAACATTATTTTTGAAATCAGCACGGGGTGCTATGTATATATAAAAGAGTGTTACAAGGTTAAAAAAAGGGAGACACACTTGCCTAGCAAAATCATGTGGCTCTTCCACCTGCTGTCTTGAACAAAACATTATTGTCATTTGGCAATATAAAAGTTTCATGTTTCCTGTTCCTTACCAACAACAATAGGTGTTTTTGAATCCCAAATACCTATTACTTTACCTTTTTTAATGTAATTTTTTTGTTATTCTCTAATTCATTAATGGTAAACTGCATGTTAATACATAGGGGTACCATTTTAAACTGGTTATTCAACGTTTCTTTATTTTCGTATTTTTGTTATAACCTAAATTAGTTATCATGAATTGGAAGGTACTCTCTGGATAGACACAAGTGAAAGTTGGAAGAGGGTTCAAAACGATGATGAATTGAATATGAATGTCTTGATACCACTACTGTCGGATTCAGTTTTAAATTGCATGTACGAATCGGCTTTTAGAACCAAAAGATTTCGTGCTTCAATACTATATAGGATACTGCCAATTCATCATCGATTGAAAATCTCCATAGAATAGCAATTGCGTCTCTAGAGTTGGCCAATTGGATATAATCTTTTTAAGATATTTATAATTAATATAAATTTACTTTTTCAAAAAAAAGAAAAGAAAAGTAGATACTGCCAATACTTTGTTACCGTAGAACGTCAGTAAATTAATAATCTAAAATAATTTCTAACAATTAATAATTTTTTCTGGTCCCAAACAAAAAGTGAAAAAAAATCGATAAAATGATAACATAATAATATTCATTTATGATATATAGGTCCCAACAATATCATAAATGAATAAATACCATAAATGCAAAAAAATAACAATGGTAACTACAAATATTTGGTAAAATATGAACTATTAAGACTTGTTTTTTAGCCTTTGAAGATGATATGAACTGTGTACGGATTTTTAATGTTAGAAACGTTAATACTTATTGATTTGGATACAAAGATAATTACAAATTAAGTAATTTAGTGAGGTTTTTTGTCTCGTGGAAATTCTTTCAATTAATAATTTATTAATTTATTGATTATTTAATAATTCTCTAAATTAATAAATTTTGGTGGTCCCAACACTATAAGTTTATAGAAATTCTACTGTACTTTAATTCTATAGTGAATTATATTATCCCACAAACTTTTATATCTATGCTTACTCTTCCTGATCATAAATTATCACAGAACTTTGAACAAACAACCAATCAAAAACAAAACAAGTACCAGTACTTTTCACAAGAAAAACAAGGGTTTTTACTCAATTACAAAATCTTGAGATTCTTTGTTGATGATCAAAATTAAAAAAACTAATACCATGTTGTTGCCATCGGAGAATCTCAACAAACTCTTATGGGTCGGTTCGGCTATCGAATAAAACTCCAAAAGAATAATCTCCAGTCCGGTATACCTCTGTTTTGATAAAGATCGTTCCAGAATTAAAAGGGTAAAAACCTGGCAGCGTCTCGGAGTGGGTTTTCCCTCTGGAGCGAGATTTGTGCGCTTGATGACCGGCGGCGAAGAGGATTTCCTGCAAATAGAGAAACAATGTTAAAGACTTTGACTATTTCTTAAAAAAAGAAAAAAAAAATTCCCCTATTTTATTAAAAACAAAAAATCAATTACTTTCTCAGGACGACGAGGTGGGTCAGAATCAAACCTTGTTTATTGTCACATTTGTCCTCTTCTTCCTCATGCCCGTGTTGTGTGTGTGTGTATATGTATGTATGTATGTGTGTGTGTGTCTATATATATATATATATATATATATATATATCGGTAGTGTGCATTGATATTTTTATTATACTATTTATGCCTCATATTTTTAAATAATTAATTTGAGAAAGTACTAAAATACTATTGATATATGAAACATTCCATTGATTGATGTTATTTGGTTTGTTTCACTTATTTTTGGCAATAGATAATTTGTTTTCAGGTATAGAACAATATTTAGATTTTACATAGAAGATAAATTTTGTCAAACATCATATTCAAGCAAGTCTAAAACTATAGACCATGTATTTTCATTTAATTTTTTATTTTGTAAATATTAATGTGAAAATAATTACAATATTTTATAGCCCCTTATATATTTGTAAAACAATGTTGAAAATTTAAAAATATGAGTCGAGTCACTCAAAAAAAGTAAACAATAAAGAAATTAATTATAAAACTTTTAAAAAATAAGTTGAGTAAAATAAAAGTTAGACGGAAAAAATTCACTTAAAACACAATATAAAAAATAAAATTCGTTAAAAAAACTCCAAAATAATAATTTTGTAAAACTCTGCTTGCTATAAAATTCGTTAAGAAAAATAAAATAAATTAAATTCCTTAAAAAAATCAAAAAATAATTTTTTAACTTCAACTGTTATAAATTTTTATTTATAGGTGTCAATCACAACTCTATATATAAAAAAAGTGATGTGTTTGGTTAGAATCCAATGTTTAAAACATATGCAATGTGTATCATTTTTTGTTTTAGGTCTCCTATTACATAGAGCCGCCACTGTGCCCTCCAATCGTCGTTATTTTCCTAATTAAAGATAAGAAGACCAATAAGTTGATAAATTGTAACAAGGAATTTACTCAAAAAATAATTTGGGGCAAAATTTATCTTACCCTAAGAACTTTATTGTAATGTCCTAAAAATAGACCTCTCCCGTTGTTAACGAAGAGGTCGTGCTCGGACGTCTGCTTGACTCTCGTCAGGACTCGATAACAGTCGATCGGTACTCAGGAGCAAATATAAATTGTTCTGTTGTTTTATTATAAAATTTATTTCTAAACTATTACATTCGTTCTAAAATTGAGATCAGAACTTTTCCAATAGTAACTGCAGAGCACTACACTTTGACAGTTTTAACTCCAACAAGTATTTTTGTTGCAAAGTTAAAATCAATAAACCGTATTTTGTCGTCTTCGTTAACTGTAAGGAAAATAAAATTGATGGAATGAGCTGAAACCCAGCGAGGTCCCATTAAAATATTAATGAACAAACATACAGTTTAATAAGATAATCACATAACAAAAGAATAATAACCATTGACGAATAAAGTAACAAAATCACACATAGATAAAGGATACAACGAGTGTAAAAGAAACCCACTCCGAGTCAATATGACTGGAGAAATTGGAATAGATTTCTGGTTACAGTCGGAACACTACTGTCGGGTTCACTTGTGGATCACTTATGTATATCGTCAACTACGCCCCAACACTAATTTTGGTACCAATCACTGTGGTAAATCTGCAGATTACCGTTCACTA